CCTGGTTTAGACCTGGTTTAGTCCTGGTTTAGTCCTGGTTTAGTCCTGGTTCAGTCCTGGTTCTGCTACAGATGCAGTTTGCTGTTTTGTCTGGTTCTTTCTGTCCAATCACGGCTCTGAATCCGGTGTCGTTGTCGTTCGCTGCTAAAGTCCTGACGACACCAACTCAAAATCTGATTGGTTGAAGCAGCAGTTTCATGGACATTTGTTTTGTGTTCGAGTTCCTGCAGGATTGTGAAGACCTCGGGAACACTTCTTTGACTTTGGCTCTGCCCGGCAACAAGTGACGGCTGAAATGGAAGTGGAGGCAGCACAAGCATCGGAAAAACTCTAAAAGGAAGAGGACAGACCATTTGGAATGATTTAATAATAATATAATTAACATCAGTCTGTGATTCAGAGAGTTTTTTAGGCCAGCGGAGAAGGACTTCAAGGCCCTGACCACCACTGCTATATTCCTTAGTTAAGAAATGATGCAAGAAATCTGGTGTTTTCAAAGAACAGACACAAAAACGAAAAACTAAATCAGATCTGAAGGAGCTGCAAGAAACACAAAAGTTCAAATCATTTCATATTGTCACATGAAGCTTTTGTCTCTTTAAACTCACTCAAAATGGGAAAAGAAAGCACGACTTTTACTCGAGTAAGTGTACTGTTACTTCGATAAAAGTATTACTCAAGCAGGAGTAAAAAAAAGTAGAATTTCTTTAAAAAGTAACTCAAGTAAATGTAACTGAGTACGACCCAGCGCCGCTCCTACACTGATTTACGACTTCTAAGCTGTTTCTGAAAACAAAAGTCAACCGCCCGGGCTTTTCCAGGACTTCAGATGTTCCGGAGCAGCGTTCCCGTATCGACAGAGTCCAGGATGAAGAGAATAAACGATAAACGACGAGGTTTGGAAAAGGCAGAACGAACAAACACAGCTGCGCCTCAGTCCTGAACCATCTGACCGGATTTGTCTCATGAATATTTGACGAGATGAGCAGCTTCAATTCCAAATCAATAAGACCGAGCAGTGACGAAGGGAAAACGAGGAAGGACTCAGCTAAAAAAAAAACATTACGAGTATATAAAATCTGCAGGACATTATTTTAATAGACGGACTGACGAGGCAAAACTTAATAAAAGCTTTCAACTTCGTCACAGTAAAACGTCTTCTGTTCAAGATGAAATATATTTTGACGAGGGCTGGGCAAAAATAAAAGATATTAATCATGATTAATCACATGTTACACGCAAAACCAATTAATGAATTAACGAAGTAACGTATAGTGACTTTTATTGGAAATGTAAACAAAAGTGTCACATCTGTTTTACAGGAGCAGGACACGAGTCTGAAAAGTCCATGTTTATTCTTCTTCATTTGCAGAATCTCACTCAAAAAAAAGAACCAATTTCAGCGCAGTTTGTCAATTCTAACAATTTGACTTAATAAATTGAATAAAAAATTAAAGTTCATGTGATCAGCAGCAGGAAAATAAAGTGTTCAGAGTAAATCTCAACTGAAGAAATCAAATCAAACCAAATGCAAAACTGAAATGTGTTTCCGCTGTCAGAGCTTTAGTGTTTCCTGTTTGATATAAAAATGAGAATCTCTGTCAAAAACAGTAAAAAACTGAAACACAACACACTTTAGTGCAGTTTGTCAATTCCTACAACTTTTTTTTTTTTACTTTTCTGAAGCAAGTTGCTAAGGCATACGAGGATATTATTATTATTATTATTACGAATGTGATCTCTGGCACAGGCTTCTCGTGGAAGGAAAGCGACACTGGAGGAGAGGGAGGATGCGACGAAAAGCCAGAGAGCAACAGATGATTACAATAAAAAAAATAAAATAAAAACTGTACGTATTGAATTGAAAGTGCGCTGTATCGGGATATGCATCGTATCGTGGCCTACGTATCGAGGTATGAATCATATCGTGGCCTACATATCGAGATATTTTCGTATCGTGGCCTACATATTGAGATATGTGTCGTATCGTGGCCTACGTATGGAGGTATGTATTGTATCGTGGCCTACGTATGGAGGTATGTATCGTATCGTGGCCTACATATCGAGATATGTATTGTATCATGGCCTACGTATGGAGGTATGTATCGTATCGTGGCCTATGTATCGTATTGTGGCTTACGTATGGAGGTATGTTTTGTATCGTGGCCTACGTATGGAGGTATGTATCGTATCGTGGCCTACATATCGAGATATGTATCGTATTGTGGCTTACGTATGGAGGTATGTTTTGTATCGTGGCCTACGTATGGAGGTATGTATCGTATCGTGGCCTACGTATTTGAGGTATGTATCGTATTGTGGCTTACGTATGGAGGTATGTTTCGTATCGTGGCCTGCGTATCGTATTGTGACCTACGTATGGTATGGAGGTATGTATCGTATCGTGGCCTACGTATCGTATTGTGGCCTACGTATGGAGGTATGTTTCGTATCGTGGCCTACGTATGGAGGTATGTTTCGTATTGTGGCCTACGTATGGAGGTATGTTTCGTATCGTGGCCTACGTATCGTATGTATTGTGGCTACGTATGGAGGTATGTATCGTATCGTGGCCTACGTATCGTATTGTGGCCGTATGCGTATATTCGTGGCCTACGTATCGTATTGTGGCGTATAGTATCGTGGCTACGTATCGTATTGTGGCCTACGTAACGTATCGTGGCCTACGTATGGAGGTATGTATCGTATTGTGGCTTACGTATGGAGGTATGTTTCGTATCGTGGCCTACGTAACGTATCGTGGCCTACGTATGGAGGTGTTCGTATCGTGGCCTACGTATGGAGGTATGTTTCGTATCGTGGCCTACGTATGGAGGTATGTTTCGTATCGTGGCCTACGTATGGAGGTATGTATCGTATTGTGGCTTACGTATGGAGGTATGTTTCGTATCGTGGCCTACGTATCGTATCGTGGCCTACGTATGGAGGTATGTATCGTATCGTGGCCTACGTATCGTATTGTGGCCTGCGTATAGTATCGTGGCCTACATATCGAGATATGTATCGTATCGTGGCCTACGTATGGAGGTATGTATCGTATTGTGGCCTGCGTATAGTATCGTGGCCTACATATTGAGATACGTATCGTATCGCGGCCTACGTATGGAGTTATGAATTGTATTTTGGCCTACGTACCGAAGTATGAATCGTATTTTGGCCTACGTATAGAGATATGTATCATATCGTGGCCTACGTATCGAGATATGAATCGTATCGCCAACTTCTGAATAATCCCCAGGCCTAGTCTTAATGTTTGAACTTTTATTCCTAGAAAGCTGCTCTGGAGTGATTTGCCGGACAAACAACAGTTACATAACACACTTTTTTGGCTCTTGTTTGTCATAAGTGAATTGCGTTTTAAGGACATAAGAGCCAGTTTCCGTCCCCGCGCTGGTATCGGTCAATATCGGTCACCGGCAGATACTTAAAGTCAAAGTCTCGGTATCGGTTTTGGACTTCTCCCTAATGAGAGGTCCCTTTTGTCAGTCAGTACATTGCAACATCCACCGAGCGACAATCCAAGCTTTGTAATCGTTTACAAGTGAGTGAGTGAACCAAACTTTCGGCTCGACGGCACATTCACTTCGGAGCACGTCGTTTCACAGACTTTTACACGATGAATGATTCTGAACTCAACAGAACCAAATGGAATAATGCAACAAGTATTTCTGTAACGTTTCAACACAATTTCTGACAGAAGTCTACAAAAATGTTTAACCAGGATCAACAGACTGAAGTAACTAAACAGAATTATGTAAGTGATCGTAGTTGTTATGTTGCACACATTCTGTTTACAGTAGATCATTTGATTTCAGACCTGGAATTGTTCATCTCTGTTAAACTAAAGGTAAAAGCAGCTTTAACACATTTCTAACGTGTTTTAAATCTCACAAGAATTCACTTTGTGTCGTACAGGAGCTTAAAGAGAGTCTGGTTAGAGAATGTTTGGTGGTTTTAACAGGTTTGATTGAAGTCCGCCTCTTAGTGCTCGTGTTTTTACACTGCACTTTTGTGTTGACTCGACGAAAAACAGATTTGAGGAAGAACATAAAAACTCCTGTAGAGTGCGGTCTGGAGAATCACACACGGACAGCACACAGTTAGAATTTCATTTTTAATCTGATGTAATTCACCAAAAACTTCACTACTTCTCCATAGAGTCTGGGTTCTGTTTATACACTCCTACACACTCTAAATGTCAGAAGGCAAAACTGTGAATGTTGCTCCAAATTTACAAAGAATCACGATAAAAAAATATAAAAAAATGCAGAAGCTTTTAGCCTCATTTGGAATCAGTAAAATCTGTGCTGAGATGCTCCGTGCATCTTTAGATTCAAATCACTGACAACATTTAAAACAGAACTGAGAAAGTTTAGAATTACTAAAATGTTTATTTTATTCTTTTGTTTTATAAAATACAGAATAACTACAAGACTTTTTTTCTTAGATAAATATCCAAGTCTGGTCTTTTCTTTGAAAACGAGAAAGTTTGATTAAAGGTGATTCTCTCAGCGGCAGTGAAAGGCCACAGTGTGCGCACAGATGTGTGTGTGCACACACGTGCGTGTACACACACATGTACCTGTGTCCTGATCCTGCCCCCGCTGCGCTCTGAGCACTTTTCAGTCTCTTATTTGTTTCCTGCATATATTTATACATGTGTTATCTGAGCAGAGGAGCACGCGTCCCCGCGCGCGTCCTTCTAAACATCACATTTTCTTATTGTTTATTCTAAAGACTGCGCGTGCACGGGGCCTTGACGCGTGCACTGCATGTGCACACAACAACAGTAGAAGTGACTTTAAAACGACACAAACAGTTGTTCCTCTCAGTGAGCCTCTGCGCTCTGATCAATGCTTCTGTGAATTCCCCCAGCATCCCCCGCGCCATCAGCGCCACGCGCGTGTGTCCGGACGCGTCAGGACGCGGCCCGTGCGCACGCACCACAGAAGAGGAGAAAGTTGAGGAGCTGTACTCACTGCGGCCGTGCTCGCGCATGAAGCCGATGACTGCGCGGTAAACTTTGTGCTCGTCCTGGTACGGCTTCGCCTCCACCGTCACGTTCATCTCGTCCTTGAGGTTCAGGTAGATGCCCTCGGACAGAAAGTAGTGCGGCCGGTCGTCCTGCCGCAGGTCGTAGTAGATCACCATGGCGCGAGGTCCAGTTGAAGTGCACGTGAAGCGCGTTGGCAAACTCGCCCAGTTTGGTGGTGGAGGGTCCCGAGCGCACGATGGTGCGGTATTCGTCCCGGTTGTCGAAACCGAACGCGGGGCCGCCCGCGGTGAAGAGCGGCAGGCGCCAGTGGGACGCGAAACGGCCCACGGAGGCCAGAGGATACACGCAGCCCGGGCCGAAGAAGACGTCGGGGCGCACGTTGAGCTTGGCGTCCACGGCCATGACCTGCGCGCGGCTCTCCGCGCACGAGCGCGCGGCGGGGTCCTCGGTGCTGAAGTTGAGGAAGCGCACGGAGCGGCCCAGCAGCAGTCCGCGCCGCGCCAGGTCATCGTGCGCCATGCGCAGCGCGGGTAGGACGCGCGGCAAGGCCCACGCGTACTTGTGATGGTTGTCCGGCAGCATCACGGCCACCGTCACGTTCCCGCCGCGGCACCGGGCCACGCAGGAGCACAGCGCCACGAAGAGCCAGCGCCGCACTCCCACGCGCCACATTTCACGCGTGGATGACATGGAGCACAGGACCCAAGCCGCTCACATAAGCTCCTGTCCGCGCGTGGGTTAGTCCGTCTGAGCCATGCGTTCCCACGCGCCAGTCCCACGGAGTCCTTTGTCCACGGCGCGAGACAACCGTCCACTACGGCGCGTGCCTCTCACTGGCAGCGCGCTCGGTGAGTCCTCGGTCTCAGCAGCTCAAAACACTCCTTCTCCACGTCACACGCACACGCGCACGGACACGCGGCTGCAGTCACAGCCCACTCCGCGAGACCCACCGCGGGGCCGTGTCCACACGGTCCTCAGCGTGAACCAGACGAACAAAAAAAAAACACTGCTCACTTTTTAAAAAATCCAATCCGAGTAAAAACTGGAGTTTGGGGCGCGCGAGGAGCGTCAGTTTGCGCACGAGGCGGAAAAGGCGCGGGTGATGTTCTGCTCTGATAGTTTCTCTCAGTTCTTCAGCCTCTCGTCGCTCTCGCTCTTGTCTCTCGTTTTCTCGTGGACACAAAGCGCAGAGACACGCGGAGACAAACATCAAACAAGTTCAGAAATTTGGAGGCGCGTCAAGTCTGATTCGTGGACACAGCGCGCCCCCTGCTGGACGCACCGCAGAGCGCAGCTTCATTACACATCTGTTAGATTCATGTTCATCCACTGGACATTTGGACACCACAAAAAACGCCACGAGCTCCACATAATGCCCGACAGAGATAGTGCACATTTATATTGGACTTTGTGAGCACTTTTGTTTTTATTTCAGGGTAAAATTCTCTAAAAATCACATTTTAGTTTAAGCAGAAGAACTCGGAGCAACAAGTCACCACTAAAAAAAGTCAATAAAACCAAGTCTTCCCAACATTTGCATCATTATTCTGTAATGTTTTCACAATGTTTGGTTGTGGAAAGCCAAAAGTAACATTAAGTAGAATCAACAAAGTATTTTTAGTTTATATTGTATTATTTATGTATATTTTTTATTTTTATTTTGACTTGTACATTTACATTTATATAATTATGTCTTATTTCACACGCGTCTCTTGCTCTTTTTTGCTACTTACTTAGAATTTATTATTACCATTTATATTTTTTACTCTGTTATTACATCACTCAAAATCACTCACAGAACGTCACTCGCCTCCGCCCGTCCCTCTGCCCTCAGTCTGCGAAACCTTCATCCGTGTTTTGTCACCTCCAGCCTCGACTGCCACAATCGCTGCTCTACGGTTCATCCTCCAAACTCCTCAACAGACTCCAGTACATCCACGACTCTGCTGCCCGCCTCCTCGCCCACACCACCTCCTCTTTGCCTGCACCACCTTCTCCTTTCCTCGCTCGCACCTTCTCTCCTGCACCACCTCCTTTCCTCTCCCGCACCACCTTCTCCTCACCCACACCTCCTCCTCCTCCTCGCCTTCACCTCCTCCTTCTCGCCTTCACCTCCTCCTCCTCGCCCGCACCTTCTCCTTCGCCTCGCCCGCACCTCCTTCTCCTCTCCTCATCTCTCCTCACCCGCACCACCTTCTCCTCGCCTGGACCTTTTCGTCACCTTGCCCCCACCTCCTCCTTTCCTCGCCCGCACCTCCTTGTCCTCTCCTCGCCTGCACCACCTTCTCCTTTCCTCGCTCGCACCTTCTCTCCTGCACCACCTTCTCCTCACCTCAGCCCGCACACCTCCTCCTCGCCTGCACCTCCTTCTTCTCGCCCGCACCACCTCCTCCTCCTCTCCTCACCTCACCCACATCTCCTTCTCATCTCTCCTCGCCCGCACCTTCTCCTTCACCTCCCCCGCACTTCCTTCTTCTCTCCTCGCCCCAACTTCTCCTCTCCTCGCCCGCACCTCCTTCTCCTTTCCTCGCTCGCACCTTCTCTCCTGCACACTCCTCTCTTGGCCCGCACCACCTTCTCCTCGCCTGGACCTTTTCGTCACCTTGCCCCCACCTCCTTTCCTCGCCCGCACCTCCTCCTCCTCTCCTCGCTCGCACCTCCTCCTCGCCTCACCCACATCTCCTCCTCATCTCTCCTCGCCCGCACCACCTTCTCCTCTCCTCGCCTCTTTAAAAAAACAACAAATCTTTAAAAAAAAACTTCCATGAACTGTCTTTTTCTTGTTTGCCTTTGTCTTTTCTTGTAAATCGACTTTGAGCATCTTGAAAAGTTCTACACAAGTGTCACGTGTTATTATATTGTGACACGTGAGCTCCTGTGTCCGAATCATTTCTCGTGCGGATCAGTAAAGTTTAAGTCTGATGAGAAGAACAGAAGACAAAAGCGCGCTCCAGTTCAGATGGATTTATTTGTTTTGGTCCTTACAGAGGCCACATCATCTCATCGAAATATCATAGTTACAATCGATACAACATCATCAGATTTTGGACTAAGCAGGACTAGAGAAGTACTTTTACATTCTTGTCTCGACCACCGTAGCCCTTAACACCAACAGTTCATGAAAACACCACGTCACGGATGAACGGTGAAAGCTCTGGGCAGACTCTTGATTGTACACGGCGGCTTCCTTCCTTCGACGGCACGGCGCAGTTTTGTCGTCCTCAAAAGCGAAATCGGAACAAAAAAAAGAAGAAGAAAAAACTAAAACGAAATAAAACCTGTCTTTCAGTGCATTCGCTGGGGTCTTCACTGCTGCAGCCAGTCGAGCAGCTGCGGCGTGTAGTACGTGATGATGATGTCCGCGCCTGGAAAACGACACGAAAACAACTTCAGAATCGCGCAGACAAAGACATTTTATATTGTGACCCAAGACAAAGTTGAAAACAAACGACACCTGTGCACTGGTCGATACATAAACGCGTCTGGACCTGATTTTTCTCAGTGTATTTGAGCAAAATCGATTGTAAAAGCAGCTGTCGAGGTCAAAATAAGTCCTCTGTGTTCTGTCTGCGTCTAATTATGAAGTGTTTTAGCGTCTGAGAATCAGGAAGTGAGTGTCAGCATGCTAGTTGTTCTCTGAAAGTTACGGAAAGTGCTTCTAAACTCATCGTGGTGAATAATGATGATGCTCTGAAAACAGAAATTAAGTGAGGAAGAACTGTTTCAAATGACTTAGAGTTTAGTTTTTCATTTTTAACACGGTAACAAAGAGAAACAGCATTTTTAAATATCTAGAAAAAATAAAGCTGGACGTTTTCTGAATAGTTTTAGGTGGTAACAGCACTGATGGAATCTGTGTGTCATTCGTTTATTCGTTTTTCAAAATAAAACCAAAAACAAGAAAATTAAAAAACAACAATTTTCTTCATTATTTGTCTCCAAAACCAAAATGAAAAAAACAGATAATGATTCATTTTTTCATTTTGTTTAAACAGATAACGGACGTTTCCCGTTTTCGTGACCTAAACTGTGATGCCGGACTGAACCAGGACTGAACCAGGACTGAACCACAACTAAACCAGGTCTGGGACCAGACCAGGACCAGACCAGGACTGAAAACTGTTTAGTCCTGGTTCAGTCCGTATGCGGCGCAAAAGTCCAGCACTGCAGTTGGGGCAGTGTAGACAGAAACACTGGTGCAGTGTGGTTTCAGTTTTTTACATTTTTGAGCCCCAAAAAGCGCTGTCACCATCTAAACCAGGGGTGTCCAAACTTTTTTCATCAAGGGCCACATATCTAAACACAAACGAACCAGAGGCCTGATCGACTGATAGACTGGTGCTCACTACAGTGAATAATTGAAATACGGGCATGTTTAACATGTTAGAATGATTCATCAGTCCTTTGTTCATTCTAAGAGCCTTAAAACCACACAGTAAATATTAAATATTAACTTTATCAAGGTAGATTTTAAAAAAAAAATTGCAATTAAAGGTTAATTTTTAATTGATGCAAGTTAATTTGGGCCAATTCTCCTGTAAGACTGAGGGCCAAGAAAAATGTGTCTGAGGGCCGCATTTGGCCCATGGGCCGTAGTTTGGACATGCCTGATCTAAACCGTCTGACCTCGCAGTGTTAGGATTCGTTCGCTTGACGGATCGGTGGATACTTTTTTATTTAACCAGTCGAGAGGAGCAGTTGAGGCTCGGGCATCTGTTCTGATGCCTCCTGGGCGTCTCCCTCAGGAGGTGTTCATGTCCCACCGGGAGGAGGCCCCGGGGAAGACCCAGGAAGAACTATGTCTCTGGACTGGCCTGGGAACGCCTCAGGGTTCCCCGGAGGAGCTGGAGGACGTGTCCAGGGTGAAGGAAGTCTGGGAGTCCTGCTTAGACTGATGCCCACGAGACCCGGCCCCGGATAAACGGAAGAAAGTGGATGGATTAAACTTTCTCGTGTGGCTCCATAGAGAAAATAACTGCCCTCCCCTGATGTTAAATGTTTTTGTACTTTAGAAAAAAACTAATCAGCATTACAACTGTTTATGAAATTTGAAATCAAAATCTTAAATCCAGTTCAAGCTTCTTTATTGTCTGGACTCACTTCATTAGTCGTCAGTGTTGGGAAGTTTACTTTTAAAATGTATTCCCCTACAGATTACAGATTACACACCCAAAATGTAGTTTGTAACATAATCCATTAAATTACTTAAAGTGAGTAATGTAATCTGAATACTTTGGATTACTTGATTTGCTGTAGAGAAACAAAGACGAGGAAATCTTCACATAAGAAGTTTTGTCTGATAAAAGAAAATAAAAAGTCCAGACTTTACTTAACCAATTAAAAATATTATTGATAGAAAACGAGAAGACACATCCACACAGCAGGATTTAGTCCTGTTAAATTCTGTTTTAGGCCTGGTTTAGGCCTGGTTTAGACCTGGTTTAGACCTGGTTTAGACCTGGTTTAGACCTGGTTTTAGACCTGGTTTAGACCTGGTTTAGACCTGGTTTAGACCTGGTTTAGACCTGGTTTAGACCTGGTTTAGACCTGGTTTAGATTTAGACCTGGTTTAGACCTGGTTTTACCTGGTTTTTGACCTGGTTTAGACCTGTTTAGACCTGGTTTAGACCTGGTTTAGACCTGGTTTAGACCTGGTTTAGACTTGGTTTTTGACCTGGTTTAGACCTGGTTTAGACCTGGTTTTAGACCTGGATTTAGACCTGGTTTGGACCTGGTTTAGTTTCCGGGAAATGAGTGGAATTACCGGGGGAAAAAAAGGGATACAGCCCAAAATGTGAAAACAGGAAAATCCCTCTGTGTGTAATCCATTTATTTCAACAAAGTAACTGTAATCCAATTCCCACTCACTGAAACAGTAACTGTAACTGAATACAGTTACTCATCATTTGTACTCTGATTACATAACTCTGGTACATGTAATCTGTTAGTCGTGTATAATGACTCAGTCTCTCAGTGCACCGCGGTCTGAACACTGACGCTTCCGCTGCCGTACCTGCTCTCCTGAACGCCGTCATCGCCTCCATCACCGCCGCCCTGAGCTCGAAGGCGCCGGCCTGAGCTCCGTGCCACATCATCGCGAACTCGCCCGACACGTTGTAGACGGCCAGCGGGTGTGAAGGGAACTGCGGAGAGAAGAGGAAGAGCAAGAGCATCAGAACCGCCGCTGCGAGTCCCGAAACATTCCACTCAGTCCATTTCACACGTCTGTCAACACAAAGAGGTCAGAGGTCACGCTCCTCGGGACGAGCCAAGAATCCTCAATGTAAATGTTCAAATAAAGACCAGAGCGGACGGACTATTTATACCCCGCAGCAGTCACATGACCTCCAGCTGCTCCGAGCTCCGAAACTTACATGAAACCAGCTCCTGCCATGTTTGTTTATGCCCCTGTCGAAAAAGTGCACGGCCAAAAACAAACATCCAGAGTCCAGAAGAATAAATTCAGAACACGGCCGAGTCACACACAAGAGTCATCGAGTTTATCTGTGTTCATTACCTGGACTATTTCACTCGCTTTAAGACATTTTTGATGATTTTCTATATAATTTGCCTTGGTACTGGAACATAAATCACAGAGTTTATCTTGAAATCAAAAGTTAGTTTTAAAAAGGACACAGGCAGATCAGCGGGCACTTGGGTACAGAAGATCCTAACACAGGGTTTCCTCAGGTTTGACTACCCCAAATTTAAGACCTTTATAAGACCACTTAAAGGTTGTATAGAGGATTTTTTAAGGGAAGCGAAATACAGCGACCGTCCTTTTTCAAATGTTGTGCATGTGTGACACCACCTTCCTCAGTAGAAACACCTCCTCCTCCCGCCTCTTTACTCTAGAAATCACATTTGTTTACATCCAGTGCATGTTCAGAATTACTGTTGAAGTGACCTGCCTAGAAATATTTTAGCGACCGACGCGTCACTTTTTAGACCCTTCGGACTTTCTTTTGCGGCGAACTGGTCGTGGATTCTCGTCCGCCGTCGCAACAAACTTTGTGCGAATTTGCGAGGAAGCTACAGTTTGAAAAAGCCTCAAAGAACCGCCGCATAAACCACATAATCCCCGAGCGCCGACGAGTCAGTTACACTAAAAATGTAGGGAGTTTGACTGACAACCTAACAGCCAATAGAAAAAGAGGGAGCCTCGTTTTCTATTGGCTGATGTTTATCTGGCCTCACTACGTCCACTACTGATAGATTTTCATTCTTTCTTTTTTTTTTTCGGTCATCATAATTAAAAGGCTGCTGCGTCTCTGTAATGGTATTTTAAACTTTCAATGACAATTTCAAACAAAAACAAAAAATCCTCCATACAACCTTTAAATGAAAATTAAGACCAACATCGCACCCATTATGCAGGCGAAAAACACCAGATCCAAAATAAACCAGCTCTGAGGCGTCGAGAATCATTATTTAAAAGCCTCTCAAGACCCATGACAGGAAAAGTCGGCTCTTCCACCACTGTCATGTTCTTGTGAAACACAGTATTTGAAGTTCTGAAAACCTGATCATGATGCAAATGTTTGTCTGCTGTTTAAGATCATTCGTGATCATTCTGCTGCTCGTCCGCTGAAACATTTTGCTTCTCTGAGCTCTGAAACCTGCTCCCGAGCCGCTCGACCCACTGAGCGCGGCGAGAGCGGGATCCACAAACGCACGACGACATTTGTAAACTCAGCCTTTTCATGCGCGGCGTCCGTCAGTGGAACGTGTCACCGACGGAGCTGATCACATGGACAAACTACGGCACTTTCTCACTCCTGGAGAAACAGTGGCTCTTCTCAAACCAAACCTGCGCCCGGAGTGTGGACTGAGGCGTGTCTGGAGAGTGAAGAGACAGTGATGCTCTGGAGTGAATGAACTAGGGATGGACATTCGATGAAATTTTCTTAATCGATCGTTGGAAGAATTAACGATCGATTATCGATTAATCATTAACGTTTTTATATTAAAATGATCATCATTATTATGACTATCTGCACTAATCTGCATAAATAAATTCAACTTTACGACATATAAACATAACGACTCTAGAGCCACATCAGCTGTTTGACATTATAATGTGTTTAATTCAGTTTTGTTCAAATCTCACAGAAACAAAACTTAAAACCACATCACTAATTTACATAAACTAAGTGAAGATAAAACTCCAGCTCTTGTGTCACTGATGTGGTTCAACTTGTGTTGGATTAAAAGACATGACTCAGGTGAATACAGGTCAGTGTGACCAGATTTGTGTTTGTCAAAACCAGGACAGCGTACGGGGGGAGGGGGGCGGGGCCTCGTCATCCACATTGAGCGACTCTCACCTGGAAAAACTTTTTCCCACTGGACACAGAAACATATGTGCTGCTTTATCCACTGTGCACATGGACTCACACTTGTCCCAACGCAACGGAAAGTGTGGAATTTCTTGTACAAATCATCGTTAAATCCACATTTGTGCTTCGGTTCGTTACAGACTGACCCACTGTTTGTGTCTCGCTCCTTCTGATGCAGAGACACATGTACACACCTGTTTGGTCACGACACACAAACATACATTCAGTTTGTCGATTAAAATTAACGTAATTGATGAAATTCTTAATGATCAATTATCGATTAATTGATTAATCATGCCCATCCCTAGAATGAACTAAATGATGATTTTGAGGATGGTGTTTTTAAGATGCTGAGAGAACTGGGAGTGAATGATGACACACAATTGTTATGATGCTATGAACATGATGAAGACTTTCTCTTTGTTTCATTTTATGAACTAGAACATGAACCTGCCCAGGGACGACAGGTGGAGCAGCACTGGTGCTACAACCTGGTACAAAGCATCTCTGCTGTTAAGGTTAATGCAGATCATGCACTGTCCACGTCTCATTAAATAAACTAAACTAAACTATTAGGGCACAAGTTGGGCATCAAAATGACACATTTACAATGGAAATGAATCAGATTTTAGTTATTAATTGCAATACACATAATACAGAAACCCTTTAGCGAGCAACTTGGAAAGTGGGTGGAGAGCTACAGGTTGGAAACTCCTGCTGTGCGTCTTTAAATAGTGAAAAAAATCATCTAGAATAATGTAATATATCTGTAATAACCTATATTAACCAAAGAAATAAAAAAAACACATTTTGCTTGTACATGGCACTAATGAGAAACGGCCTGATAAATCACTGACCTGTTACACTTTGGGATGAGAGCAAAACAAAAACACAATTAAGATTATTTTAGGAGTCGACTAGTCACGATTATTCCAAAGAATCGCTGCGGTCCAAGTCTGAACCGAACAAAGAGCCATTACTCCGACTGACCAGAGGGTGGAGCTGCTGTACAGAGCTGAACGACACTGTTGAATCTCCCTGAGCTCTGTGGAAATCTGCTTTATCTCCAGAACCTGTTTAACACGGTTCATCCTTGTTCTGCTGCACTGACGACTGAGTGAACACAGTGCAACACAATCCAGCACAGCACAATACACGAGTGACATGAAACTGGAGCTCACTCCGTCTCCTCTAACAACAGAACACGGCTTTGAAACGACAGAAAATGAAAAACTGAAACTGCCCAAGAGCGCTCAGTATCTCGGGACTCGGACGTTCATGTAGAAATCATAAAAATTGTCACAGAAAATGGTCGTATATGTGGTTTTATATAAATCTAGAACTGCAGCTCCGACCAGTGGATGTGACGCTCTACAGATGAGACCAGTTTTCTATTTACTTCTGAAATGTTCAAAAGTTTATGAACAAGATATTGAATCTAAATGAGTAAAGTGATGAAAACAAGTGGCTCAGACAGAAAAAAAAAATGTATAAATCCCTTTGTATTATAAGAAACGTTTGTCAAATTCTCCACTCAAAAACTATATTTACATTATACTACAGTTTAATTTATCCGTGTCTGTCTGGGCTGCACTTTCTCAACTCCTCTGATCAAAATATTACTGGCGCGAAAACGTTTTGGTCGAATTGTAACTCACTTCTTACCACAAACATCGTCTGCTTAATAATTTTTCATCAAACTTAAATATTAATATCATAATATAATATACAATTCTTTATAACACGACTACGATTCCTGAACATTTCACATTTTACTTTAAAACCAGCGCAGAGATTCACAGATACAAAACGCGTCAAAATCTTAATTTCCACGTTCCAAAATGTGTCACATCAAGAGTCACTTTTGTTTGGATCCAGAGGCGGGAAATTGTGGATCAGTTTTCACATCTGGACAGTGACGCATCAGAAATGTTTAGAACGAGTTTGATATTTCATGATAATGTTTGAGAATCCATTCAGTTGAGAAAGTTTCATTGTTTTTATCCATGTTTGAATCAAATGAATTTAATCTAAGATGTGTAAATGTCATTTTTTAGTAATGAGCAGCTATTTGAATCTAACCATAAAGGTGGAAGTTTTAATTTAATTTAAAGTTTTTTGCCACTTTCAGCATCTGCTTTTTCATCTCGTGTGCTTTTTAAAAAAAATTTGCTATATGTTATATAAGTGCAAAAATAAATAAATAAATAAAATAAAATAAAGAAGAGTGTTTGGAGAGCTGCTTTTAAGTGCTGTGGTTATTCTGGTGTTATGTGTGAACAACACACACACACACACACACACAGGAGGAGGAGGCTGCTGAAGAACACGTGTGACTCTGGAGGCAGCACTGACCTTCTGTTTGACCTCTCTGACGATGTCCAGGTAAGGAAGTCCAGGTTTGACCATCACCATGTCTGCGCCCTCCCTCACGTCACGCTCCTGAAACACACACAACACACACAAGTACACACACACACACACACACACACACACACACACACACACACGCAGTTTATTAGTCTATATTTCTATCACAAAATATTCACAAGGACTAAAAAATAATAAGCGTGAGAAATGTAGTTGAATCTATCCTCCAAAAAAGTCAACCTAAATGTTAAAGATCTTTTTCATCTGGTTCTTTATGTCACATTAACTTGAGCTTATATTGAGAAAGTTTGATTTGCTGAAGCTGATGTGAATAAAAGAATTCAACATTTCCCTCTTGTTTATCGTCAGGATGTTCGTGGTAACTGTATCACAGAGTGAAGTGCAGTAGTGTGGATCAGACTCACCACGGCTCGCAGGGCCAGGCCGCGGGCTCCGGGGGGCAGCTGGTAACAGCGTCTGTCTCCAAACGCCGGCTTGGACTGAGCGGCGTCTCTGTGGGACAAACACGACACTTAGTCCTAACTCCTGCGTCTGGTACTTTTTGTCCTTCACATTTGCCTCGTCCTTCAGTGTCTCTGGGGTTAAAAGTGTCTAAAAGCAGAGGTCAGTGCGGCAAATACAGACTCATCTCCAGATACTAAACATGAACTTTGACAAGGAAACACAGGGGGAGATTTAGAGAGAGTTTTCTTCATTATTTGTCTCCAAAACCAAAATGAAAAAACAGAAAATGATTCGGTTTTTTTCAGTTTTCAATTTTGTGTTTAAATGAAAAATGGTAAAAACGGATAACGGACGTTTCCCATTTACATGACTTCCGTGACTGTGATGTCGGACTGAACCAGGACTGATCCAGGTCCGGGACCAGAGCGGGACCAGAGCGGGACCAGAGCTTTAGGCCGAGCCTCAGCTTCGAGCTCTGGCCCTGCCGTGGGCTCTGAGCCTCAGGTCTGGTCCCGCTCTGGTCCCGGTCTCAGTCCCGGACCTGGATCAGTCCTGGTTCAGTCCGTATGTGGTCCAGAAGTCCGTCATCACAGTCTCGGAAGTCACGTAAACGGGAAACGGTCGTTATCCGTTTTTTCCATTTTTCATGTAAACACAAAATCGAAAACTGAAAAAACGAATCATTATCTGTTTTTTTCAATTTGGTTTTGGAGACAAATAATGAAGAAAACAGTAGTTTTTTCGTTTTTTATTTTTGGTTTTAACAAAGAATGAACGAAACGAATTAACGAATGACACACAGATTCTGCAGCCCAACCTGCCCCAGGCTCAGATGAGCACAGAACCCAGGCTCTGTCCTCATGATTCTGTCTGTGACAATGTGAAGAAAAACCCAAAAACAGACTCCACAAACACTGATTCATTCTCCATCACTACAGACATCACCTGCTGCCCCCAGTGCTTCTACAGATGCAGCTGACTGTAGCACACATGCACATTTACTAAATGAAATCTTGAAAACACAAAGTTCTTGGCTGAACTCACCTGAAGGGGCCGTAGTAACAGGAAGCAAACTTAGCGCTGTAGCTCAGCACCGAGACCTGCAGCACACAAACACAAACACAAACACAAACCATGAGGTAGGGCTCAGACGATCTATCATTTTGGATCAAAAATCGTGATCTCAGACAAAACGATTTTGGAAGCATCAAAGCTGCGTTTTTTTTTTTACAGCGCTCCTAAAGCCCAATGTAAGGGCAAAGTTTAGTTGTGCATCATTTTTTAAACACATTACTACTCAAAGTATATTGAAAGAAAGGAAAGTGGAGCACAGGAAATGTGTGTAGAGCCGTGGTAGAAAGGACCAATCACACATTTACTGTCTGTGTAAATCCAGCATCAAATCATCGGTGCAGGACTCATCACAGAAATCGTACCAAATGTTCATGTGCACTGAAACTTGACTTGAAAAAAATCGTGGATGAAATTGAAATTGCAATATCTAACAGAAAAATCACAATTACATTTTTTTTTTTTTTAATCGTTCAGCCCTATCATGAGGGAAGTTTCCGCAATTGTGTTAAAGTACCGTATTTTCTGGGCTAAAAGTCGCTCTGGATTATAAAGCGCACTGTCATTAAATGGTCTATTTTTGAACTTTTTCACAAATAAACCGTGTGGGACTTTAAAGGAAATGAGGAAGTGATGAGTGTGTCTGTGGGTGTGTTTCGCTGTGCGGTCGCTGTCTGCTCCGTGTGTGTTTGCGGCTTTGTAGTTTACTGAAGTCGTTCTGGGACACCCGAGTGGATTCGTGTATGGGGCGCTCTGGATTGTGGGGCGCAGTCGTTTTTTGATGGGGTTGGAGGCTTAAGAGCGCGTCTAATAGCCCAGAAAATACGGTATTCAAACATAGAAAACAAATGTAGTCGTTTGTGATTTGCACGATCATACCTGAGTAACTGTGGCCCTTACACACGCCTGGTTTTATGACAAAACCTTGTTCATCCAGCAAATATCCAACATAAATATAACATCTTCATTTACCTCATCACTGTGGAGTTATTTCTGCTCTCACCTTGTTTCCCATCTCGTTGGCGAGGAGGAACTGTTTGATGGCCCTGACCCGTCCGTCCATCATGTCCGAGGGGGCGATGATGTGGGCCCCTGCGGCAACAAGGAACAAAATGACATAACGCCCTGTAGTTTGGTGTAGTTTTTGTTCATATTTAAAGGTTGTATGGAGGATTTTTTGTTTGTTTGTTTCAAATTGTAAAGGAAAGTTCAAAATAGGGTTATAGAGACACAGCAGCCTTGTTATTATGATGAAAGAAAGAATGAAAATCCATCAACTGTGGACGTGATGGGGCCAGATAAACATCAGCCAATAGATAAGGAGACTACCTCATTTTCTATTGGCTGTCAGGTCGTCAATCAAACTCCCTACGTTTCTAGCGTAACTGAGTCGCCGGTGCCCTGGGATTATCGCCTCTCACGCATTTCATAGACGCAAGACGCTGTTTACTCGACCAACGCAGCGGTTCTTAGCGGGTTTTTCAAACTGTAGCTTCCTCGCAGTTCGTACAAAGTTTGTCGCGACGGTGGACGAGAATCCACCACCAGTTCGCCGCAAAAGAAAGTCCGTTTTTGAGGTCGCTGAAAGAAGAAGAGACGGGGAAAAGGAGCAAAGCCAAAATGAGGTGATTCTTGGAGATTCCTTCCAGCGATGGCGCGACTGAAGCAGACGAAGGGACTAAAGACTAAAGACGCGTCGGTCGATAAATTACTTCTGGACAGGAAACTTCAACAGCGATTCTGAACGTGCACCTGTAAACAAGCGCGAATTCTAGAGTCAGGAGGCGGGAGGAGACGTTTCTACTTAGGGAGCTGCAGACAACCTTTAAGTCCTCCTTCAAGTGTTAATGTACGACGGAGTATAAGGGTCAGATAAAAAATAAAAAAAAAAAAAGATGCTGGCGCTACGAGAATAAAGTCGTAACATTTCGACATTAAAGTCGTAATTTTATGAGAATAAAGTCATAATTTTACAGGAATAAAGTTGTAATTTTACGAGAATAAAGTCGAAGTTAAAATAAAGTCGTAAAATTATGAGAATAAAGTTATAATATTACGAGAATGAAGTCGTAATAAAATCAAAGTCAAAGTGAAAAATGCGGCAGAAGAAGAACCTTGTTTTTCAATATAAAACCAAAAATAAGAAAACGAACAACAATTTTCTTCATTATTTGCGCCTCCGGACTGAACCAGGACTAAACCAGGACTAAACAAGGTCCAGGACCAGACCGGGACTGAGACCAGGACTTAGATCGGGACCAGACAAGGACCAGGGACCATGACTGACCGGGATCAGACTGGAGACTGAGACCAGGATTGAGACCCAGGACGGACCAGGACTGAAAACGGTTTAGTCCTGGTTTAGTCCTGATTCAGTCCTGGTTCAGTCCGTATGCGGCGCAATATTCCCACATCGCATTTTAAAGTCATGGAAACGCCATTTCCCATTTCCGTGACTTAAACCAGGACTAAACTAGGACTAAACCGTTTTCAGTCCTGGTCTGGTCCCGGTCTCAGTCCTGGTCTTTCTGGTTTGGTTCCGGACCTGATTTAGTCCTGATTAATCCTTGTTCAGTCGAAAGAACAAATGATACACAGATTCTTCTCCTTTACAAAATGCTCCAAATTCTTCATTCTCCACTCGGTCAGACTTTCCGAGCAGCCGATATTCTCCTAATATTACGACTTTATTTTGACTACGACTTTATTCACATAAAATTACAACTTTATTCTCGTAAAATTACGACCTTTTCTGGCTTCGACTTTATTTTCATAATATTACGACTTTAATGTCCAAATGTTACGACTTTATTCTCGTAGCGCCAGCATTTTTTTTTAATACTCAGTCGTATTAATGCTCCTGGATGTGTTTAAAACCTGCACTACAATTTCAAAATTTCTATTACAATTCAACATTTTTCCAAACTGGTTCAGCCTCGTCCTGCACAACAGCTGCTGGAATAAACACGCTGAGTTCTGACTAAGAACCAAACAGAACTGACCTGCTTGAGCGTAGGCCAGTGCCACCTCTGCCAGGCGCAGGCAGCTGGCATCGTTGTTTATGGTGCCGTCGTCGTTCAGGATCCCTGCAGCACAAACAGAACTGACATCAGAATCAGAATCATCAACAGTTTACATCAGGAACAGACACGATGAGAATAAACACACGTGTCATATTAACAAGTTCACTAATTTTATGATATATGTTTTCATTAGTTAAAACCTGCTGTTGTGTGTTGTCGCTGTGCTGTTTGTGATTTTAAGATACTGTAACACTTTGTTTTTCAAATGTAAAGTGCATTATAAAGTAAATCTGTGAGGACAGGAGGAGGAGAATAATGAGCATTATTAGACACTTGGAGGCGCTGTTGGCTCCAGAGGAAAACTGATACTGGGCATTTGTTGACCTTAGACGGGCACAAGTTTGTTTGAGTTTGTGCTACACTGTTCTCGTATTTCTGGACTTTTTTTCTATGGATCATATAAAATTACTTATATTTGCACCTTTGGGTTATGCACTTTTGAACACAAGAGCAACATGTCCAACAGCTGCTTTGTTAATGTGTGATATGATGTGACAGCGTAAATTGTTGAGCTTTAATCTGGTGCTAAACATCTGTTTTTAATGATCTTAGTGTCTCTGTAGATTGTCCCTTCAAATAAAGACTAAATTAAACCCACAGTTGCATCAGGCTGCCTTCTGTAATTTATTATCTGATTCATTTCTGTCTGAATTATCGCTGATCTTTTACAGCAAACACGTCAGACTCAGGCCCGGGGACCAAATTTGTGGCCACACCGGTTTGTCAAAGTCTGATCCCGTCAGATCTCAGAAGCTCAGAGGTCGGATCTGGTTAGTACCGTATTTTCCGCGCTACTAGTCGCTCTGGATTATAAGGCGCACTGTCATTAAATGGTCTATTTTCGAACTTTTTTCACAAATAAACCTCACTGGACTTTAAAGGAAACACAACAGTGTGATGGGTGAGTGGTTTTGTTTGTTTGTTCGTTCACGGTGACTCTGGGCTTTGTTCAGTTGTGGCGTGTAGGGAGGGTGTGTCTGGGACCAACTGGATTGTCGTTCGCAGTGACTCAGTTGTTCAGTCGTGTCTAGAAGTGGCACGTTGCACTCGCTTTTTCGGTTCGTTCCTCCGTTCCGTTCCTCGTCGGCGTGGAGTGATGAGTGTGTCTGTGTGTGTGTTTCTCTGTGCGGTCGCTGTCTGCTCCGTGTGTGTTTGTGTGTTTGTAGTTTACTGAAGTCGTGCTGGGACACCCGAGTGGATTCGTGTATGGGGCGCTCTGGATTGTGGCGCGTGGTAGTTTTTTGATGAGGTTAGAGTCTAATAGCCCGGAAAATACGGTACTTTGATGGAGACACTGGGAAAATCAGGAGCCACAGGAGGAGCCAGACACAAAAAACTGTCATTGCGTCTTTAGGCAACACACGTCACCCACGTTGCCCAGTATGAAAGTAGTGTGTGTGTGTGTGTGTGTGTGTGTGTGTGTGTGTGTGTGTGTGTGTGTGTGTGTGTGTTCGATGGTGCAGATTGGCAGCCTCACTCCTGTCAGTCTGCCCCAGTGCAGTAGTACAGAAGTAGATTACCACCACCAAGTGTGGAGTGAACCAACAATGAACTGTGAAGTACTTTGAGCATCTTAAAAGGCACAATATATAAATGCAATGATTAATTAATTAAATTATTTATATTTGGCCCGTGAGATCATATCAAATCCGTATCAGAGCTGCCCACTGTCTACAGATCGACTATAGAGACAATATTTATTCAAAATGTTATTATTATTTTATTTTCTGCTTGTTCTGGATTCAATATTTAAGCAAAACTATTATTAAACATTTATTTTAATAAGAAAAGGTTTAACATTACATATTTCAAAAGAAAAGAAAACATGCAGATGTTGAAATTGTTCAATAAATATGTAATTTGGTCCACAACTTAGTCCCAGTTTTTAAATTTGGCCTCTGTGAGTTTGAGTTTGACTCTTGTTTTACATCATTCCTACACACTTAAATATTGATACTGGCTCAATGTGAGACAGTCTGTTTGTGTGAGGTGAACACTGCACTTTTCTCTGAACTGCCCAAGATTTTAAAACTTAAATCAGGTTATTCATCTTGTTTTCAGATTTATTATCGATTTACTAGTTCTGAATTGGTTGTATGATCTTAAAAAATATGTCACACATATTTCTTCCATGACTCAATTAGTCAAAAACTCTTAAATTTAGGCAATAAATGTTTAAAAGAAGCTACAATACATTTACCTTGCAACACTTCACTTGTTTTTAGACTCAGTGATACAGATTTGCTTGATACTCGAGTATGTTTATCTAAAACTTAGCATCCATAAACTTCCAGCTCATGAACACTTACAAACACTTACGAACACTTACCAGAGATGTTTAATTCTAGTCTAGAGGTCGTTTATTATCTCTCTGGCAGCAGGAGACGATGGACCAGTGGACTCACTTTGTCACTGCGTCCAACAGATCAGTGTGTGGAGGCAAAACAACTTTCTCCAGCTAAACTCTGACAAGACTGAAGTCATAGTGTTTGGTCCACAGAAACAAAGGGACAGTGTCAGCATCACCTCCAGTCTCTCTCTCTAAAACCTTCAAATCAGGCAAGAAATCTCGGGGTAATAATGGACTCAGACTTGAACTTTAACAGCCACATCAAATCAATAACATCTGCAGCCTTTTACCATCTAAAAAACAGAGCAAAAATCAAAGGTTTACTGTCTAAATCAGACTTGGAGAAACTTATCCATGTGTTTGTCTCCAGTAGGTTAGATACTGTAATGTTCTGCTCACTGGTCTCTCCAAACGAGCTGTGAGACGCTGCAGAACATCCAGAACATCCAGAACATCCAGAACATCCAGAACATCCAGAACATCCAGAACATCCAGAACATCCAGAACATCCAGAACATCCAGAACATCCAGAACGCTGCAGCTCGGGTCCTGACTCGAACTAGGAAGTACGAGCACATAAGTCCTGGTCTCAGGTCTCTGCTCTGGCTCCTGTGGCTCAGAGACTTTAAAGCAGCTCTGCTTGTACAAGTGTCTCCATGGCCGAGCACCAAAGTCCATCTGTGACATGTTAGTGTCATATGAACATCTCACACTCTGAGGAGCTCAGGGACCAACTCCTGCTGGTGCCCAGAGTCACGACTAAACAAGGGGAGTCAGAGTTTCAGGTTCATGCAGCTAAAACCTGGAACAGTCTGAACATGTGAGACAGACTCTTCTGTGACGCTGTTTAAATCCAGACTCTAAACATTTCTGTTTAACTGTGCAAATAACTGAAAGGTTTTCATTCCGCACTCTTCTCTCCAATTTATGTCTCTCTTTTTTTAATTTTAATCTTCATGATTATTTATGTTTTGATTTGTTTTTATTATGATTTTAATGTATTTCTTATTCTGTAAAGCACTTTGAATTACTTTGTGTACGAATTGTGCTGTACAAATAAACTTGCCTTGCCTTATTTTAAGAGAACTTGTCAAGTAAAATGATCTTGCTGCTTGGACAATTTGGATAATTTCACTACTTTTCTGATAAATTTAAGTGTTTATATCTTAAATTTTGGCCAAACTTTGACTAGTGTAAGGGCAGAGGCACACAGACTGACCGCAGTGTCCGTGTGAGGTGTACGGGCAGAGGCAGACGTCACAGGCCACCAGCAGCTCAGGAAACACAGCTCGGATCTTCCTCACGGCGATGATGGCAGGAGTGTCCGCAGAGTCTGCTCCAGAGCCACGCTCGTCCTGGAAACACACACGCACAAACACACCCTTTCATTTAAAGTTTTACAATAATATTTATAACGAAAGACTGAATCATTGTTAACTGATTTATACTAAAATAAACTCATGGTGTTTTTTGTTTTTCTCAATTAAAATACATACTGTACCTTGACAGCCAAAATATGTCGAGATTTGATAAAAACAGGTCAGTATGTGAAACTCAAGTATAATTACACACGTGTTCAAAATTGATTGGTTCCCCTCTGGCAATGAAAGAAAAATCAACATGAAGGAACAACAATAGTCACTTCAAATAACTTGAAAACTGATAAAAGCAGTAATAAATAAACATTTACTGAAAATTGTCCAACAAAAATCACCTGTGGTTCAACTAAATTATCAGAAAAAACAAACTAATGAAACTGGCCTGGACAAAAATGATGGTACCTTTAAATTAACATTTTGGGGCAACCTCGCAATCAAATGATTTCTGTAAGTGTCAGTGAGACTTCTGCTCTGGTCAACTGGTATTTTGACCTATTTCTCGAGAGAAAACTCTTCTTGTTGTCTCAGGTTTGAAGATTCCTTCTCCAGACGCATCTTTCAGCTCCTTTCACAGATGTTCAGTAGAATTGAGATCTGGGCTCACAGAAGAACATTCCAGAACAGAAGAACACTCCAGAACAGAAGAACACTCCAGAACAGTCCAGTGTTTTGTTCTTAGTCATTCTTGTGTGTTTTTATCTGTGTGTTTTTGGGTCATTATCCTGTTGGAAGACCCATGACCTACGACTGAGTCCAAACTTTCTGATAATTGGTGACACATTTCACTCTAAAACACCTTGATAGTTTTGAGATTTCATTTTATTTTGCACAGATTCAAGACGCCCTGAGCCAGACGCAGCAAAACAGCCCCAGAACAAAACCAAACCTCCTCCGTGCTTCACAGTAGGGACAGTGTTATCAGGTTAAAGATGAAGGTCTTATTGTCTTTATCTTTAACCTGCTTGTCTGTTATTTTCTTTCTAGTCTCTGTCTGACACAGTTCTCTTCTTCTCTTCTCTGTCATGTTCACTCTGTCTCTCTTTTCTTCTCTCTTTCTCTTCTCTGTTCAGTCAGTTGTGTAGTGTTCTTGTGTCAATGCACACATGACACATGTCACATGCACTTTAACTTTAAACAGACAAACTGACTGAGGACAAGTTTGAAGAACCTGTGATGCAGATTAGAGACACTCCGAAGTTTAACATGTCCCTATTGTCTAATTATTTACAATCTTTTCTAGGACCACCATCATTTTTGTCCAGGCCAGTTTCATTAGTTTGTTTTTTTAAATTATTCTATTGAACAACAATTCAAAAACAGTGTCTGATTTTCATTGATTAATTTTTCAGTAACTTATTATTGCTTTTTCAGTGACCATTGTTGATTTTTCTTTCCTTCACCAGAGGGTACCAACAATTTTGTCCACGTCTGTATGTGATCCGTACAGACAGTTCTCTCTGTGTTCTGTACCTTCTCGACTTTGGCAGGGACCCCGAAGATGAGCACACACTTGAGGCCCTTCTGCACCAGCGGCTGCAGCAGCTCCTCCACTCGGTTCACTCCATACCTGAAAAATATGAGACAAAACACACGGACATCACCTCCTGATCAAACCAAACACATGAAACCTACACCTGCTGATGGAAAGACAAAACACGGTTGAATTTAACAGCAGCTCAGTGCAATTAAGAGTATTTTGATCAAGTCTTCTTTTCTTTTATCAGATAAAACTTCTCGTCTTTGCTTCTCTACAGCAAATCAAGTAATCCAAAGTATTCAGATTACATTACTCACTTTAAGTAATTTAATGGATTCTGTTACAAACTACATTTTGGGGTGTGTAATCTGTAATCTGTAATTTGTAATCCTTCCCAACACTGTTAATAAGCAGTAATGAGGAGTGTATTAAAGGTTGTATGGAGGATTTTTTTTAAGTTTCAATGAAAGTTTAAAATACCATTACAGAGACGCAGCAGCCTTGTAATTATGATGACCAAAAAAAAAAAAAAAAAAAGAAAAACAAGAATGAAAATCTATCAGCTGTGGACGTAGTGAGGCCAGATAAATATCAGCCAATAGAAAACGAGGCTGCCTCATTTTCTATTGGCTGTTAGGTTGTCAATCAAACTCCCTACGTTCTCTAGAGTAACTGACTCGCCAGCGTGAGGGGATTATGTGGTTTATGCAGCGATTCTTAGAGGCTTTTTAAAACTATAGCTTCCTTGCAATTCGCACAAAGTTTGTTGTGACGGCGGACGAGAATCCACGACCAGTTCGCCGCAAAAGAAAGTCAATTTTTGAGGTCGCTGAAAGAAGAAGAGAAGGGGAAAAGGAGCAAAACCAAACTGAGGTGATTCTTGGAGATTCCTTCCAGCGATGGCGCGACTGAAGCAGACAAAGTGTCTAAAAACTGATGCATCGGTCGCTAAATTATTTCTATTTCTCATGCACAACATTTGAAAAAGGACTGTCGCTGTATTTCTCTTTCCTTAAAAAAAGTGTTTGTAAATGTCTAACTAATATCAGAATAAGTTTATGGGGAATTGTATATTAATAAGGGATAAATAAACACTAATTAATGACAAATTAACCATTTACAACTATGTTAATTAGTAGTTAGATGTTAAGAAGTGCACTCTAAAATAAAGTGTTTCCAAATCATCTTCAAATCTTAAATGACTGAATTTCCCCAGTCCTAGTTGCATCATAGAGCCAAGATCATGTAGTTAATAATAGTGTTAATAGAATTTAAATGTGTCAGTCAGGATGTCACAGAATCCTCCTGCCTTTTGGACAATATCACGAGCAGATAAAGCGGCATAATAACGGTTTGTGTTATCTGCTGCCGTCCCGCCCTGTGCTGCACTGCGCCCTCACACACACAGACACACCCTCTGAAATCTGCTCACTGACACCTCAACACACACACACACACTCACACACACACTCACAAAACTCATCTCAACGTGATCAGACTAAAGATGTTTTATTTTTATACATGGTGAGCGTAATCATGCATTTGTAAAGTTACATCAGAGTAAGATCGCGTCCCCTCGTTTCGACACTTTTGAGTTCGTGAACGTCTTATGATTTGGGCTGTCAACAGGGACGTAACAATAAAATATCAGAAATATCGTGAAATATCGTATCGTCAAAGTGCTCGCAATAATATCGTGGACCATCACAATATATCGAATTACAAGCGTCTTTGCTTAAATGAAGAGTTATGGTGCAGCAACAGCTAAAAAAAGACAGAGAACTACATAGACCATGATCCTTTGCTCCATTTCAGTGCAGACGACAAGAAGAAATAACAGTTCAAACACTTTAAAGTCGTAGTTCTTTGGATTAAGTCTTGTCGAGGTATTTTAAGAAGAAAAAAGAAGCATATTAACAGTTTTTAACAGTTTTAACCTCAACAAAATATCGCAATAAACATCGTAAGGTGAGATGTATATTGTGAAAATATCGTACCAGCAGATTTGGATATTGTTAATCCCTAATTGTGAGTCTCCCCAACATATCGTGAGCTTTCCCACGATATTGCAATAAATATCGTACCGTGAGGTTGATACCGTGATGATATCGTATCGTGAGACTTTGATATCATTACCCTTGGCTGTCAATGATTAATGAGAATTATTTTGGTGCTTCACTAGTCCAGTGTTTCACAAACTGTTTTTTCTGAGGACCCATATTTTAAACATCATAAAACTTTGAAACCCAAGTCAATAGACATTATTCTTAAATCACAAAATAAAGCTGGATTTGACCATTAATGAGGATATGAAAATAAGAAAAAACACATGATATGTACAATGGAATGTATATGTTGTAATATTCTTAATAAAAAATGAATGATAAAAAAAAAACATTAATGAGGATATTTTATTGTTGACTGAGTCGCGTCTCTGAACAATTAGTATTAGTCAAGTTTTAAAGAAAAACAGTCACAGAAGCAGCAATAAAAGGATCCGTACGTCGACTGTTTGGACATTAAAACATGGCTCATTTCTTTTTCTTTTCAACATTCAATTGAAGCAGCAAGACGGGAACAAAATAGTCAATAAAATAATTACAAAAAGATTAGAAACGATACAAAACATGTCTTAACATTTGAACATTTCTAGTGAGATCGGTGGACCTGTGTGTGTTTTTGTAGCGTGTTCAGTCCAGGTGCAGGACGAGAGCGCAACACACATTTCAGGAGCAATATTCAGTCTGTTTCTGTTTCCGTTTCTGTGCTTTGTCTTCATTTTTGTGAGCAACAGAAAATCCCAATTCACACATTTATGTAGTAGTGAAAGGAATAAGCAGAGAAACAACAAGATTCTGACGAAATTCTGATCCCGAATGACGATAAAGTCACAGATCCACAGCGTCTTTGCAGAGTCAGAAGTGCATATTTCAGATCTACGTGCAGATCGTGACCCATAAAAATCTCTTGTGACCCACCTGAGGATCACAGCACTGGTCCATTTCCAGGATTCCCACTGATCACATTCCATTTTGATTCTTTTTTTTTACCAAGAGTTATATTTCCAACATTCTACACTGAGATAAAAAGCAGGTAAAGCTCTTTCGATTGTGTGAATTAAAGGAACTGTACGTGGCCTCGAGGTGCCACATCCGAGTTTGTCTCAGTCTCAGTTTCTGTTCAGGTAAAGACCGTTCAGATCAGAGAGAAGTATTTCAGGATTAAACCAACTTCAGCTTTGTTTTGAACGTTTGTGATCTCATGTCACCGTGTTTTCGCTGCGGTGGTGTGTGTGTGTGTGTATCGTGTGGTGTGTGAGTCGAGTACCTGGCCTGTCCTGGCAGACTCCCGATTGGTTCGATTGCATCTTCATTGTCTCTGTGAAAAAAACAAATGAAGTCAGTTTTAGAAAAAGAAATCAAGTTTTGCAACGTTTATCTCCGAGTATTTCACATTAGACCAGGGATCTCCAACCTTTTGCATCCAGTGAGCTACATTTAAAAAACGAAAACACCGGAGAGCGACTCATTTTAAGAAATCGCAGGAAATTGAGTGGATATAAGAGGCAAACCTTAGATGTTCTACAGTTAGACACTTTTAAAACATAAAACCACTGTCCATTTATTAGAGCACAAAGTTCAAAATCACACATTTACAATTTTAATTCATCAAATTTGAGTTATTCAGTACAATAAGTAATTCAGAAATCCTATGGCGAGCTACTTATAACGGGATGGAGAACTCCTGAGCTGCAATAGACCATTTCACTCTGTAGCCGCACCTGCCCTGTGGCACTATGATGGACGTGTGACTGACAAACCAGTCCCATCACCACCGATCCCACTCAAACTCATGTTTACTAAGCAGTAAAGTGGACAAAGTGTTGCTCCAGGATGGATGCAAATCACGAGATCAAACCAAAAGCTTTCAGGTGTAAACACAGCAGTACTGATAAAACTGATAATCCAAAACATGCATCAAGAATCTCAGACTTCTGGTCATCGCGCAATTCACACTGAGAAGGATTTTCCAGAAAAAGTGAGCATCAAACCTCCATGTTTGTTTTCCCAGTGGGATGTGTCTATTGTCAAAGTCGATCTTTTCAAGTCTTTTGAACCATATCACTTTTGTTTCTGGTTCTGATATTGTCATATTTTAGTTTTGGGATTCGGACGTCGTAATCGTGTGGTTGTTGGATCCTAACAGCGGAAAACAACTCCAGAAATGTGTTTGTGAACTTCATAAATGTAAAAGTGAATCAGATGTGTGTGACTCAAACCTCTGTTCAAACTGTTTCTCTTCCCAACGGAATTGAAAAATAGTGAAAGGTGAAGGTGATGGGCAGGATTGATCCACAGGAAGAACCAAAAAGGAAACATTTGTCTGACTAAGAAATCATCCTGAGTTTACAGAGAACATTTTGTATGTGGAGCAACAACAAAGCAAAACCCCGATCCTTCGCTCAACCTCGGTTACGAATTTAAAAAATCAACTCCAAAGTGAAAGTCTCCAACTGTTCACCAAGAAACACCTTCCACTGCAAAGAGACCAAGACGTGATGTTTCTGTAAAACCACAAGAACAAGAAAGTGCAGCTCAGTCTGTTTGTCTTCTGCTCCTCTACATTAACAAACGGGATTTTGTTTTGTCGTCGCTCCACATACAAAATGTTCTCTGTAAACTCAGGATGATTTCTTAGTCAGACAAATGTTTCCTTTTTGGTTCTTCCTGTGGATCAATCCTGCCCATCACCTTCACCTTTCACTATTTTTCAATTCCGTTGGGAAGAGAAACAGTTTGAACAGAGGTTTGAGTCACACACATCTGATTCACTTTTACATTTATGAAGTTCACAAACACATTTCTGGAGTTGTTTTCCGCTGTTAGGATCCAACAACCACACGATTACGACGTCCGAATCCCAAAACTAAAATATGACAATATCAGAACCAGAAACAAAAGTGATATGGTTCAAAAGACTTGAAAGATCGACTTTGACAATAGACACATCCCACTGGGAAAACAAACATGGAGGTTTGATGCTCACTTTTTCAGCAGATCCTTCCCAGTGTGAATTGCGCGATGACCAGAAGTCCGAGATTCGTGTCCAGAGACGGGACGGTGGTGAGATCAAATAGCCACGAGACGAGCGCACATGTGAAAAACTATTTTACGGTATTTATTTCCTTTGGCCAGCTGGCACAGGCGTGAAAGAGTTCAGCTGCACACTCGTGAACAGCTGCAGTGAAAAGTCCAGAGACGGTGAACACTCTGTCCTAGTTTTCAATATCACTTCTTATTCTGTGTTTTTTCAGACTCAATAATGTTTAAACTAAAATTACACATGAAGTCAAGATCACAAATCGTTTTTAATGTGAGGAGAGAGAAGAGCTCCTCCTCTCAGCAGCAGCACGAGGGCGACAGACAAATACAGACCAGAAGAGCAGCTCCACTTTAGTTCATTCAAATAATAAAAAGTGTATGAGACAAATACTGTTGTTTTGCATTAATTATTTTAATAATTAGTTGTGATGTATGTGTAGGGATTTACATCGCAGAATTATTCAAGAGTCATTTAGAGATTTAAAGTGTGATCATTTGTAAACTGGAATATGAAGAACAATATTACAATCATGCGTTTGTTTATATTAACAATTTAAAAGCACGAGCGCCGACTAATGCAGGGGTCTCCAACCTGTAGCTGGGGAACTACCAGCAGCTCTCCTTCCCCGTCCAAAGCGCCTGCCAAGGGATTTCGGAATTGTATATTTTGTGGTGAAGAAGTAAAATTTAGATTAAATGCCTAGTCCCATTGTACATGTACAATTTTGATGCCGACACTGTAAAAAAAATCCAATACCTGCTACATTAAAATGACTTAAATTAAGAATTTTGCTTTATTTGACTCGATTCTACTTGACAACTAAAATTATCTACCAATGGAGTAAGTGTTTTTTCACAATTCAAACTAATTTAGATTTTGTTTCTTATTTTAAGCGCAAAAAGTTGTAGTTTTTTCTTATTTTAAAGGCAGCAAGATGTGTTTTCAGATTTTAAGTACCAAAAGTCTTGTTTACGGAAGCCGAGAGGGTCACAGCAAACGCAAACGCCGCAACAAATACAAATGCGACAACACAACAAAAAAAAGCCACAACAGAAATGACCGCGGGACTCGATTTTAATGCAAACGCTGCAATAAATACAAATGCCACAACACATTTAAAAGCCACAACAGAAGTGACCGCTGGACTCTATTTTCCGACAGACAGATCAAGTGGCAAGTGAAGAACAAGAATTACATCGTGAGTCCCACGGTCACTTCCGTGGTGGCTTTTTGATGTGTTGTGGCTTTTGTATTTATTGCGGCGTTTGCATTAAAATCGAGTCCCGCGGCCATTTCCGTTGTGGCTTTTTTTGGTTGTGGCTTTTTGTTGTGTTGTCGCATTTGTATTTGTTGCGGCGTTTGCGTTTGTTGTGACCCTCTCGGCTTCCGTAGATAATTTTACTTGTCAAGAGAAATTTACTCAAGTCATGATAAAACTTTCTTAATTCAAGTCATCTTAACTTGACTAGATTTAGTTTTTGGCACTAAAGTTTGTGCATTAATAATTGGATAATGGTTCATGTTTTATCCAACTGTGCCACGTGGCTTTTATAAATAATAATAATTTCTTGTGACTGTTAAAACTAGAAGCTCTCTGGCATTTTCGTTTTGTAAAAGTAGCTCACCAGAGGAAAAAGGTTAGAGACGCCTGGACTAACAGAATCATACTGTCTTTTGAAGTAAAAAAAAAAAAAAAAGAATGAAATATTCAAAGGAACAAGACTGGACCGTTTCATTTCAGACTGAAGTTTTCCAAGAGGAGGGAGCAGAGAAACTGAGCCCTGCTTTCCCGGCTCAGCCCAAACACGAGGGACGTGAAGAAGATGAGTGACATTTGAGCACAAAAAGGCTCTCGGTCGTTCGGAGGAGGGAGGACAAATAAAACAGAAACACGCCAAGAAGAGCTTTGAGGACCGAGAGCTTCAGCGGGTGGATCCTCTTACGGTTAATGAAGGCCACTGGGCTTTGGCGGAGAGTTCACAGTGACGGGTGAGGCGAGCTTTTTACCAGGCCATTTATCCTGTCATTTTATTCTAAATGCACAGAATAAAATGTACTTAAAGATAATGACAGTAAAAACGTGTGGCCAAAATGGTGAACTGTTTCTCCCTCTCATCTCCTGAAATACAATATGTAGTAAAAATAGATCAAAATGTAAAATAAAAATACACAGTGTTGGGGAGTAACAGATTACATGTACCGGAGTTACGTAATCAGAGTACAAATTATGAGTAACTGTATTCAGTTACAGTTACTGTTTCAGTGAGTGGTAATTGGATTACAGTTACTTTGTTGAAATAAATGGATTACACAGAGGGATTTTCCTGTTTTTACATTTAGAGCTATTCCCTTTTTTTTTGGTTGGTAATTCCACTCATTGCTGGAAACTAATCCAGGTCTAAACCAGGTCTAAAACAGGTCTAAACCAGGTCTAAACCAGGTCTAAAACCAGGTCTAAAACCAGGTCTAAACCAGGTCTAAAACCAGGTCTAAACCAGGTCTAAAACCAGGTCTAAAACCAGGTCTAAAAGGTCCAGGTCTAAACCAGGTCTAAACCAGGACTAAATCAGGTCTAAACCAGGACTAAACCAGGTCTAAAACCAGGTCTAAACCAGGTCTAAACCAGGTCTAAACCAGGTCTAAAACCAGGACTAAACCAGGACTAAACCAGGTCTAAACCAGGTCTAAAACCAGGTCTAAACCAGGACTAAACCAGGACTAAACCAGGTCTAAAACCAGGTCTAAACCAGGTCTAAAACCAGGTCTAAACCAGGACTAAACCAGGTCTAAAACCAGGTCTAAAACCAGGTCTAAACAAGGACTAAACCAGGTCTAAACCAGGACTAAAACCAGGACTAAACCAGGTCTAAAACAGGATTTAACAGGACTAAATCCTGCTGTGTGAACCGTGTTTCCTCTTCTTCTATCAATAATATTTTTAATTTGTTTAAGTAAAGTTTGGGCTTTTTATTTTCTTTTATCAGACAAAACATCTTACGTGAAGATTTCCTCGTCTTTGTTTCTCTACAGCAAATCAAGTAATCCAAAGTATTCAGATTACATTACTCACTTTAAGTAAATTAATGGATTACATTACAAACTACATTTTGGGGTGTGTAATCTGTAATCTGTAGGGGATTACATTTTAAAAGTAAACTTCCCAACACTGAAAATGCGTTTATTTAATTTTTTCTGCAAATAGCTCTACAAATGTCATACATTAAAATATGATCGACTCTTGTGACCTTTTAGCCAAGTTATAAAGCAGTGACGTGTTTTGTTTCGTTCACTTATTAGTCTGTCTACATCTACAAAGCTCAAGATGCTCAGTTCCACCTTATGATGTCATGCAGTGGTCATTTTCACGTTGACAGACACTTTTTAACTTTAGTTCAGAAGAGATCGGCAATTCCAGGGGTGAAATTATCCGAATGACTCTAATGAAGATGTATAGAGTTTAAAAACACAACGCAGGACCACATGACATCACGAGGTGCAACAGAGCGTTTTCTGTTTGAGAGAAGAACTCAGTGTGAATCTGCAGGGTTTGTTTGTGTGAGTGAATAAAACAAAACACAACACAACTCGGGGTATGTTTTCGATGAGGAACTGAGGAATATGAACTTCCTGAAGTTGATCTAGGTCAGGGGTCTCCAACCTTTTTCCTCCTCTCAGCTACTTTATGTAAAAAATGCCAGAGAGCTACCGTATTTTTTGGACCATAAGTCGCACTTTTTTTCATGGTTTGGGTGTTTCCTGTGACTTATACTCCGGTGCGTCTTATATATTAAAATGTTGACAGTGAAGCGTCGAGAGGCTCTAGTCTTCTGTGTCAATATATGCTGTTCTTGGCTCTACTGCTCATGTCTCCTGCAGAAAGAGCCTCTGTCCTGCTGCAAGTCGTGAAATATTCAGACGAAAACAGTAATCGAGCAGCAGAAAGAAAGTTTGGAGTGAGAGAGAAACTTGTGAGGGACTGGAGGAAACATAACTTCACGGGAACCGGGAGGATGCACCATGAAACTTTCCTGAAGTCACTGGATGGATGGACAAAGCCTGGACTTCAGTGACACCGAAACCATCCTGTCGGGATTCAGAAAGACCAGAATAATTCTAACTGGAACTGATGCTGAGTCTGACGACAGCGACACAGAAGAGGAAGTGACGCTCTGTTTACCTCCGGAGGTCGAGGTGGAGTTGTTCAGAAGTGACACCGAGGATGAAGAATTGAATGGATTTAGTGATTTGGAGTGAGATGGAGAGTTTGTTAAACTTGTTCTGTTCTGTTGTTTATGTTATAGTTTATCTGAAGAACTGTTCATATGTGACGTTAACAGTCTGTTGTTCTCTCTTCTATTGTTTTTACTACAACTTGACTTTTGAGATGAAATGTCAGTTCCTGGTCTCTGATTTTATAAAATACATTTCCCCACAAAAGTACGACTTATATATGTTTTTTTCTTCTTCATTACACATTTTTTGGCTGGTGCGACTCATACTCCAATATGACTTATGGTCTGAAAAATACTGTACATCATTTTAACACCAGAAATTTAGTAAATATAAAAGCCATGGCAAGTGTGTAGATGAGGTACAGTAAGACCACGTTCAGACTGCACCTGAAGTGACCCAAATCAGATGTTTTGGCCCCTAAGTTCCTGTATCTGATCTTTTAATGACAGTCTGAACCACACAGATCCGATTTTTTCAAATGTGACCCAGGACACTTGGATATGTGCTCCTGAAACTGATACATATCTGATCTTTTGACATGTGACTTCAGTCTGAACGGCCAAAGTGCATTCATCCACCTACACGTTATCAACAAGACACAAATGTTCTTCTCATCATATGAAAATTGTTACTGAACTCCGTGTGACTGAAGTGAAGCACATCACCACTCACCACTCTTGGCTCCGTCTCCACATCCACACGTTCCTTTCAACGGACTGAACCACAAAACACCACGACCAAAAACCTCGTCCTTCTCCTTCTCAATCTCCTCCTTAAAACAAGTAAGTTGTTCATGTTCTGGCTCCGGTACGAGAGGAACTTTAAAATCTCCAGGTGCTCGATGCTGCGTCCATGTTTGGACAACTTCCGTAAACACAGAGACGCTCGCTGCGGTTGACGTCGTCGTGTCTCCAGTAGGGGTGTGCAAAAACATTGAAATATCGATATATCGTATCGTTTAATGTGATGATACAGTATCCATATTGTGGGCTGCTGCATCGATATATCAAAAATACTCTTGGCAATATATTTTACTAAATTATTTTGTTACAGTGCTACAGTTTTGTTACTTGTTTATGCGACACATTTGACATTTTCACAGTTTTGATGCTTTTGTTTCATATTCACTTTGCACAAGAAGTGGTTTAACAGAGACTTTTAGTATCACAGCCATGATTTAGCCTTCATTTTTACTGCACCATATCGAATCAGTTTAAAATATATCATATCGAATCGAAAGCTCACTGTACCGAAATATATATTATATCTTGACCAATGTATCGAGGTATGTATCGTATCGCCAACTTCTTAATGATACCCAGCCCTAGTCTCCAGTGTCACATGTGGGACACTTTTGGGCCGTTTAATGTTCACACTGGAGTCACATACAAGTCACATTTAACTGGAAATGTGAACGACCTCGAAAAAACATCGGATTTCACCCAAAAAATCCGAATTGAGCGTTAAGCCCTGCAGTCTGAACGTAGCCTTAGACGTCTACAGAACTTAACCCATTATCCAGTTATCAGTGCACAAAATGAGGCATCAAAATTATATGTTTACAATCAAAATAGGCATTTAATCAGTCAAATTTTTTGTTATTCAGCACAATACAACAGTCTGGTGTACTCACGTGATAAAAACGGGGTAGATGAGGTTGTCAGGCTTCAGGTCGGTGTTGCAGGTTTGCCACGAGCGCAGGGTGGGGTGGAAGTACCCGCTGTGGAGGATGGACTCCACGGGCGTCTGCATGTTCAGTCTGTGACCGCAAGAACGCACAAAAGAAACACAAAGAACCAGGGATCAAGACGGGGTTTTGATGGAAGTGTGAGACCCGAGTGCAGCCACCGGCAAACAGGAGCAGGCATGCATGAGGAGGAGACGAAGAGTCAACAAAACCCTCGCCAATTATTTAGATAACAAAATATCTGCCCTCGCACTCGAAAATACTTTTATAGTTTAGCCTGGGGATTGAGCAATAAACAATAATAACAAAGTAAACACGGCGCTTGTTCAAAATATTAAAATCTGAATTATTCATATCCATAATTTTTTTAAACCGTCAGCAACTTTTAATCATTATCGTGCCAAAAATCGCAATTATTTGGGCCATGACGATCAAAATTTCAATATCGTCCCATGAATAGTTTAAACCTCTACAAACAAAAAAAAAAAATATTACTCCTGGACGCTTGAACGTGCTTTTCAAAAACACAAGTCGCAAATCTCACAGCAGGACTTCAGTCAAAATATTTCTCAAAACAGAGTACAAAAAAGCAAACTAAAATGCTACTCAAATATTTGCACATAAAATAAGACTTCAGTACGGATAAGACTAGAAAAAAAGAAATTAAAACATGAATTAATTACACATTTTGGTCCATTTTAAGACATTAAATAACCCGTGTAGAATTATGCTCAAGTAGATTTGATTAGAGTGACCAGACGTCCCCATTTAACCATCACAGTCCCAGTTTCGAGCCCTGTGTCCCCTGTCCCTGCAGATTTATATTTATATTAAAAAAAAAACAATAATTTGTCACAGTTTTATACAAGAAATGTCCCAGGTGTCCCTATTTTGGACAAATCTGATCACAAACAACAGTAAAGAGACTCATAAACTGTCATTTGTTGAGGTAAAATACAAAAAAGCTGCTTAAAAACGACCAAAACGCAAAGAAAATGTGACTATACATTTTCAAGAATAGTCTAAGCATAACAAATTTACTTAGTTACGCACTCGTTTCCCATTTTTATTATTAATAAGCACCAAAAAAATGGGAATCGCACTACTTCTGATGTTAAGAAGAACTTTAAGGAAGAGTTTACAGAAATAAGTAACTCTACCCTCCTCTGAGGAGACGCACCATTCATCATTGTTGAAAGAAAATTAAAGTTGGAAACGTCTTAAGTCTTAGTGTCAAATTAGTACGGAGCGTGAAGTCCTTTTTGGCGAAGAATTATTTGGGCCATGACAATCGTGAGACAAAATTTCGATATCGTCCCATGCCGAGTTTAAACCTCTACAAACAAACAAAAAAAATATTACTCCTGGACGCTTGAACGCGTGCTTTTCAAAAACACAAGTTGCAAATCTCAAACCAGGACTTCAGTTAAAATATTTCTCAAGACAGCGTACAAAAAAGCATTTAAAACATGAATTAATTACACATTTCTGTTCAGTTTTAAACGTTAAATAACCCGAGCAGAATTACGCTGATGTAGGTTTTGATAAAAGTGACCAGACGTCCCTATTTAACCGTCACAGTCCCAGTTTTGAGTCCCAGCAGCTTTAAATTTTTATCCAAAACCTGTAATTTGTCGCAGTTTTATACAAGAAATGTCCCAGGTGTCCCTATTTTGGACCAATCTGATCACAACCAACAGTAAAGAGACTCTTAAAGTGACATGTGTTTAAGTAAAATACAAAAAAGCTGCTTAAAAATGACCAAAACACAAAGAAAATGTGACTACAGATTATCAAGAATAGTCTCTGCATAACAAAATTACTTAGTTACGCACTCGTTTCCCATTTTTATCATAACTAACCACTAAAAAAACGGGGATGGTAGTACTTCTGATGTTTAGAAGAACTTTTAGGAAGAGTTTACAGAAAGAAGTAACTCTACCCACCTCTGAGGACACGCACCATTCATCATTGTTGAAAGAAAATAAAAGTTGACTAAGTTTTAAGTCTTAGTGTCAAATTAGCTGGTGAAAAAGTTCAAATTCACAGCTCTGAGTTTAAAACAGAAGGCACAACTTTAGGGATCAAAAATAGCACTTCCAAAACGCCACTCCAGCCCGTCCTCGCGCGTCTGGACACTTCACTGACTGCGCGCTCGCTCCAAGGTGCCCGCGGAGAGGGACGCGACGCGCTACGGGATGACGCGAAACCAAGACTCTTAACCCGAATGAAACTGTGCGTAAAAACGAGTTTAAAGTGCGTCCTGACTCGGTGCGTGCGCTGGCAGAGGAGCTCACCTGAAGGAGAGCAGCCCGTCCTCGGACCCTGCACCCAGATTGTCCAAGAGGATCACGCTGTTCTGGGACTGACGCTTCCTCTTCCGGCCCCTGCCCACCACCGGTTCATCCACGAGTCCTGCACACACACACAGATCTATTAAAATATCACTAAATACTCTTGTGAATACTCTAAACATTTGCCTTACACGTATTTTTGCTTAAATCTTGACGCAAATGTTAAACCCGCGCTTATTTTAACGTTTACGCTTTGACACTAGTCCGGCTCTTCGCAAAGAATCGATTCAGCGGGGACTCCGAGAAGCGGCTCCCGGTGACGTACGCGCGCCACGGCTCTTTCGGCTCCCACACGGCTCCTCGTTCGCCGTCCCAGAGCCCGCGGAGCGACGGACAGGCCGTGCGTAAAAAAAAAAAAAAGCGTGCGTACCCGGTTCCGCGCCGATGTCCCCCGCGGCGGCTCCCTGCTCTCCCTCCGCCATTTGCAGCCCCGGGTGGATGGTTCGGAAGTGCCGGTGCAGGTTGGTGGTGGAGCCCGCTTTGAACGAGATGGAAGCGTGGCAGACTTTGCACTCGGCCCGGTTGTCGCCCACGTTGCTGAACTGGAGCCACACGTTGCTTCTTTTACGCGGGTCGCTCATTTTATTTTTATTTTTTTTATTTTTTCCCCCCCGTCGCTGCGTTTCTCAAGAATTGATGGGTGGTCGTTCGCGAGTCGGCTCTTCTCGGCGAACGAGAGAGGGCCCCGAACGACTCCCGACTGACGGAGCCGAATCTTTAGCACAGTTTGACGGACGTGCAAAGCGGCCAATCACGAGCGAGCGCCGGTTTAGACTGTACCATTACGCGCGGAACACAGGGGGGCATAAACACTGAAATTGGCACAGTCCAGATATAAACCGGGGTGATTACAGAGACCGGACGTCCCTGTTTACCCGGGACAGTCCCAGTCTTGAGTCCTGTGTCCCCCTGTCCCAGCAGATTTATACAAAACCACTGATTTGTCCCAGGTTTATACAAGAAATGTCCCAGGTGTCCCTATTTTTGAACTATTTAATCTAAAACAGAACTGAACTAAAACTAAACCAGGACTATCACAATTTTTGATTAATGTGATCCCTGCCGACAGTAAAGTGGAGCATAAATTGTCATTTGTTTTGGCAAAATACAGAAATCCCTGTTTGTGAATGAACATAAAGCAAAAATGCAGTGTCAGAAGTTCCTCAGATTATGGTTGACATGAGAATGCACAATGTTACTCACTCTGTTTATTTACACCAACCATCCCAGCCCTGGTGTGTCCCAGTTTAGAATTTTGAAAACGTGGTGACCCTAGTGTGGTTGAACACAGGCAGAGTTTGACTTCTGTGTTAGGGGGCAAACATTTTAATGTCAGGGCACTAGATTCAAGATTTAAAGTGTGTATTACCACAGTGAAGAATCAACTTGTCCTGTACAATGAAATTATGTCTTTACTGTCCACAGCGCTGCTCTAACCACACTGCTGTGTGTTATAACTGTGACTTTACACACAGTAGTTCTAACACTGTTACACATAATAACTCATAAATACATAGAACATAATGTTCATAAGTCTCACATAAAAACAAACTACAGAAAACATCGCACAGGTTTAGTCCTGGTCCAGTCCTGGTTTAGTCCTAGTTTAGACCTGGTTTAGACCTGGTTTAGTCCTAGTTTAGCCCTGGTTTAGTCCTGATTTAGTCCTAGTTTAGACCTGGTTTAGTAATGGTTTAGTCCTGGTTTAGTTTAAGTCCTGGTTTAGACCTGGTTTAGTCCTGGTTTAGTCCTGGTTTAGACCTGGTTTAGTCCTGATTTTGTCCTGGTTTAGACCTGGTTCAGTCCTGGTTTAGTCCTGGTTTAGTCCTGATTTAGTCCTGGTTCAGTCTTGGTTCAGTCTTGGTTTAGACCTGGTTTAGTCCTGATTTAGTCTTGGTTTAGACCTGGTTTAGTCCTGATTTAGTCCTAGTTTAGACCTGGTTTAGTCCTGATTTAGTCCTAGTTTAGACCTGGTTTAGTAATGGTTTAGTCCTGGTTTAGACCTGGTTTAATCCTGGTTTAGACCTGGTTTAGTCCTGATTTAGTCCTGATTTAGTCCTGGTTCAGTCTTGGTTCAGTCTTGGTTTAGACCTGGTTTAGTCCTGATTTAGTCCTAGTTTAGACCTGGTTTAGTCCTGATTTAGTCCTAGTTTAGACCTGGTTTAGTAATGGTTTAGTCCTGGTTTAGACCTGGTTTAATCCTGGTTTAGTCCTGATTTAGTCCTAGGTTTAGACCTGGTTTAGTCCTGATTTTAGTCCTAGTTTAGACCTGGTTTTAATGGTTTAGTCCTGGTTTAGACCTGGTTTAGTCCTGATTTTGTCCTGGTTTAGACCTGGTTCAGTCCTGGTTTAGTCCTGGTTTAGTCCTGATTTAGTCCTGTCCTGTTCAGTCTGGTTCAGTCTTGGTTCAGTCTTGGTTTAGACCTGGTTTAGTCCTGATTTAGTCTTGGTTTAGACCTGGTTTAGTCCTGATTTAGTCCTAGTTTAGACCTGGTTTATGGTTTAGTCCTGTTTAGACCTGGTTTAGTAATGGTTTAGTCCTGGTTTAGACCTGGTTTAATCCTGGTTTAGACCTGGTTTAGTCCTGGTTTAGTCCTGATTTAGTCCTGGTTTAGACCTGGTTCAGTCCTAGTTTAGACCTGGTTTAGTCCTGGTTTAGTCCTGGTTCAGTCCTGGTTTAGAGTTTGTTGACCCTGCAAACTCTGCCTTTGGTTCAACATGGAATTAAATCTTTTTGTAACATAATGTCAGAGAAATTAAAAATTAAAATTAATATTTGTAGTGTTTGTAAAGTATTAACCAAACTGTGTCCCCAGATATGAAGAAAACATGTTCAAATCAAAACCAACTTTTACTGAAAACTACAAACTAATGTTGTGCTTTAAAGACCCCGCGGTTGTCCTGAATATCACCACCTCTTACACATTCATGTTTATAATTGTATTTAGCGTAATATTTTAATCGTTTACCTGAGCCGGAGAGCTGACACACTGCAGAGGAGCTCGGGTCCCCGTCCATGATCACCTGCTCTGTGGACAAAACACCAAAACTCACATCAAAATCAGGCTCAGTCAGATTTTACAAGGTGTAATGTGACGTGTAAGATTCTCTGTGGGCAGTGGAGCAGTGTTTGTTGTTTTCAGACTGTAGAAAAAGTGCTGTCTGTGTCTGGTGATTATTCAGAAATGTCAGAGTCTAATGCTTTGCCAGCGCTTTTCGTTGTGCTGCCTCCTGGTGTATCGACCACGGAGCGTTTTTCTCGTGCTCGTGCTGTGGTATTCGTTCATAACACGGCGCCTCGTTCTCTTGAGGTGGAAGGAAGAGATCCCACACGTCATCAGTGGAGAAATGATATCATGAGTCTCTTGCACAGTGAGAGGATGAGGTTTACACTTACAGGTTCAACCACAAAATCTGAAGAAACATGACAGCCATTTTTGAAATATATGGACACATATAAAATGGGCCCCATACCTTAAAATGGTTGTGTATGTCTTTTTTTTTTTTTTTTATTTCTCACTATGTATTTATCTGTCTTTGGATTATCTGCAGTTTTTTTCATTTGTTATTATTGTTATAATGTTTATTTATTTATTATAATTTTTTATTATTATTATTTAAAAAAAATTATGTATTTTTTTTTTTTCATTTAATATATTTTTTTATTTTTTTATTTATTTAATTTTTTCTATTTATTTATTATTCTATTTATTTATAATTTTATTTTTTTTATTATTATTTTTTTTAATTTATGTTGTTGTTGTTGTTTTGGCTTTTATTTTTATTATTTATTTAATTTTAGATTTTTAGCTTTTATTATTACTATTATTATTTATGTATTTATTTATAATTTTTGATTTTTAGCTTTTATTATTACTATTATTATGAATATATTTTATTTTTATTGTATTTTTTTTTTGTTGTTGGGGTTATTTTTGAAAAAAAAAAAAAAATTGCACAAATATGATGTTTGGTATACATACTTTGTAATTTGCTATTGAAATGTATAAATAAAATTGTAAAAAGTGTCAGTGTCAGAGTGTGAAGGTTCATCCAACTCGTCCAAACCACCGAGCAGGAAACAACACTAAACTTGACTGACTGATAATGTGATAATAATTGGAGCTGCAGACGTCAGGCTCTGGTTTATGGTTCATATCTCTGTAATTACTGATCCAAAACAAACGGACACAAAGTTCATCTTTATCTCTGTCGACACAAACAAACTGATCACATTATTTTTCACATTTGTAGTAAAAAGTGTCACATTTGTCTGAACGTTTGTTTGTGAGACGCTCCATCCTCAGCGCCGTCGAACTCACTCACATTTACTCTTTTTAAACAAACTGTTCTTTTCCAGCAGCAAAACTTTTACTCCTGGTTGAGTGACGTCACTGCTGAAGTAACAGTACTATTACTCGAGTAAAAGTCGTGCTTCTTCTTCCCGCTGTGAGTGAATCTAAAGTGAGAAAAGGTTCATGTGACAAAATGTGTCTCATTTTTGTGTCTGTCAGTTTAAAAAAAACAGATTTTGTGCATCAATTTGAAGTGAATTACATTAAATTCAAATTATAAATCAAATGTTGTGACATGTCATGTGTCATTTATTCATTCGTTTTTCAAAATAAAACCAAAAATAAGGAAACGAAAAAACAACTATTTTCTTCATTATTTGTCTCCAAAACCAAAATGAAAAAAACTTTAAAACTTTTTTTTTTTTCAGTTTATGATTTTGTGTTTAAATGAAAAATGGAAAAAATGGATAATAGACTGAACCAGGACTGAACCAGGATTGAACCAGGACTGAACCAGGATTGAACCGGTCTCAGTCTCAGTCTGGTCCCGGTCTCAGTCTGATCCTGGTCTCAGTCCAAGTCCTGTTCCCGACACTCAATCCAGTTTTAGTCCAGTTTTAGTCCAGTTTTAGTCCAGTTTTAGGCCTGGTTTAGACCTGGTTTCAGTCCTGGTTTAGTCCTGGTTTAGTCCTGGTTCAGTCCTGGTTTAGTCCTGGTTCAGTCCTGGTTTAGTCCTGTTTTAGTCATGGTTTAGGCCTGGTTTAGACCTGGTTCAGTCCTGGTTTAGTCCTGGTTTAGTCCTGGTTTAGTCCTGGTTCAGTCCTGGTTTAGACCCGGTTCAGTCCAGTTTTAGTCCAGTTTTAGTCCAGTTTTAGTCCTGGTTTAGTCCTGGTTTAGTCCTGTTTTAGTCATGGTTTAGGCCTGGTTTAGACCTGGTTCAGTCCTGGTTCAATCCTGGTTCAGTCCTGGTTTAGTCCTGGTTTAGTCCTGGTTTAGTCCTGGTTTAGTCCTGGTTCAGTCCAGTTTCAGTCCAGTTTTAGTCCAGTTTTAGTCCTGGTTGAGTCCAGTTTTTTAGTCCAGTTTTAGTCCAGGTTTAGTCCATTATCCGTTTTTTCCATTTTTCATTTAAACACAAAATCGAAAACTGAAAAAAACAAATCATTATCTGTTTTTTTTGTTGTTGTTGTTGTTTTTTATTATTTTGGAGACAAATAATGAAGGAAATAGTTTTTTTTTTGTTTGATTTTTTTTAAATTTTCTTATTTTTTTTGGTTTTATTTTGAAAAACGAAAACTTTACTTGAGTGCAGTAGTTTTCCCAAATATATTTTTTTATTCTTACTTGTTTTGAAGTACTGTTCCTTTTACTAGAGTACAGTTTTTTGGCTCCTCTGCCCACAGATGCATGAGTGTGTGAGGTGCAGTACCGTAAGCGAGGGCGCCCCCCAGCTGCTGCTCGGAGCGCTGCACCATGAACCTCTCGTACTCCACGCGGTGTTTGAGGCGCAGGTGTTTGACCAGGTTGGTGGTGTTTCCGCAGCTCTTCACCGGGTTCAGGCAAACGTCGCAGGTCGTCTCTCCGCTGATGTGACGCGTAAAGTACCTCCACACCGGGCTCCGTTTACGGTCGCCGGGGAACTTCCTCTCTGTGTCAGAAAGGAAGAAGAAGAAGAGAGTTTGAAGATCTGTTGTTGCTCCGGATTTTATAGTTTTATCTCCAACCACCAGGACTAAACCAGGACTAAACCAGGACTAAACCAGGACTAAACCAGGACTAAACCAGGACTAAACCAGGTCTAAACCAGGACTAAACCAGGACTAAACCAGGTCTAAACCAGGACTAAAACCAGGACTAAACCAGGTCTAAACCAGGACTAAACCAGGACTAAACCAGGTCTAAACCAGGACTAAACCAGGACTAAACCAGGTCTAAACCAGGTCTAAACCAGGACTAAACCAGGACTAAACCAGGACTAAACCAGGTCTAAACCAGGTCTAAACCAGGACTAAACCAGGGACTAAACCAGGTCTAAACCAGGAGGTCTAAACCAGGACTAAACCAGGACTAAACCAGGTCTAAACCAGGACTAAACCAGGACTAAACCAGGTCTAAACCAGGTCTAAACCAGGACTAAACCAGGACTAAACCAGGTCTAAACCAGGACTAAACCAGGACTAAACCAGGTCTAAACCAGGACTAAACCAGGACTAAACCAGGACTAAAACCAGGTCTAAACCAGGACTAAACCAGGACTAAACCAGGACTAAACCAGGTCTAAACCAGGACTAAACCAGGTCTAAACCAGGTCTAAACCAGGACTAAACCAGGACTAAACCAGGACTAAACCAGGACTAAACCAGGTCTAAACCAGGACTAAACCCTAAACCAGGACTAAACCAGGTCTAAACCAGGTCTAAACCAGGACTAAACCAGGACTAAACCAGGACTAAACCAGGTCTAAACCAGGACTATAACTGGACTAAAACTGGACTAAAACAGGACTGATCAACTGTAAAGAGAAAAGTATTTTTTTTTAAAACATACTTTATATTTTTTTAAGAGAAGCATCAAGTCACTAGCAGTCCGAGTCAAGTCCCAAGTCACTGACCTTCAAGTCCAAGTCGAGTCCCAAGTCTTAGTCCATTTTATCAAGTCAAGTCTCAAGTCCTAAAAACGGTGACTCAAGTCTGACTCGAGTCCAAGTCCACACCTCTGGTCTTTACTCTGACGACGACACAGAGAAGTTTGATTTTGTGAGACGAACGAAGCCGATTGGTCGAAGCCGAGTCTTGTTTTTCTCTTTCGCGTCTGAAGTGACCTCGGCTCACAGAAAACTCGCAGCAGAAGTGAACGTGACCTTACGTAAAATCTTATCGAAGGACATTCCCAACATTCCCACTGCTACAAAATACACGGAGAATAAAACAAACAACAAAGTGTGTCCGAGCGTTTCTCTGGATTTACCTCGAGGAGAAACCTGAGTGACGCTGAAAGAACCAAAGTCCATCTCCTCGGTCTCTGCAAAAACAAAATTCACACGTAAATATTTAGTTTAATCGATTAATCGGTCTGTAAACAGTTCGATTACACTCCCAAATCTTCTGATACCGTTTTTTTTTTTTTTTTGAAACACATAAATACTTAGACATACCACAATATAATATAATAAAAAATAATATAACAAAAATATAAATTGTAATAATAAATTCTAAATAAGTAAAAAAAATAAATAAAAAGAATAAAAAAGACAAAATTATATAAATGTAAATGTAAAAGTTAAAATAAAATAGAAAAATAAGTAAAAAAATATATATATAAAATCTCAGCTTTATACAAGAGTGAGTTGTTGTACAGTTGTAGGGAGTATTATCTGTTACATAAAGGTGAGTTGTTGTACAGTTGTAGGGAGTATTATCTGTTACATAAGGTGAGTTGTTGTACAGTTGTAGGGAGTATTATCTGTTACATAAAGGTGAGTTGTTGTACAGTTGTAGGGAGTATTATCTGTACATAAGTGTGAGTTGTACAGTTGTAGGGAGTATTATCTGTTACATAAGGTGAGTTGTTGTACAGTTGTAGGGAGTATTATCTGTTACATAAGGTGAGTTGTTGTACAGTTGTAGGGAGTATTATCTGTTACATAAGTACATAATAGTGAGTTGTTGTACAGTTGTAGGGAGTATTATCTGTTACATAAGGGTGAGTTGTTGTACAGTTGTAGGGAGTATTATCTGTTACATAAGGGTGAGTTGTTGTACAGTTGTAGGGAGTATTATCTGTTACATAAGGATGAGTTGTTGTACAGTTGTAGGGAGTATTATCCTTTACATAAGAGTACGTTTTTGTACAGTTGTAGGGAGTATTATCTGTTACATAAGTGTACGTTGTTTGTACAGTTGTAGGGAGTATTATCTGTCACATAAGGGTGAGTTGTTGTACAGTTGTAGGGAGTATTATCTATTTTAAGCTTTTAACTGTCGCCATTTAAAACCAAATAAAAGTCCAACGAGTATTTTTTTTTTTCTTTTACTGACTGATCTCTCCGTTAAAAAGACCCGAGCCGATCACGGACCAATAATTATCGATTCGGTTTCGATATTTACCCCGCCACAGTTCGAAAACATATTTAAACTGCAAAATTCTGCGTTTGATCATGTTTAAAAAAAAAATAAATAACGCCACATTAAAAGGAGTATTGTTCATGTGTTTGATTTATTGATCCGTTTCGTCATTTGCGCGGATTTCAGTTTTAATATTGATTATGGAAATTCAATAAAATCAGTACAGACTAAAGTGACTCCTGCCCCCATCTCCATCTGAGGCACGTTCAGTGTCCGATTACTGCAGAGAAACACGAGAGAATGGAAAAATTTTGACTTATACTGAGCATTTTTACAGTTTGTGACGAGACTGGACCCTGTAAAAACACCAAATCCAGTTCAGGTTTAATGAAATCTGACGCTGATCTGGTCACAGTCTCAGCAGGAGGACGACGTGTGAACAAAGATGAGAGACGTTTCACTGTTTTTAGAAGAAATTTCCCAAACTTCTGATCCACAAATGTTTCTCCTTCTCGTTATTTGTTTTGGGGATCGGCTCCACAAACTCGTCACACTGTTAATCTTTTGTCTTTAAGTCCTTTCAGCTGAAAACAATCAGGGCTCTGTGAAAATATGATATCAGCCGCCCTCCCCAATGAGTCGTCTCAGATTTGGCTGGAAAAAAAGTCTAAAAAAAATTCTAAACTGACCAAATTAAATCATCTAAAATTTTACCTCATATTTCAGTCGTCCCTGAGTTATGGCCTGTAGAAATTTTCGGAAACCTTAAATTATAAGCATTTTTGAGAGACCATAACTTCATCAAAAATAGAGCTAGGAAGCTGAAAATTTGGATTATTGTAGATTCTTGGTCATAGATTTTGAATCTGTTGTCAAATATTGTGTGTCTTTATTAAGGGCGGCGCTGTGGGACCCCAAAATCTCAAATTTTTGTTTTGTTTTTTTCAATTTTTGAGGTCCAAGATCTATTTACTCTAAGCAGATATTTACAAACTATTTGTAGAACCTGAATATTTGAGAGAATGAACATTTCTGACAACAATCTCACACTTTTCTGAGTTTTCATGTGGACGGTGTAGAGACACAAATATGGTCACAGACCAAATGTGATCTTTTTGGCCCCTGGACCCTCGGTTCCCCATGAGGCACAGTTAAATGTTGATAAAATTTTTACCAGAGAAATTTTGACATATTCTGATTAGTTTAAAGTAATAAAAACATCTACTATTACTAAAACATTTATTACAGATTCAGAATCTGTGATCCAGAATCTACAATAATACATATTTTAAGCTTCCTCGCTCTGATTTTTATGAAGTTCTGGTCTCTCAAACATGATTATAAATTTCTACAGGCCATAACTCAGGAACGACTGAAAAAAAACACAACAAAAAACAAATCTGAGATGGCCAGGACTAAAAGGGACTAAACAGGGACTAAACCAGGACTAAACACTATGACACTAACAGTAGTGTGGACATAATTTAAAGCAGCAGTGATTCTTATATAAAAAAACATTTCTCTATCAATAATATTTTTAATTTGGTTAAGTAAAGTCTGGACTTTTTATTTTCTTTTAGCAGATAAAACTAAACTTCTTATGTTAAAATATTCTCATCTTTTCTTCTCTACAGTATAAACAGTTTCTTATTCATGGAGACTTGGGCTCAACAGACAATTTGAAGAACAAAGATGAATTTTCAGGATGTGGTTGTTACATTCATGTAGTTTTAAAAAGCACGACAATATCAAGTAATCCAAAGTATTCAGATTACATTACTCACTTTAAGTAATTTAATGGATTATGTTACAACTGCTAGCAACCACATCCTGAAAATTCTTGTTTATTGTCTTCAAATTGTCTGTTGAGCCCAAGTCTCCATGAACAGACTTTTGTTTTTCTGTAGAGAAGCAAAGACAAAGATGTTTTATCTGCTAAAAAACACAAAAAGTCCAGACTTTCCTTAACCAGATTAAAAATATTATTGATAGAGAAATTGTTTTTTACATGAGATCACTGCTGCTTTAAATGATGTCCACACTACTGTTAGTGTCATAGTGTTTAGACCTGGTTTAGTGTCCAGCAATGAGTAGTATTACCGAAAAAAAAAAAAAAAAACGGGAATAGCCCAAAATGTGAAAACAGGAAAATACCGCCGTGTAATCCATTTATTTCAACCAAGTAACTGTAATCCAATTACCACTCACTGAAACAGTAACTGTAACTGAATAGAGTTACTCATAATTTGTACTCTGATTACATAACTCCGGTACATGTAATCTGTTACTCCCCAACACTGTAATCTGTAGGGGAGTACGTTTCCCAACACAGATGTATATTTGTGTTATTCATAAAGACGTTGTGCACAAACGAACTCTTAAACCTCCAGCGATGTTTCTGTTTGTACCATTGTCTATTACATTGTAGATTTTAAATAAATAAATAAAAAAATAATAATAATAAATAAATAAAAATAGCTGAAAAATGAAGCGTAGAAGAAGAGCGCGGATGGAGCGCGTTCGTACCGTACGCGTGCTCGCCGTCGGCCGCGCTCTCGTCCGCCTCCGCGCTGCTCTGGCTCCCCCTGGCGGCCGGACCCTGCTCCTGCTCGGACCGCTGCAGCATGAAGCTCTCGTACTGCGCCGTGTGTCTGAAGCGCAGATGTTTGACCAGGTTGGTGGTGTTGCCGCAGCTCTTCACCGTGTTCAGGCACGTGTCGCAGGTGGCCTCCCCGCTGTTCTGACGCGTGAAATAATGCCACACTGCGCTCCTTTTGCGCTCGCCCTTCACTTTGTGTGGAGCTGGAAGTGGCACCAAAAAATCAGGATCGGTGGATAGTTGAGGCACACTTGAGAAGAGAGCGTCTGTAGCCATGGTGATAAAAAATCTGAAGTTAAAAAGCCCGGAATGTTTGAAAAGAACGAGTATTTTAAAGCTGAGTGGATCGAGGCCACAGCAGTCTGCAACACGGAAGTATCGATTCCACATGGGTCGATACCATAGGCTGGGGGGCGGAGCCACGCCTCTGGTGGAGGATTCCACTGCAATATTGATGTTTTGTGCACTGGAGAAGGGCCACCGGGTCTGATAACACAGACTGTGCGCGCTGAGAACAGGAGAGTCATAAAAACAAGAAAGATGAAGATTGTGGAGAGATTTTAAAATGGAAGATGTTTGTAGAAAACCTCACAACACCTGAGACGTGAAGGGTTTTCAGGTTCATGTTGTGTAGGCCTCGAGCACCGCCTTTTACAGGGTTCAGATTATTTCTTTCTTTCTTTTGTGATCACATTTTTATTTAAGTGTTATTATTTGCAGTTATTCCAGTTGGTGTTACATTTTTCTACCTTTTAAACCAAAAACCTCCTTCCCTCAAACTCCCAGATACAGAAAACACATGGATATATATAAAATACACATATACAAATATAATACATATATACAGCTTCTACATAAACACACATACCCTTATACACATATTATAATGTGTGTGTGTGTGTGTGTGTGTGTGTGTGTGTGTGTGTGTGTGTGTGTGTGTACACAGATGTGTTCAAAATTGTTGGTTCCTTCTGGTAATGAAAGAAAAAGCAATTAGTTTCAAGTTATTTCAGTGACCATTGTTGATTTTTCTTTCATTACCAGACGGAACCAACAATTTAGAACACGTTTGTAATTGTGTGTGTGTGTGTGTGTATATATATATATATATATACACACACACACACACACACACAAAAGACCCACGGTGGAGACTGTACAAAGAGGCTCCTGAGACAGTCCAGCACAGAACTGGGCTGGAGACCCCAGGATCAAGGTGGGAAACACCTCCAAAGGTTGTGAAGAACGACTGAGCCAAGATCCTGTGGGACTTCAGATACAGACTGACAGGATGGAGATGAACCAACCAGACATAGTGGTGGTGGAAAAACTGGCACAGTAGATCTGTGGTGGTGCAACATCACAACACCAAGAGATGGTGATATCAGGAAGAAGGAACATGAGAAACTAGAGAAACACCAGGGGCTCAAGGAGGAGCTGGAGGGAGGCTGTGGTGATCAGACACTCGGGGCTGTAACCCCCAAACTGGAAGAAACTACAACAGATACTGGGAAAAACAACAGAACATCTCAGTCCAGAAAAGTGCAGGACTGGAACAGTAAAGATACTGAAGAACTCTGAGGCTCCCAGGACCTGGTAGACGACCTGAGCTGAATGAGGGTGAGAGACCAACCACCATGGCCACTTTTTAATGCACAAAGTTGGGCTTCAAACTTATACATTTGCAATGGTAAAAGGCATTTAATTAACCATATTTTTGTTGTTCAGGACAAAGGTCTAATTCTGAAATCCCTTGTCGAGCTACAGGTTAAAGACCCGGGTTTCATTTTCATCCAACTGAACCCAAAGCCTCGCCCTCCTCTTTCTTGTAGCCGCTAAAATGAGCAGCTCTCTGGCATTTTTATTTTGTAAACAAGCTCCCTGAAGGAAAAAGCTCTGAGACCCCTGCAGTAAACTCATCTCCTCATATATATTTGTAAATGTAAGTTGTAATAAAGCTGCTCTGTGCAACATTTCAGGTGAAAAGTCTGGATTGTTCCACAGTACGGTTAAGTTATCTGTCTTCCATTTTTCCATTACTATTACCATAATATTACTTTATAGCAGCAGAGGTGGGACCAAGTCGTTGTTTTGCGAGTCTCAAGTCTTTGACCTCAAGTCCGAGTCAAGTCCCAAGTCAAATACAGACAAGTCCAAGTCGAGTCTCGAGTCTCTGGTCCATAAGTCCAAGTCAAGTCCAAGTCGTCTGCTTTGAGCTTCTGAGCTTCCAAATACAGCTTAGATTTTTGCAGTTTATATGAATTTTAAACTAAACTGTAATTAAAAAGTGATGGTAAGAATTGTAGAAATGCAATTTTTTTTCCTTTTTAAATGTTTTGACAAAATCTCAGTGTGAATCATTGTCAGAATAGAAAGAATTCAGATTTAAAAGTGTTTAATAACCATTATTTTGTTGTGTCATCTGCACTGAAATGGAAGGATTGTGTTCTTTGTAGTTCTGTTTTACTGTGTTGTACTGTATGTTACTGTAGTACATTTGAGTATTGCAGTACTTCAATTACTGTTGCCAAAGTAACAGAAGTGGGAGGGAAATATTCCACTTTGTTTCTGTCAAATTTAGCGCCGCATTTATCAACTGTAAAAAGAAAAGTATTTTATAAAAACATTTTCTTAGGAGAAACATCAAGTCTTCTCAAGTCACAGGCCTCAAGTCCGAGTCAAGTCCCAAGTCAAATACAGACAAGTCCAAGTCGAGTCTTCGAGTCACTGGTCCATAAGTCCAAGTTAAGTCCAAGTCGTCTGCTTTGAGTTTTTGAGCTACCAAGTACAGCTTAGATTTTTGCAATTTATATGAATTTTAAACTAAACTGTAATTAAAGTGATGGTAAGAATTGTAGAAATGCTCGTTTTTTCCTTTTTAAATGTCTTGACAAGATCTTAGTGTGAATCATTACATCAGAACAGAAAGAATTCAGATTTAAAAGTGTTTAATAACCATTATTTTGTTGTGTCGTCTGCACTGAAATGGAAGGACCAGGTTCTTTGTACTTCTGTTTTACTGTGTTGTACTATATGTTACTGTAGTACATTTGAGTATTGCAGTACTTCAGTTACTGTTGCCAAAGTAACAGAAGTGGGAGTGATATGTTCCAGTTTGTTTCCTGTAAAATTCAGCGCCGCATTTATCAAGTGTAAAGAGAAAAGTATTTTCTAAAAACAAATTTTTTAGGAGAAGTATCAAGTCTTCTCAAGTCCGAGTCAAGTCCCAAGTCTTAGTCCATTTATCAAGTCAAGTCCTAAAAATAGTGACTCAAGTCTGACTCGAGTCCAAGTCCGTCTCATTTTTATACATCACTCAACTTTTTTTTTTTTTTAATCTGTTTCTATTGTAAGAAAAGTTACATAGCAAACCTTTAAATGTCACAGCCACAGCCAACAGCCAACTCTACATCACACACATCACAACACTTTTGTTTATTTTCAGCATTTGACGGTTTTATTTACAGGTATGTACAAAACGAAAAAGAAGCTCCGTTTAAAACTTAAATAACCATTTGCAGAGTCTGCGTCCACATACACGTGAAGAAAAGGCTTAAACACATGCGGCGGATACAAAACGTGCAAATAAACTGTACAAACCAACGGCACAGGATATAAAAAATAAATTACATGTTGGACTTAGTGTGTAATGTGTCGTGTTCAGCGGTTCAATGAAGTAAACGTAAAATATAAAACCACTGTGACGTGATTCGTCGATGGTTGTCGACACTGACTAACGTGAAAATACAAACGAACGTGAAAACATCTTCGACTCTGGGCCACGTTTACGAAGAAGAGACGATGGTTTTTTGTTGCAGTTTGGTTGATTTTACATTTTAAGGTTTCGCTTGACGTTACGTTTTACATTTAAAGACTGAAGTAATGACGGTCAATCCATGTATCATTCGTTCATTTGTTTTTCAATATAAAACCAAAAATAAGAAAACGAAAAAACAACAGTTTTCTTCATTATTTGTCTCCAAAACCAAAATGAAAAAACTCATAACGATTCGTTTTTTCAGTTTTCGATTTTTTAAAACGACTGTTTCCCATTTACGTGACTTCCGTGACTGCGATGTCGGACTTTTACACTGCATACGGACTGAACCAGGACTGAACCAGGTCCGAGACCAGACCGGAACCAGACCGGGACTGAGCCCGAGACCAGCGGTCCGAACGGTTCCGTGTCACTGTCTGCGCGCTGTTTTGGAGTCAAAGCTCGCAGGTCTGGTCTGGTCCCAGTCCCGGACCTGGATCAGTCCTGGTCCTGTCCGTATGCGGTGCAAAAGTCCGACATCATAGCCACGGAAGTCACGTAAACGGGCTGTTACCGTTTTTTTCATTTTTCATTTAAACACAAAATCGAAAACTGAAAAAAAGAATCATTATCTGTGTTTTGGAGACAAATAATGAAGAAAACTGTTGTTTTTTCATTTTCTTATTTTTTGTTTTATATTGAAAAACGAATGAATGACACACAGATTACGGTCGTTTGTTGTGCGACTGAAAGTGAATCGAAAAAACTACGTCTGGGGATGAAGAGATAACGAAAAAGTAAAAAAGTAATTTCCTTTGTGGAGCAATAAAGTAAGTCTTAAAAAATCCTTTTAATATTTTTTGGTGAAATTACTTAAAAAATACTTCTGGGCAGAGTTGGTTTAATTTGAAATAGGTAAAACTGTATATTTTGCTGATAAACTGTTGGTGTTTTAGAGTTTTTGTGGTTGAAAAGTGGCTGCTGTAGGGATTGTGCACATAAAACGAAAATAATCTCATGAGATGTTTTTACGTTTGGGTTGGATACAAAAATGGAGTTAAGTATTGATAGCGAGTTAAATTTTTTGAGAGGCTGTAGTCCCAAAAAGAACTGCTACGATGACAGCGGAAATCAAAAATGTTGAAGCCAAAATCGGGAACTGGATCGTTGGATGGATTTATTTATTCTAAAGAATCTCAAAATCTCGTCTTGTCTCGTGGACTGTATCTTGATATTTTGGCTGCGTTTACACCAAATTAAAACGTGGATTAACCTGGGACTAAACAATCCGTGTGTCATTCATTTTCAATATAAAACCACAAAAAAAAAGAAGACAAAAAAAAAACAAAACAAAAAAAATAAATAATTTCTTCATTATTTGTCTCCAGAATCAAAATGAAAAAACTGTGACTTAAGTGCGATGCCGGACTGAACCAGGACTGAACCAGGACTAAACCAGGTCCGGGACCAGAACTGAGACCAGGACTGAGCCCGGGAACCGACCGGGACTGAGACAGAGACTAGACCAAGACCAGCCCATGATTCAGACCAGGACTGAGGCCGGGACCAGACCAGGACTGAAAACAGTTTAGACCTGGTTTAGTCCTGGTTTATACCTGGTTTAGTCCTGGTTTAGTCCTGGTTTAGTCCTGGTTTAGTCCTGGTTTAGTCCTGGTTCAGTCCGGCATCACAGTTTAAGTCACAGAAATAGGAAACGGACGTTTTTTCCATTTTTCATTTAAACACAAAATCAAAAACTGAAAAAATTAATCAACAGTTTTTTCATTTTGGTTTTGGAGACAAATAATGAAGAAAACTGTTGTTTTATCGTTTTCTTATTTTTGGTTTTATATTGAAAAACGAATGAACGAATGACACACAGATTCTAAACCAGAACCAAACTCTACATCCCGACTAAACTGGACTCAAACTGCGTCGCCAAGTTCATCTCATCTCTCAAATTCGTTGCAAATTTGGTAACTGCGTTTGTCGCAACATAAAAAAATTCTGAAACGATAACAGCGTAAATTGTAATTGGAGGATTTAATTAAAGTTCCTCTTATACGTAAAGTTGGGGAGCAGACGTGGGCACTGGATTGTCCAAAATTAACTTCACACCAGCAACTGAAAACAATTCTGAAGTGGAAAATGGAGTAAACTTAAAACAAAATTTGAGGGGGAAAAAAAAACCATATATCCTCCAACTTAATTTTACAATTCATTTTCTCAACTTTTTTGTCAATTTCTGAAGGAAAAAAGAAAATACGACCTAATTATTGTGTTTGTGGACTTTTAAAAAAACATTAAGATTTTAATAAATGTCAGCGTCGCCCAAAAAACTCAAAATCTCTTATCAAACGTCGCCCAGTGTTTCCCATCGATTTCTTCAGATTTACGGTGGCACCAGTTATTTTTATATGAATCATTTTCTCTTGTCTAGTTAGTCGAGTATAAATGTCACTTACGGCCTATATTTCATATCTGAGCGGTTTTTAGCAACGTTTTTATGTTTATGACAATACAACGAGCAACAAAGCGCGATTTAGAGCTGCAGGATGGAAATCGCAAAGGCTGCAATTTATTAAGTGCAACAATTTCCTCCACAAATGACAAAATCTCTGGTCTTATCCTGCGTAAAAAAAAAAAAAAAAAAAGTTTAACCCTGTACAAACGGTCCAGAAATGTGACTCTTGTTTTTAAGCCTTGGCGTACACTGCGCGATTTTTGGGATCGGGCCGAGTTTTGGCTTAATCGTGCGTCGTGCTTCTTGTAGTAAACATGAGGTAACGAGAAAAGATTATTGTATTTTTCGGACTATAAGTCGCACTTTTTTTCATGGTTTGGGTGTTTCCTGTGACTTATATATTAAAATTGTTGAGAGTGAAGCGGTGAGAGGCTCTAGTCTTGTGTGTGAGTATCTGCTGCTCCTGTTCCTCCTGCACCACTGTCACTTGGCTCTACTGCAGAAAGAGCCTCTGTCCTGCTGCAAGTCGTGAAATATTCAAACGAAAACGGTAATCGAGCAGCAGAAAGTAAGTCTGGAGTGAGAGAGAAACTCGTGAGGGACTGGAGGAAACACAGCTTCACGGGAACCGGGAGGATGCACCATGAAACTTTCCTGAAGTCACTGGATGGATGGACAAAGCCTGGACTTCAGTGACACCGAAACCATCCTGTCGGGATTCAGAAAGACCCGAATAATTCTAACTGGAACTGATGCTGAGTCTGACGACAGCGACACAGAAGAGGAAGTGACGCTCTGTTTACCTCCGGAGGTCGAGGTCGAGTTGTTCAGAAGTGACACCGAGGATGAAGAATTGAATGGATTTAGTGATTTGGAGTGAGATGGAGAGTTTGTTAAACTTGTTCTGTTCTGTTGTTTATGTTATAGTTTATCTGAAGAACTGTTCATATGTGACGTTAACAGTCTGTTGTTCTCTCTTCTATTGTTTTTACTACAACTTGACTTTACACAGGAAATGTCAGTTCCTGGTCTCTGATTTTATAAAATACATTTCCTCCAAAAAGTGCGACTTGTATGTGTTTTTCTTCTTCATTACACATTTTTTGGCTGGTGTGACTTCATACTCCGGAGTGACTTATAGTCCTAAAAATACTGTACGTCGTTTTAACACCAGAAATTTAGTAAATATAAAAGCCATGGCAAGTGTGTAGATGAGGTACAGTAAGACTACGTTCACACTGCAGCCTGAAGTGACCCAAATCTGATTTTTTGGCCCCTATGTTCCTGTATCTGATCTTTTAATGACAGTCTGAACGACACAGATCCGATTTTTTCAAATGTGTGAAATACATTTAGCTCAAAAAATGCGTCTTATATGTGTTTTTTTCTTCTTCATTGCACATTTTTTGGCTGGTGCGACTTATACTCCGAAAAATACTGACGAACAGCTCCTGATCGACAATCGCAGCTCGCAAGAATATCGAACCGGTCTGAAATCCAGTCGCCTTTCGTGAGGGTTTCACAACGAGCATCGGATCGTTTAATGTGAGAACGTGAATCGTAAACCCTGTGATTTGGTCGTACAGTTTGAGCTGGGGCTGAGCGAAACGATCGAAAATATCGCGCGGTGTACGTCCGGGGATGAGTTTGTCAGTACGGATTCGCCGTTTTTGTCGCGTTCAGAATGTGAACTTGGAACCGAGTCCTGCTATTAAAACAGAAATCGCAAATCTGATCTGAAAGCTTGTCCGCAAAACCACGAGCTGATAGTTTTCCGCGCAGTCCTAGCGTGATGTGTAAAGTCCCGGGTTTTTTTTGGCTACGAGGGACCACCATAGTTTCTTTATAGTCTAGTTGACCCGACAGGCCCGGATCATGAGCAGCTGTAGAAGAATGAAGAGCGGCGACACGATGAGCCCGAACCACAGATCTCTGGCCTGCTCCTGCTCGGCCATCTTCTGACACAGCAGCACCTCGCACACCAGCTTCAGGCTCAGCACCGTCAGCACCCAGAGGAGCCTGAGCACCGCCAGCCGCTTCTCGTTCTCCTGGTACAGGCGGATGGACACGATGGCCGTGAAGTAGGTGCTGAGGCCGTCGGCGGCGAACAGCGGCGAGAACACCAGCCACCAGCTCAGGGACGGCGTGAACATGTCCGCGCGGAGGGCCACCAGCATGCTGAACGCCAGGAACGCCAGCAGGTGCAGGAAGAGCTCGAAGGTAGCGAAGCCCAGCCACTGGACCAGCTCCCGCAGAGAGAACAGCATGGTGGAGGTGGACGAGGTTTGGTTATTTGTCCAGAAGAAGGGAGAGGCTACATCTTCAGGACGGTGGTAGAAGTTGGCGTGGAGGCGGTTCAGTCCAGCGTAACGGGATGTGCGCACTACAGAAAAGAGAGAAAGCAGAAAAACATGGATATGAATTATGAAATTAAGCAATAGTTTAATTCTGTGCAAGATGTGAACTCCCAGTGTGAAAAGTAGGGACAGGCATTCGATGAAATTTTATTAAATCGATCGTCGAGAGAATTAACAATCGATTTTCAATTAATTATTAACGTTTTTATATAATAAGTATCATCATTACTTTTACTGTCACTAATCTGCATAAATAAACTCAACTTAACAACAGATAAACAGTAACGACTCTAGAGCCACATCAGCCCGTTTGACATTATAATGTGTTTAATGCAGTTTTGTACAAGTCTCACAAAAACTAAACTAAAAACCGCTCATGTCGCTGTGTCGTTCAGGCTCCGTTCAGACTGCAGCCTGAAGTGACCCAAATCAGATTTTTTGGCCTCTATGTTCCTGTATCTGATCTTTTAATGACAGTCTGAACCACACAGATCTGATTTTTTCAAATGTGACCCAGGACACTTGGATATGTGCTCCTGAAACTGATACATATCTGATCTTTTGACATGTGACTTCAGTCTGAACGGCCAAAGTGCATTCATCCACCTACACGTTATCAACAAGACACAAACGTACACAAACGTTCTTCTCGTCATATGAAAATTGTTAATAAACTCCGTGTCACTGAAGCAAAGCACATCACCACTCACCACTCTTGGCTCCGTCTCCACATCCACACGTTCCTTTCCAACGTTCTGTCCCACAAAACACCACGACCAAAAACCTCGTCCTTCTCCTTCTCAATCTCCTCCTTAAAACAAGTAAGTTGTTCATGTTCTGGCTCCGGTACGAGAGGAACTTTAAAATCTCCAGGTGCTCGATGCTGCGTCCATGTTTGGACAACTTCTGTAAACACAGAGACGCTCGCTGCGGTTGACGTCGTCGTGTCTCCAGTGTCACATGTGGGACACTTTTGGGCCATTTTTTTAATGTTCACACTGGAGTCACATACAAGTCACATTTAATTGGAAATGTGAACGACCTCGAAAAAACATCGGATTTCACAAAAAAAAAAAAAAAAAAAATCCGAATTGAGCATTAAGCCCTGCAGTCTGAACGTAGCCTCAGACTGTCATTAAAAGATTAGATACAGGTCACATAGGAGCCAAAAAAATCAGATCTGGGTCACTTCAGTCTGCAGTCTGAACATAGCAATACAGTAGAGATACAGTTTGTCAAGACAAAAGCAGGACATTCCGATCTTTCTAATCATAAACTAACTGAACAGGACAAACACTACTGATAGAGATGATGTCATGGCTTGTTACCCAGATTCCAAAAATACATAAAACTGCATTTGTGAACGACCATAAAGCAAAAAATAAATAAAAATGCAGCAACAGAAGCTCATCAGATCACGACAGACACGCGAACGCACAATCTTACACGCTCTTTTCACTATTTTATTTATATCAACCATCACAACTCGGGTGTGTCCCAATTTTTTTTTTTTTTCAAAATCTGGTCACTCTACTCCAGCTGCGTCTAGTCCAGAATAATGAACATTCTGATAACAAGGATTTTAAAAAGGTCAATAGAATGTTGTGATCATCTGAAATCCAGCAATAAACGACCTTTTCAAAATTCTAAACTGGGACACGCTCAGGTTGTGACGGTTGGTGTAAATAAAATTGTGAAAAGAGCGAAAAGAGAATCCACAATCTGAGGAATTTCTGTCGCTGCAATTATTTTTTTTGCCTTACGGTCATTCTCAAACACGGATTTCTGTATTTTGGCCGAACAAATGACAGTTTATGCTCCTCTTTACTGTTGGCGGTGAGGCTGGGGATCGTTAAGAAGTTGCCGACACGATACAGACCTCGATACATTGAGCTTTCGATGCGATATATTTCAAATGGATTCGATACGGTTCAGTAAAAAATAAAGTCTAAATCATGTCTGTGATACTAAAAGTCTTTGTTAAACCACTTCTTCTTGTGCAAAGTTCATATGAAACACAAACATTTTAATCATCAAAACAGTGAAAATGTCAAATATGTCGCATAAACAAGTTTCCTTCCTCCAAACAAACAACAAAACTGTAGCTGTAACAAAATAATTTAGTAAAATAACAAAAAAAAATACTCTTGGTGATGTATCGACATGGCAGCTCATGATATCGATACAGGATCATCACATTACATCGATATATATATTTTTATTTATTTATAATTTGTCAAGTTTGAGGGATTGGATACCCAGCACATCAACAAAACAGACATAACAAAATATAAAACTAATACACATACAAAGAAAGAGAAAAAAAACATGAAATTTTGATTAGTGGTGTGCAAAATATTGAAATATCGATCGTTTAATGAGATGATACAGTATCGATATCGTGGGCTGCTGTATCGATATATCACCAATAGTATTTTTTTGGTATATTTTACTCAATTATTTTGTTCTCAGCTACAGTTTTGTTGTTTGTTCAGAGGAAGGAAACTCGTTTATGTGACATATTTGACATTTTCACTGTTTTGAGGATTTAAATGTTTGTTTTCATATGTTTTGTTTGTGTTTTTTCATATGAACTTTTGCACAAGAAGAAGCGGTTTAACAAAGACTTTAAGTAACACAGACACGATCTAGCCTTTATTTTTTATTGAACGGTATCGAATCGTTTTGAAACATATCGTATCGAATCGAAAGTGCGCTGTATCGAGATATGTATCGTATCGGCAACTTCTTAATGATACCCAGACCTAATTTTGATATATTTGCACATCTCTAGTTGGCAGGGATCAGATTAGTCAAAAATGTTGTTTGTGATGTTTAAGTCCTGGTTTAGTCTTAGTTTAGTCCTGGTTTAGATCAACATTTCTTGTATAAAACTGGGACAAGTCACTGGGGCAGGGGACAAAGGCTCAAAACTGGGACTGTCCCGGGTAAAAAGAGACGTCTGGTCGCCCTACATAAGGTGCAGTGCCTCTAAGGAACCTTCAAATGAAACAGAAAACGCACACCAAGGTTCTTGTAGAGGTGCAAATGCAATGAACTGTAAAATAAACGTGAAAAAATGCACAGCGCACTCAAACTCAGATGGCTGATGTCCAAAAGCTTTTTCATTTTTAAATAAAGTTTCGTCAGATCATTTTTCTTGCTTTGGACCACCACAGTTTGGCTTTTGAGGTCCAATAAAAACAAAACAAAAAAATAAAAAAAGCTTTTGGACATCGGCCATCTGAGGGCCTGTCCACACGACAAAGTCTTTTGGTCAAAACGGCGAAGTTTTTATTCGTTTTGGTCGTTCGTCCACAAGAAGTCGGCGTTTCGTGTGGGCGAAAATTGTGTTTTTTTAAGAACAGGTTCCAGAGTGGAGAAATCTGAGAACGTCGGTGTTGCATTGTCGTGTGGACGAGCAAACCTCAGCTTTTGGAAAACGATGACGTCGCGATCCCGTCATCGCCAGGGTCCTCTGATGCAGTGAAGGCTGTAGCCCTCGAACTGGTCTCTGCGGACCACAAGAGCATTTCCGAAATGTGACAGGTGCAGCCTAGAGCCCTGCAACCCGCGGGACCTGACGCAAAACAGTGCGACACAGGGACAAATTTTGAAATCTCACTGCAGGCGTGGGCGGGAGCGAGACTGCACAATGCGGGAGTGGGCGGGTGGGATGATAAACTGCAGTCCCACAAACTAAATCTGAGTGTAAAGTAAAATAAACAAACAATGAATGTAAGAATATCATGCATCATTTGTGCTGGAGATTTTATTTGGCATTAATAAAAACATTTTAAGCAGCAGACCGTCCCCCCTCTCGTACGCCGCATGGAGAGTCCACCCACCCATATGACACGCGGGCTTTGCCACTAAACCAGAACTAAACCAGGTCTAAAAACAGGTCCAAAACCAGGACTAAAAGAGGACTAAAACAGGATTTGGCCAGGACTTAACCATGCCGCCTCCCATACGCAGCCCAATTCCTTTCGCTTCTCCGTGTTTGACAGAGTTTAAGAAAGCAAACGTTCCCATCTTGCAGGACTACACAGGTCTCCAAGAACAGTTGATATTAGGGATGGACATTCGATGAAGTTTTCTTAATCGATCGTCGGCAGAATTAACGATCGATTATCGATTAATCATTAACGTTTTTATACTTAAAATGATCATCATTATTATTACTATCTGCACTACTAACCTGCATAAATAAATTCAACTTTACGACATATAAACCGTAACGACTCTAGAGCCACATCAGCTGTTTGACATTATAATGTGTTTAATTCAGTTTTGTTCAAATCTCACAGAAACAAAACTTAAAACCACATCACTAATTTACATAAACTAAGTGAAGATAAAACTCCAGCTCTTGTGTCGCTGATGTGGTTCAACTTGTGTTGGATTAAAAGACATGACTCAGGTGAATACAGGTCAGTGTGACCAGATTTGCGTTTGTCAAAACCAGGACAGCGTACGGGGGGAGGGGGGCGGGGCCTCGTCATCCACATTGAGCGACTCTCACCTGGTAAAACTTTTTCCCACTGGACACAGAAACATATGTGCTGCTTTATACACTGTGCACATGGACTCACACTTGTCCCAACGCAACGGAAAGTGTGGAATTTCTTGTACAAATCATCGTTAAATCCACATTTGTGTTTCGGTTCGTTACAGACTGACCCACTGTTTGTGTCTCGCTCCTTCTGATGCAGAGACACATGTACACACCTGTTTGGTCACGATACACACAGCAACCTACATTCGGTTTGTCAATTAAAATGAACGTAATCGATGAAATTCTTAATGATCAATTATCGATTAATCGACTAATCATACCCATCCCTAGTTGATAGCCAAGGTAAGTTAAATACAATCAATCAATGAACCTGCCCAGGGACGACAGGTGGAAATGAGTACTGGTGCTACAAGCTGATGTACAATGCATCTCTCCTGTTGAGGTTAATGCAAAAATTGTGCGCTGTCCCTGTCTCAAATAAACAAATGAATAAATAAATAAACATAATAAACTTGCGTGCGGGAGCGGCACAAAATATCGCAGGTGCGGGCTGGAGCGGGACTAAACCAGGACTAAAACCAGGTCTAAAACAGGATTTAACAGGACTAAATCATGCCGCGCGGATTGTGTCTCCTCCTCTTCTATCAATAATATTTTTTAATACGGTTCAGTAACGTCTGGGCTTTTTATTTTCTTTTATCAGACAAAAACTTCTTATGCGAAAATATCCTCGTCTTTGCTTCTGTACAGTAAATCAAGTAATCCAAAGTATTCAGATTACATTACTCACTTTAAGTACCTCAATGGATTATTGTAGTGACTATTTGTCAAATAAAAGTAACAAACAAAAGCGTGGGCAAACTCAGAACTAAACATAACTCAAATAATCACCTTTGCACCATGGGTATGTGGTTTACGCAGCACAAATCAATGTCCATGACTAGAGATGATTTTCCAAGATTTATTTTCAATTTTTTTGGCAAGCAACAAGGAATACATGTTTAAGGCCTACTCCTGCTGCCTCTCCTCGTGACTGGCAAAAAACCACAGGCCCACCCAGGTGCACTCTGGTCCATGTGAACCATCCTCCTTTATCCCCTAGGTGACCCAAACTACATCAAAACAAAAAAGAGGTGCTAACGTAAATAATACCAATTTAGACTAAGAAATTAGCAAGAATAATATTAACATAGCAAGAATATATTATACAAATTAACATAACTAAATTAAGAAACTAATTAAACAAACAAAAATAATAAACTAATTTTAGAATCAACAAAATAAGCAAATAGCTCCTACAATTACGTTACAAACTACATTTTGGGGTATGTAATCTGTAATCTGTAATCTGTAGGAGAATACATTTTAAAAATCACCTTCCCAACACTGTCTGTGGTTGTGGTCCAGGTCCAGGTCGTGGTCCAGGTCGTGGTCCAGGTCGTGGTCCAGGTCGTGGTCCAGGTCGTGGTCCAGGTCCAGGTCGTGGTCCAGGTGGTCCAGGTCGGGTCCAGGTCGTGGTCCAGGTCCAGGTCCAGGTCCAGGTCCAGGTCCAGGTCCAGGTCCGTGGTCCAGGTCGTGGTCCAGGTTGTGGTCCAGGTCCAGGTCGTGGTCCAGATCCAGGTCGTGGTCCAGGTTGTGGTCCAGGTCCAGGTTGTGATCCAGGCCCAGGTCCAGGTTGTGATCCAGGCCCCCAGCCACAAAATACTGACAGACATTTATCTAAACTAAATATGCCTTTACGTTGCTCGACATCTCTCCGTTTTACGTCAGTGATCAGAACACAATCACGGGCTTCTCTTTGGCTTCGTAAACGTCAAAAGCACAAACACAAACACACGTAAACTAACAAACAAACATAAACATAAACACTTTAACTCGGAGGTTCCGCTGTTGTGGTGTTTTGTAGCTTCGGGCGCGGAGGATCGTGCGCCTGTAAACCGCCGCTTTTGTGACCGGAAGACTCGAATGTGCATTTACACCGCTGCGATGTACGAACCATATGAAACTCACCTCAAAAAGACGCGTTTTCTCCCCGCTCCGTCTAAAAAAACACCGGAACAGAACAGCCATTAGCACGTTAGCCGCCAGCTCTTCTTCTTCTTCTTCTTCTTTTCTTCTTCTTGTCGTGTTTTATTTCCGGTTGGCAAACAACTACTGGTGCGTTACCGCCACCAACTGATACGGAGTGTGAACTGAAATGCGACTCGGCGATAATCAAAACAAAATTAAATAAATAAATAAACAGTGTTGGGAAGTTTACTTTTAAAATGTATTCCCCTACAGATTACAGATTACAGACCTCAAAATGTAGTTTGTAACGTAATCCATTAAATTAATTAAAGTGAGTAACGTAATCTGAATACTTTGGATTACTTGATATTGTCGTGCTTTTTAAAACGACATGAATGTACCGACCACATCCTGAAAATTCTTGTTTGTTCTCTTCAGATTGTCTGTTGAGCCCAAGTCTTCATGAACAGACTTTTGTTTACGGTAGAGAAGCAAAGACTTGAATCTTAACATAAAATAAATCTGCTTAAAGAAAATAAAAAGTCCAGTCTTTCCTTAACCAGATAAAAAATATTATTGATAGAGAAATGATTTTTATATGAGAAATGAGAACTTTATATGAGTATGTCCACTTACTGTTAGGTCTCATACTCTTTAGACCTGGTTTAGTCCTGGTTTAGACCTGGTTTAGACCTGGTTTAGTCCTGGTTTAACCTGGTTTAGACCTGGTTTAGTCCTGGTTTAGTTCTGGTTTAGTCCTGGTTTAGTTCTGGTTTAGCCCAAAATGTGAAAACAGGAAAATCCTGCTGTGTAATCAGTTTATTTCAACAAAGTAACTGTAATCCAATTACCACTCACTGAAACAGTAACTGTAACTGAATACAGTTACTCATAATTTGTACTCTGATTATGTAACTCTGGTACATGTAATCTGTTACTCCCCAACACTGTAAATAAATAAATGAATAATAACAGTGATCAATTGATAACTAAAGCAAAAATAATAAATCAAACCCTGTTAATCAAATTAATATCCCTGAGAAACTTGAATAAGATTTTAAAACTATTATTCCCTGGGCAGTGTTGGGAGTGTTACTTTTAAAATGTATTCCCCTACAGATTACAGATTACATACACCAAAATGTAGTTTGTAACATAATCCATTAAATTATTTAAAGTGAGTAATGTAATCTGAATACTTTGGATTATTTGCTATTGTCGTGCTTTTTAAAACTACATAAACGTACCAACCACATCCTGAAAATTCTTGTTTGTTTTCTTTAGATTCTCTGTTGAGCCCAAGTCTCCATGAATAAGAAACTGTTTTTACTGTAAAGAAGAAAAGACGAGGACATTTTAACATAAGATGTTTTGTTTTATCTGCTAAAAGAAAATAAAAAGCCCAATCTTTTCTTAAGCATATAAAAAATATTATTGATAGAGAAATTATTTTTATACGAGATCACTGCTCCCTTAAAGTATGTCCACTCTACTGTTAGTGTCATATTGTTTAAACCTGGTTTAGTCCTGGTTTTAGACCTGGTTTAGTCCTGGTTTTGGACCTGGTTTTAGTCCTAGTTTAGTCTTAGTTTAGTCCTGGTTTTAGACCTGGTTTAGTCCTGGTTTAGTCCTGGTTTTAGACCTGGTTTAGACCTGGTTTGGTCCTGGTTTTAATCCTGGTTTAGCCCAAAATGTGAAAACAGGAAAATACTAGCCCTGAGTCCATGGACCTGGATCAGGTTTACAAACCAAATCCTTCCGGCCTACAGGTTTTATTTATTATTAATTCTTGCACTTTGACGGAGCAGCTCTGAATTTCATTTTATTGTATAATGACAATAAAGGCTTTTCTATTCTTTTCTATTCTGTTCTATTCTACAGGAGTCATTGTTACTGGAGACAGTCAGGACTGGACACTGTGTGATGGACTGAGACACTTCACTTCATCCAAAACAGGACTCGGCTCAGAGAGTGAAGGACGACACAGGGATTAGATTTGTGCAGCTTTAATTGTTGAACTTAACTGTTGAACAATCACATAAACAATCGCAAATAAATATGTAAATTAGCAGAACAATTACGATTAAAGAAACAATTAAAAAACCTCGATCATAGACGCAGTAGAAGTAACAGTGTTGCCATGGTGCTCTGAAGGACCCCTGAGCTGTACATACACATACATACATACATACATACATACATGCATACATGCATACATGCATACATGCATACATGCATACATGCATACATACATACATACATACATACATACATACATACATACATATACATACATACATGCATACATACATACATACGTACATTATAACAATTATTAAAATAGCTTTTTTTGTCGAAACAATGTCAAATCTGAATAAAATAAAGCACTTGGCATAAATTTTAGGACGTTTTCTCATTTACTGGCTTGTTGAACCAGATCTTGGAGTGCGTCCTCGGTGAGATTTTATATGGAAAGAATAAATGCAATGTGTCATATTTTTGTAAATGTGCAACCCCAATTGTTTTTTTTTTCTCCCTAAAAGATACACATATCAAATCGTTACATATCAAGTTTACATATTGTGCATTATTTGTATTGTGAGTTATTTGTGAGTTCGGTAACAGCTCAGCTCCCTCCGGTGAACTCAATTTCACGGGTTAGTTTTCGTTCCTACCCTCGCCTGGGAACGCCTCGGTGCCCCCCCTGGAGGAGCTGGAGGAAGTGTCTGGGGTGAAGGAAGTCTGGGAGTCCCTGCTTAGACTAATGCCCCCGCAACCCGGCCCCTGATAAGTGGGAGAAAATGGATGGTATGTTCGGTAATAGTTTATGGACTTATAAACTGCATAGGAGAAACCTGAGAGATTTTTGAGAGAGAAAGCGAGAGGACCAAGCAAACAGGACAACTTAAATTGAGAACAAAGCCATAAGGCAACTCTGGGTATGTTTATGAGGAAGGAATAACATTTACAAACTCAAAAAGTTACACATGAGGTGTAGCCCCTTGTGCAGTGAATGTTGTATGACACCACCAAATGGGCAAGATTTACAGTATTTAAAGTAAAACTGGGTGAGGTCTGAACCCACTGTGCCAATATTCCCTATAGCAAGGGTCCGCAACCCCTGAGCTGTGAACCGGTACCAGGTCGGTGGGTCGTTTGGTACCGGGTTGCAAATGCGCAAACCCCCCCTCCCATGCACTGCGCGGACCGTGCCTCCACCCTTGCACCGCGTGGCCTGGGTCTTCTGGCGTACATCATGTGGACTGCGCCTCCTCCTGTGTTTCCTGCATCTCTAAACCAGAACTAAAACCAGGACTAAACCAAGTCTAAAAATCAGGTCTAAACCGGTCTAAAACCTGGACTAAAACAGGATTTAACCTGGACTAATCCATGCCGGATGGACCGTGCCTTCTCCTGTAAAACGTGTCTTCCACTGCGCCTCCTCCTATACGCCGCCGGTCTGTGAAAATATTGTCCAGAAAAGACCCCCCCTGCCCAAGTCCTCGAAATATTGTCGGATATAAAACCGGTCTGTGACGCAAAAAAGGTTGGGGACCACTGCTCTATAGTTATTACAGTAATGCCAACTAAAGTATTTTTTTCCTTTGGTGTAGGAACAGTGAGTGCTGTTATTATTATCATTGTATATATATCGTTTTTCTCTGTGCTATAGCCAAGTTGTTGCTTGTTGTTTGCTGACAGCTGGATTCTTGGCATCATCATTTGTAAACAGAGTTCGGCATTCATAAGTTATTTCACTTCAGTCTAAACCCCTTTGGTCATAGTTTTATGTAAAGTGTTTGTAACAGTCTATTAAAGCGTTTTAACAACGCAGTAACAATGCAAGATAAGTGCATGGCTAATGAAGTAATAATAATACATGACCTAATCAATCACATTATAAAATGGAACACCATCCTTCCTCAGGTAACATCTTATTCTTTATGTTATTCATTTCCTGTTGGTGTTTCATCCGCAGCTGCTCCACTTCCATTGCAAACTCTTTGCCTCCAAATTTCTTCATCAACTTCTCCATCTCCTGCTTCTGTTTTTTCTCCAACTCTGTGATTAGTTTATTCTGCTCCTCTTTGTGTTTTCTTAAGAGCTTCTGCGTAAAGTCTTCCATTTCTTCTTGATGCTTTTGCTCTAGTTCCTCCAGTCTTTCCTTCAGCTCTTGTTTTTGTTGGCTGCACAAGGCAGACTTAAGCTGACAAAGTTGTTCATCATGTTCATCAGACAGCTTCTTCTTTCTTTTTGGGAGATCTTCTTTCATGGTATCTTTCTCCAGATTTCTCATCTCTCGCTGTTGTTTTGTCAGTAACTTCTCAATTTCTTCATTTTGCTTCAGTTCAAACATTTTTCGTTTGTTCTCTTCACATTTCATTTGTTCCAGTTTGTGACGTTTCTGGATTTCTCTAAATTCATTGCTGTTTTTCTTCTCTTTACTTAAAACCACGATGGCCAGGTCAATCATCTGATCCTTATGTTGCTTGTGCAGATCCTCTATTTCACTTTTCAGACTTGTCTCCTTGTGTGAAGTAAGGTTTTGTAAGCTTCTATATTCTTCTTTCTCTTGTTGAATCTGCTCCTTGAGAACAGTAACTTCCTGTAAGTGTTTGTCAAACTGAGCTGCAAAGTCGATCTCCTTCTTGTGTTTAAAGTCGTTGAACTCTTCGGCCTTCTTGCGAGCCTCTTCCTCGTACGTCTTCTTCAGCTCCTCCATTTGTCTCTCATGTCTTTCCTGTAGCTCCTTCCTCTGCTTCTCCTCTTGCTCACGTCTGTTTTGATCTTCTTCTTCTTTCTTAATTCTGTACATTTCCAGTTTGTCCTTGTATTCTTGTTCTAGTTTCTCCAGTCTTGCTTGCTCCTCCTGTCGTCTTATTTCATCCTGCTTGTATCGATTGTCCCACCATTGTGTCCTCTCTTCCTCCCAGGCCTCTCGTTCTTGTTCCATTTTGTCTTTACTCTGTTGCAGTTCTTTGTCAAAGTTTTCTTTTGATTCCATTTTAATTTTCCTCTCTAACTCTTGAAGATTCTGTTCATACTCCTGTCTCCTAACTCTGTCCTGCTCTTCCCTCTGACGGTCTTCTTCTTCTCTCTGGTTCTGCTCTTCTGTTCTCAGAGTACGTTCCCTTTTTATATTTGCCTCCAGCTCTTTGAGTTCTTTGTCTCTCGCTTCACGTTCTCTCTCAATTTCTTTTGATTGTTCTTCCATTCTTAGTTTAATCTCTTGCATTTCCTGTTCATGTTTTTGCTCCATTTCTTCCATCTTTCTTTTCATCTCTTCTTCCTTTTCCTGTAATAACCTCTGTGTTTCTTTCTGAATGGCCTCCTCAGCCTCCTGGAGCATCTCACTTGTGTAGCAGCCTCCACCGTTAACTCTCACCACATCATCAATCTTCTTTATCAGGTCCTTCACTTGGGCTGATGGTTTTTCTGTGTTTTCTTCCCAATTATTAAATACATGGCACCTGTTCCCACAGTCAGATAACAGCTTCTTACAAGAATCTTCACATTTACGTTGAATATAGCCTTCAAATGAAAGTCCAAATTTTTTCAGATCATCTCCACGTGTGAACAGAATTAAGGTGAACTTTTCAGCATCTTTTCCAAATCCTTTCTTGATCAGATTCAGAGTTTCTTTCTCTTCAGGTGTGAATCTTCCGATTTGCAGCACCAACAGAAAGATGTGTGGTCCTGGTGCCAGGAGACTGATGCATTTGAGCATTTCCATCATTCACCTCATGATTAGACATGGTGCTGTCGAACAGACCGGGAGTGTCCACCACCTCCACACGACGACCGTCCACCTCCCCATGTGCCTTCTGACACAGTTTGGTCACAGATGTTTGGCTCAAGTCATATTTGAACTCTTCTCGTCCCAGGATGGTGTTTCCAGAACTGCTCTTTCCACTGCCCGTCTTTCCAATCAGCACAATCCTCAGAGTCTCTGCACGCTGTGTGTCCCCTGTAAATGTGAAAAGAAATCAATACAAGTAAAATTAATTAACATTATCATTATTGTTATGACTTACAAATATACTGCAGCATTTAAATAGATAACACTATATTTTACTTATGCAATGACTCTATATTCCATAATGAGAAGAATTGGCCCTCATTAATAAAATGACAAAATGGTGTATCTGGTGTACGACCAAAATCATCCCCTTTTGTAGGATTTATCAAAAGTGAGTGCACAGTGTGCACAAATCTCATGGCAGATCTTCTATGGTGTTCAATGTGCACCTATTGACAACAAACATATTACCATTTAATAAACTTCTTTTTTAAAATATGTTGAACCAAAAATTATGTTTATTTGTAATAGTTTAGCAACCATAAGCTTGTTCTCTATTTGTTGATGCTATGCTTTTAAAGTTTTTAAATTGAAAAACTAATACCAAGTTATCATCATGAGCGATGGCTTTAAACATAAAACTGCAGCATGCTTAACTTTGGACATGGCTTGCTACGCATCAGCCCGGAGCAGAAGTTGCCTGGCTGTTAAACTGTAATTCATCTCTTGTAGAAGAATTTATATATTTTGTTTAGAATGATACAAGAAGATTTTTCACACTCCATGGTCTGATTCCACAGCTTTTGGATTCGAACAAAATGTAGAAGGGACTGGCTGATCAGGCAAGTGCAGAAAAACATGAGTTTTGGTAGCAGCAGCAGCAGTCAACAGCAGTAAAGACCAGGTTGAAGGTTTCTGAGGAAAAGTGTAGTGTAGTGCAGCGGACTCCAGTCTGGATGGGTTCATTAGATTGGCAGCTCTGTCTTCTATATGCAGGTTCCAGGCAGGGGAAGCAAAACCAAGCGCAGTGGATGAGGTCCAAACAGTTCTGCACTGTCCTCCACAAACACATGCCTGGTTCCAAAGTTCAAGCATTCAGTGTAGCATGGATCTGCTCTGGGAAGATAAGTGAGACCAGTGCACATTGGACTAGGTCCAGGGGTTTCACCAGTCCTCCATGCTCCAGGGCTGAGGCTGATTCCACGGTGAAGCAAACATCATTCAGACAGAACCGCAGATCCAGTCTGGTTCACATAGGCCAATATCTTGTTCTTCGTAGCCCGTCCTAAGCACACTTGGATCTTCCCTGGGAGAAAGCGCTACTCAGGCACCACACCTACTCCAACTCATCTATGCCCAGCCTGAATCAAAACACACTGCAAACACATTTTTAAGCAGAACGACAAGCAAAGTACCGTTCTTCAGATGCTACCAAAATCCTTTCACCTCCACATCTAGTTAAGCAGATTGGAGTATACGGACGAGGACAGACTGTCAGTGTCAGTGATTCTAAGTGAGCTGGTGATTTTTTTTTCTTGCAAGTTTCCTGTCTGACCTAACCAGATCACAGGGATGTTGAAGAACACTTTCAGCTATTTTTTTCTTGGGTAGATCTGTTCTATGGGCTGTATTCTGCTCTAGACGTAGACAAAGAGGCAGCTGAGCACATATCCTGACATTTCTGTGCCAAATATTAGTTAGCTGTTCCAGACTGTTAGTGTTTGTGAATCAAACAATCAGAGCTTTCTGTTCAGTGGAAATTGAAAGTGTACTAACTTTTTGACTGAGGTGCATGTTCAGTGAGAGCCATTCTGGACTGATACATTTGTAGAACTCAATTCAGAGTACTACACATCAATTGGCGGGAGCCAGGTTAGGTGTGGCCTCCCCATTCACCTTTGATTAGAGATGGGCATTCGATGAAATTTTCTTAATCGATCATCGGAAGAATTAACGATCGTTATGATTAATCATTGTTTTTATATTAAAATGATCATCATTATTAAATCTGAATAATCTCAGAAATAAATTCAACTTTATGACATATAAACATAACGACTCTAGATCCACATCAGCTGTTTGACATTATAATGTGTTTAATGCAGCTTTGTACAAATTGAAACAAAACTTAAAACCGCATCGCTAATTTGCATAAACTAAGCGAAGATAAAACTGCAGCTCTTGTGCGCCGATGCGGTCAATTTCTGTCAGATTAAAAGACATGACTCAGGTGAATACAGGTTAGTGTGATCATATTTGCGTTTGTCAAAACCAGGACAGCGTACGGGGGGAGGGAGGTGGGACTCCACATCGACATTGAGCGACTCTCACCTGGTAAAACTTTTCCCACTGGACACAGAAACATATGTGCTGCTTTATACACTGTGCACATGGACTCACACTTTCCCCAACGCAACGAAAAGCATGGATTTTCTTGTACAAATCATCGTTAAATCCACATTTGTGCTTCGGTACGTTGCAGACTGACCGACTGTTTGTGTCTCGCTCCTTCTGATGCAGAGACACATGTACACACCTGTGGTCACGATACACACAACAACCTACATTCGGTTTGTCGATTAAAATTAACGTAATTGATGAAATTCTTAATAATCAATTATCGATTAATTGACTAATCATGCCCATCCCTACCTTTGATGCTGCCTAAAAATATGCATCCAAAATTGCGTAGGGCAAAATACGTGTGCAGTGTGTCCCAGGCTTTGCACATGTAAATACTGTCACGTGAAATGTGTTTGGAAGAGGAGAAAAAGGTTTTTGGCAGGATATCAGCACATATGCTGCACCACTGGGTTACAGCTTTAATGGGCCGTACTGTTCTGGTAGCTTAATTGTTTATTAATTACTTTTTTCATATGTGCAGCTCTAGGAGCTCTAGAGGTGCCAGGGTCATGGTGATTTTGTAATTCTATTTAACAGGCTAATAATAATAACAATAATAATAATAATAATAATAACAATAATAATAATAATAATAATAATACAATAATAATAATAATAATAATAATACTACAACAAATGAATTAAATAAACAATGACAAAATCACACCCCCCCTTCTGTTTTTTGGACAAATCTCTCCCTGCGTATACCTAGGTACTAGTCCTTTTTACATATTGAATCAACTGTTTAGGCTCTATTTCTAAAAAGATGAATTATAAAAATAAGGAATGTAGGATATTTTTAGGGTTTTATTTTTAAGGCCATATAAAAAAAAATTCCCATGAATAGGCAAATGTTTTGTGTGCCCCAGTACAGATATACTGTATAAACAGTTCTACAGGGCAAAATAAGTATGTTGTTATCTTTACCATCATGGCTCTGGTTTCTAAGAATTGTGAAAAGAATTTAAACTCAAAGATGTGAATAATTATGATGCTCAGAATGCCTAAGGTAAGTGAGGAATAACTGAACCACTGCAAATTGTAAAATTAACTAGTTCTGTTTTGATGGGTTTAAGACAGTAAAACCTTTAAGATTTTGTTTTTTTTCTGCAATATCACAAAACATCCAATTTTTATGATTTCCTGTTCAGCCTTTTGTCATATTTCATGCACCCATGCTGTAAATCCTGTGGGTGTGGAGGCCACCTTTATCAGCAGCTGCTCATACGGAGGTCAACTCGATATTCCCACAGCTCTACGTTTCCCTTCCATGTTTGTTAGAAAATATATTTTAAAGCTGTGGGAAAACATAGCCATGTTAACATAGGTACGCTCCCCTCATATGTACTGTGGGATCAGAGCTGTGCACGCCCTTTGCTGTATGCACAAATATACACTAGACATTCACCATTTTATACAAAATTTGGCCTTTGTGTTTTAATGTTTTGTTTTAGATCAAGTACTACACAATACTATCCATAGTTATTTTTGTAAATAATACATACCAGTGACTGGTCTTGTGTCTGTTGAAGAGGAGCTGCTCTGTAGAGCTGAGATCTTCTCTATTTGTGTCTGCACAAACATTTGTCTGGTGTAACTTTGAGGAACATTTCTGTTCTTTGTTGAAGTTTGTAGTTCTTTTAAGATTTGAGGGACTTGCTTCTGGTCTTTTATGTTGAAGATGAAATATCTTCCACCACAGCTTTGACACAGCTCCTTCAGGTCTTTGTTCTGACTCACAAAGTCAGAGTAAACTGGAGCTGAAGGATCTGACTCCACAGTGAACAGAACCAGGGTGAAGGCATCAACACGAGGACCCAGAACCTCCTGAAGTATCTTAAACTCAGCCTTGTCTTCATCAGTGAGAGGATTCAAAGGTAACACCAGGACAAAGGCGTGGACACCATCAGGGTCACACAGAGAAATACTGTTATAGAACTGCTCCCTCACTGTCTGAGCAGAACTACCACAGAGAGACGGCATCTCCACTATGGACAGACACAGTCCAGGCAGCTCCCTCTGACGTTTGATGCTCTCAGATGAGCTCCTCTCTCCAGAGGTTCTCTGTCCTAACATGACATCTGCTGCAGAAGTTTTCCCTGCTCCTTTCCTCCCACAAAGAACCACATTTAGTGTCGTTTTTATTTCTGTAGAGAAGCCCTCAGTAACAGTGACAGAAGATCCTCTGTTAGTTTGGACCATGATCTCAATAACCTTCATCAAACTATGGTGGTTTTTGTCTTGCATTATATAGAATCTTAACTCACAATCCTGAAGAAGTGCATTAGCAGCCACAGTCATATGTTCTGTGTGTGTTAAGACGAGAATGGAGTGTTTAAAAGCATCTGGACCCAACATTGTCAGGATGAACTTGAGTGTTTGTCTGTCGTCTTCAGTGAAATCAGAGGGCTTCACCAGCAGCAGGAGAACGTTTGGTCCTGGATGACACATGGACACACATTTCTTCAGTTCTTTTTTCTGCTTTTCCACAGACATATTGAAGAGGTCTGCAGTTTTCACCACTGTGAGCAGATATTCCTCTCCATTCCCCATGCTCCACTTTTTGGCTGCTCTTCTTATTGGTGATAAACTGACTTAAAACTTTCTTTTTGTCGTCACTTTTTCCAAACAAGAGAATACGAAGTTCTAAATCTGTGGGAGAAAAACAAAGACTTTTAGCAGTGATGATTATGATCGAGAGCTGTAGAAGTTCATTAATTCATCGTCACATGTTTAGTTCTTTCACATGATTAGTGTTAGAATTGTAGTGGAGTGAGGGAGTAAACATAACTTTAGGATTTTAGTAACAAAGAAAATAAATTCATATTTCTGGAAAATATAGGGATTTGTGTCTTACTAGTTGGACTGTAGCTTGTTTCTGAGACTTTGCTCTTTGTTGGATCCTGTGCTGTCAGTCCTGAGTAGAAAGAGGAAATGTAAACATTGATATTAAACCAAAACATAAAATTGTTTCTAGTTTCTCCACGTACCAGCTTTCTGAACCTCTGCCATGATGCTGCCTGTTGCCTCCTGGTCCCTGGTGTGAGGAGCAGCAGAAGGATCTTCAAATACTTCATAAGACAAGTTATGGCCCTGATTTTCTTTGACAATCTGACCCAGTCGTGATAACAACTCTGCAAATTTAAAGTTCTTAACTTCTTCTTCTTCTTCAGTAAAGTTCTTCATCCACATAAATCTATATCTGCATTTCCTGACAATTATTCCTAAGGGTGAGTTCTTTGTGTACGTGACATTTAGACTTTCTTCTCTGTCTGTGGAGATCAGCACCATTGAATGATCAAACGAGTTTTCACTGAACATCTCTAACACTTTCTGGAGCCTCTGCTGCTGCTGTGAGGTGAAGTCTTCAGGTTGAAGGACCAGCAGGAGCACATGGGGCCCAGGCTCTGAGGCATCTGCAAACTCTTCTATCTTGTCTTTCAGCTCCTCTTCAGTGAAGTCAGGGTGGAGAAGGTCTGGTGTGTTGATGACTGTTAGTTTTTTGTCTCCCACTGGAGCACTGACTTTTGTTGAGTATTGTGACTCTGTCCTAAAGTTGAACGTGTCTTTTCTGACTAAGAAACTCTCCACCAAACATCTCTGTGTCCAGCAGTTCCCCAGAAGAGCCACCCTCAGCTCAGACACTGAAATGAAAACAAATATAGTTCAATATAAAGTTATAATAATTAAAATGGGTCTTAAATATAATATAAAGTAATTATTCACATTTGTGCCTTGTCATGTGAAGTTTGTGATCTCTAGTTGCTTTTCTTTTTGGGATAACAGACTGTGGTTGTTTCATATTTTTGCTATAAAAAAATCATTGGTGTGTGTGTTCTATAGACTGAAATTGTGACAATTATTTTTCCTCATTTAAAAAAGGAAAATACTAAAAAAGCGCAGTGTAAATTAAAAGCGGATGTGAAGCATTCATACAAAGCTGTTCTGTGGTGATTTGAAGGATAAATAACAGTTACATGACACAGTTGAATCACTTGTGTAAAAAGTAGGTTTATATGTAACTGTATTTTTAGTTAAAAAAAAAAGGGACATTTTCTGTCCGTACTCTGGTATCGGTTAATATCGGGTATGGGCAGATACTTAAAGTCAAAGTATCAATATCGGTATTGTAACTGAAAAAGCTGGATCACTGCATCCCTACTTAAAACAGTCTAACACACTGCTCCTCGTTGTTTAATCCTTTCGTATATTTAGGCCAAGAAAACAAACACTGGGCTGGTAGTGTGTATAACACTGGGACAGCACAATGTGATATTCTCTGATACATGTGTTATGATAAAATTAGTAATTATATTATTATTCATATTTAAGTTTTTAGGTTTTGGTTTGTTCCTGTGTGTCCAAGTCTGTCAAGTCTTTTAAGAATAAAAAAGTATTTAGGAAAGTGACTCCTCAAATAAAAGTAACTTAAAGAGTAACTAAAGATTATCATCTGATTTATAATTTGATGTTATTGAAATTTGAAGGACAAACATTAAATAATAAACAAAATCTGGTATTTTCAAAGGACAGACACAAAAATGAGACAAAATAAATCAGATCTGAAGGAGCTGCAAGAAACACAAATGTTCAAATCATTTCAGATTTTCACATACAAATTTCTCACAGTGAGAAGAGGAAACACGACTTTTACTCAAGTAAGAGTACTGTTACTTCAATAAAATATTACTCAAGCAGGAGTAAAAGTATGCTGCTGAAAAAGTACTCTGAAAAGTACAATTACTTTAAGTAAAATAAACTGAGAAAATGTAACTGAGTACTGCCAACCTACGTGAATTTAATGAACGTTACAAGATCAGACGCAGAGGAGAAGTCGACATAAATGTTTAGTTTAACTCACTGTCTGGTGGAATAAGCTCATAGCTCCAACTGCGGGTCAAGGGTGAAACACCTGAAAATGAGAGAAATGATTCAGTTTCCAAAAAGCTGTGAAGAATGTGATTGGTTGAAAGACAAAGACAGTGGGCTGTGATTGGCTCATAGTGACACAAACGATGATGTTCCTGGTTCAGTTTTCATTCTTGATTCATTTTGGTCGATCTAATGCAGGAGGATTCTTACTACGACCAATATTATTTATTTTTTAAATAATTACATTTGTACTGTGAAAAGTTAATATGCAGAAAAATAATAGACTACAAAAATATTATGTTTTTGTATGTTTTAAAGCCACAGTAGATCAGGTCGAGTGGCTTTGTGTGTTGTGAGGGACACACAGACGACTTGTATCATCAGAACAGAAATGAATTAAGATCTGTGTTCACCGTATATACAACAGTTTCATCATCAGGCCAAAGTAGAAATGTACTTGTTTGTTCATTCTTTATATTTCTTCTGTCATTAGGCAAAGTAAAAAGTAAATAATAAAAATAAATAAATCTGAAAGGATGCATTCAACCAAATCTTTGGGAATCATTAAATGACTAGCTCAACAGAAAATTACACATAATTAGGAGTTTACTCAAATGATTCTGATCCTTGTACCTAAATCTACCTGGAATCATTATTAATCAAACATAAAGTATATCATAGCCTCGTTTAAATCATAACATAAGTTTGTTGTCTTGATGATTTCGTCTTTCATGAAAACTCACCTTGTGACGCCATGGTTTTACACCAGGGACCTAAAAAGAGAAAAAACAAATAAAATGGAACGTGTGTTTCACGTGAACAATATTAAAATAAATACAAAATTATTATTATTATTATTATTATTATTATTATTATTATTATTATTATTATTATTATTATATTAAAAATAGGCTAACTTAACTTATTAGCGTCTCTTTCCAGATTGTGTAAACATTAGTCTGAGTAACGGTGCAAGTGCGGACTTCCTTGTTCACCTGTTGCCTAATCACCCGAAAACTACATTTGGCTCATACATAGTTTATATTTCCTTCTCTTTGTATAAATAATTTGTTGGTATATTTCAAGTGACAAATATTTGGCTGTGCTAGCTTAAAAATTGAAGTAGGCCTAATATTATCGCTGAAGCCTGAACACAAACACTTCTGCACACGCTTCTACTTATTTCCGCGACATTTCCGATTAAAAAATCAACAGAAACAGTTTGCTAAATGAGCAGATTATAAAATAAAACATTAGTCTTGAACATTGAATAAACAATATTTTGTGTCATAGAGACTCTACATAGGCTACATGATCTTACCTTAGAGAGAAAGTTTTCCTCGAGGTTTACACCTTAAAATCATGAAAATGAAAGTGACCGAACATCATCCGACATTTGCTTTTGTTTACCACAAGGAGGCGCCAAACATTCACTTATGTATAAACCACGACGATCTTTAACCACAGACTGCAGCCTCCGACTCCTCAACATAACTCTAGTAACATAAAAGTAACTGCTTCATTTTGGATTTTAATGTTTTTTAGATGATATTTGTGTTCTCAGGTTCATGTTTGACCCGTCACACTATTCGACTGTCGCTTTATTCCAGAGTGTCCAGAATGTTCCAGAATGTCACTGCTCACACTTCTGTCACTTCACCAAGTTTCAACATGAACAAATGTAGACAAAATAAACAATTTTAATGATCATTTTAGTGACGAATAAATAACACGCTGCTGTTAATGACGGGTTTGAATGCCACTGTTTATTAAAATGTTGTTTTATTTTTTTAAATCAGTGTTTGTTAAATAGTATTGTTGTGGTCATAAGAAACATTAACCTATGTATTGGGTAGAATGAACCCAACAGAGGAGTTAAATACAGCCTTTTTATGACCGAGAATTAGAAAAAAATAAAAACCAAATAGTTATGTTAAGATAATAACCCAAACGGATGAGTTGTGTTGGTCCAATAGTGACCAAGTGACAAGCATAGACTGTATGTAAATGATTATTACATCTTAATACAATTATTTATTTACACAGGTTGGATTATATCACCAACCTGTGGTAATATCATTTTTATTTATACGTGATCAGTTCAAAACTCACAATGGTTCATCATAAATGCACTCACTTTTTATTGCTGCTGCCATGATTTATTTGTTTTATTTATTACAAAATGATAAAAATACACAGTAAAAAAAAGCCAATTAAAATACAAACAATACATATTACAAATTATCTACCTATTTAATTCATTACTGAAATACCTTTCCTATTACTACAAGAGCAAGATACAAATATTTACATTCAGCTCTCTCAGGATTTTACAGGTAAGTTCACAAGATTTTACATGATCGTTTAAAAGCATCAGCTGAACGGGGTTTTAGTTCATTGTATTTTTCTAGACGCTCTAGTTTTAGTGTCCTGTTAAAGATAATTAAAGAAGAGGAAACTTTCATTTTTCTGCCCAGCTCGTTCTAAATCTGTGAGTCCCAACATGCCACACTGAAACTAGTACATGTTAATTTTCAGTTCTTTCCCTTCAGGAGTGATTTTCTCCTGGTGCTGTGGTCATGAGAGGGTGTAGATACAGATGAGCCGACAGAACCGCTCAGTGAGTCTAAAAACGACATTGCTGCTGTCATGATGTCACATTACATTCAATCTGTATCACAACTAGAAACAAACACTTAAAACTTGTAACATTTAAAAGTAAAACATGTTCTGAATACAGATCTCTCAAATGTTCATACTCATAAATAACCTGCTGTTGCATTATATTTTAAACATGAAAACATCTAGGCCAACAGACACGAAAAGGCCCACGCTTCAAAATAAAAAAGTTTGCTAGATAAATCTGTAGGAGCCTAATTTAAGATGCATGCAGAGGGAAAACATGTGAGTGAAACAATAATCATATATACTACATATACATTGTAAACAACAGAAAAGCACATTTCTCAAAAAGGAGCGAGAAAAAGAAAAACTTATATTAACCCGCCTCTGTTCATAACATAGTTTCAAAAATGATGTGGTTGCTTCTGTACACTGATCATGGAACTTAACAAATATTTACATATAGCAAAATAAATTGCATATACATACATACAAAATATAATTTTAACTCAAAAACTTTTTTTTTTTGTCATATTGTACTGTACACATATATATACACATACACATATACATGCATACATACACTATGTTGGGTTACATATCTGCTTACTTATGACAAATATATATAAAAAAAGAATAATAATAATAAATGAATGTCTGCTTTTATTAACAACAACACTTCTGATATCACAGTGACTGAGAGCAGCCCCATGACAAGAAGATCTAGGTTCAGTTTCCATTCTGGCTGGGGTTTGTCAGGTTGATGGTGGAAATCACTGGAGGAAACAAATTCAGACTCAGACTAATGCTCCTGCAGCTGTTCTCCTGACAGGACACACAAGCCTAACCTTCAAAACTTATTCCTTTATGGAAAGGTGTTCTACTTTTTATCATTTTAAAGTGAGTAGGGGGTTTGTGTTTGTTAAAGTCTGAGTTCTTATTCACGTTTAGAGCAATATTTTGAAGTTGACATTTCATTGATTATTTATATTGTGAGTCCAGTGATGGTTTATGGACTTAAAAACTGTAAAACATGTGTGTTACATGATGTGGCAAAATTGGAACAGAGTGATTTCTGAGGCTCAGAGGGAAAGGACTATACAAAACTTAAAACATGAACAAAGCTAAAAGACAACTCCGGGTATGTTTTTGTCAGTGAATGTTGTTTGATGACAAATGGTCAACAACTCCAACACAAAATCTTAATGAAAAGCAAACATGGCTGAATGAATCACGTTATGAAATGGAGCAACTTTGTTCTTCAGGTAACATCTTCTTCTTTAGTTCATTTATTTCCTGTTGGTGTTTCATGTTCACCTGCTCTACCTTCGTTGCACTCTCTGCAGCTTTCTTCATCAACTTCTCCATCTCCTGCTGATGTTTTTTCTCTAACTCTTCGAGTTGTTTATTCTTCTCTTCTTCATGTTTTCTTAAGAGCGTCTGTGTAAATGTATTCATTTCTTGTGCATGTTTTTGCTTTAGTTCCTCAGTTTTTTCTTCCAGTTCTTGTTTCTTCTGGCTCCACAAGTCAGACCTTAACTGTCTCAGTTGTTCTTCATGTTTACTATACAGCTCCATTTTTCTTTGTTGAAGATCTTCTTTCTTCGTATCCCTCTCTAGATCATTCATCTCTTGTTGCTGTTTTGTTTTTAACTTCTTAATTTCTTCTTTCTCTTCTTGTTTAAACTTCTCATCAATTTTTTTCTGACATGTTTTCAGTTCTTGTTCATAATTTTTCTTGATCTCTCTGATTTTGTTGCTCTTTTCCTTCTTTTCCTTTAAAACAACAATGGCCAGATCAATCATCTCGCTCTTGTGTTTCTTGAGCTGTTCCTCCATGTCACTTTTCAGACTTGCTTCTTTGTGTGAAGAGAGTTTTTGTAAACTTTTATATTCTTCTTTCTCTTGTTGAATCTGCTCCTTGAGAACAGTAACTTCCTGTAAGTGTTTGTCAATCAGAGCTGCAAAGTCGATCTCCTTCTTGCGTTTAAAGTCGTTGAACTCTTCGGCCTTCTTGCGAGCCTCTTCCTCATATGTTTTCTTCAGCTCCTCCACTTTGTCTCTCATGTCTTTCCTGTAGCTCCTTCCTCTGCTTCTCCTCTTGCTCACGTCTGTTTTGATCTTCTTCTTCTTTCTTAATTCTGTACATTTCCAGTTTGTCCTTGTATTCTTGTTCTAGTTTCTCCAGTCTTGCTTGCTCCTCCTGTCGTCTTATTTCATCCTGCTTGTATCGTGTTTCCCACCATTGTGTCCTCTCTTCCTCCCAAGCCGCTCGTTCTTGTTCCATTTTATCTTTGCTCTCTTGCAGTTTTTTGTCAAAGTTCTCTTTCGATTCCATTTTAATTTTCCTCTCTAACTCTTGAAGATTCCGTTCATACTCCTGTCTCCTAACTCTGTCCTGCTCTTCCCTCTGACGGTCTTCTTCTTCTCTCTGGTTCTGCTCTTCTGTTCTCAGAGTACGCTCCCTTTTTATATTACTCTCCATTTCTTTGAGTTCTTTGTCTCTCTCTTGACGTTCTCTCTCAATTTCTTTTGATTGTTCTTCCATTCTTAGTTTAATCTCTTGCATTTGCTTTTCATGTTTTTGCTCCATTTCTTGCATTTCTCTTCTGAGCTCTTGTTCCTGTTCCTGTAATAACCTCTGTGTTTCTTTCTGAATGGCCTCCTCAGCCTCCTGGAGCATCTCACTTGTGTAGCAGCCTCCACCGTTAACTCTCACCACATCATCAATCTTCTTTATCAGGTCCTCACTTGGGCTGATTGTCTTTCTGCATTTTCTTCCCAATTATTAAATACATGGCACCTGTTCCCACAGTCAGATAACAGCTTCTTACAAGAATCTTCACATTTATTTTCAATATAATCTTCAAATGAAAGTTTCATTCTTTTCAGATCATCACCACGTGTGAACAGAATTAAGGTGAATTTTTCAGCATCTTTTCCAAATCCTTTCTTGATCAGATTCAGAGTTTCTTTCTCTTCAGGTGTGAATCTTCCGATTTGCAGCACCAACAGAAAGATGTGTGGTCCTGGTGCCAGGAGACTGATGCATTTGAGCATTTCATCATTCACCTCATGATTAGACATGGTGCTGTCGAACAGACCGGGAGTGTCCACCACCTCCACACGACGACCGTCCACCTCCCCCTGTGCCTTCTTACACAGTTTGGTCACAGACGTTTGGGTGATGTCAAATTTGAACTCTTTTCGTCCCAGGATGGTGTTTCCAGAACTGCTCTTTCCACTGCCCGTCTTTCCAATCAGCACAATCCTCAGAGTCTCTGCACACTGTGTGTCCCCTGTAAATGTGAGAAGAGGTCAATAAAACTAATTATTCAATAATGTTATCTCTGTTGTTTTGAGACAAACATGCACTGCAACGTTTAAATAAATAACACTATAGAAATGTGTTTTATTGTTTGTTTTAGCTCAACTTTACTACACATTTATAATTTTTTGTAAATAATACATACCAGTGACTGCTCTTGTGTCTGTTGAAGAGGAGCTGCTCTGTAGAGCTGAGATCTTCTCTATTTGTGTCTGCACAAACATTTGTCTGGTGTAACTTTGAGGAACATTTCTGTCCTTTGTTGAAGTTTGTAGTTCTTTTAAGATTTGAGGGACTTGCTTCTGGTCTTTTATGTTGAAGATGAAATATCTTCCACCACAGTTTTGGCACAGCTCCTTCAGGTCTTTGTTCTGACTCACAAAGTCAGAGTAAACTGGAGCTGAAGGATCTGACTCCACAGTGAACAGAACCAGGGTGAAGGCATCAACACGAGGACCCAGAACCTCCTGAAGTATCTTAAACTCAGCCTTGTCTTCATCAGTGAGAGGATTCACAGGTAACACCAGGACAAAGGCGTGGACACCATCAGGGTCACACAGACAAATACTGTTATAGAACTGCTCCCTCACTGTCTGAGCAGAACTACCACAGAGAGACGGCATCTCCACTATGGACAGACACAGTCCAGGCAGCTCCCTCTGACGTTTGATGCTCTCAGATGAGCTCTTCTCTCCAGATGTTCTCTGTCCTAACATGACATCTGCTGCAGAACTTTTCCCTGCTCCTTTCCTCCCACAAAGAACCACATTTAGTGTCGTTTTATTTCTGTAGAGAAGCCCTCAGTAATAGTGACAAAAGATCTTCTGTTAGTTTGGACCATGGTCTCAATAACCTTCATCAAACTATGAAGGTTTTTGTCTTGCATTTCATAGAATCTTAACTCACAATCCTGAAGAAGTGCATTAACAGTCTCAGTCATTTCCTCAATGTGTGTTAAGACGAGAATGGAGTGTTTAAAAGCATCTGGACCCAACATTGTCAGGATGAACTTGAGTGTTTGTCTGTCATTTTCAGTGAAGTCAGAGGGCTTCACCAGCAGCAGGAGAACGTTTGGTCCTGGAAGACACTCAGACACACATTTCTTCAATTCGTTTCTCTGCTTTTCCACAGACATTTTGAAGAGGTCTGCAGTTTTCACCACTGTGAGCTGATATTCTCTCCATTCCCCATGCTCCACTTTTTGGTTACTCTTCTTATTTGACTTGGCTGCAGTAATAAACTGACTTAAAACTTTCTTTTTTGTCATCACTTTTTCCAAACAAGAGAATTCGAAGTTCTAAATCTGTGGGAGAAAAACAAAGACTTTTAGCAGTGATGATTATGGTCGAGAGCTGTAGAAGTTCATTAATTCATTGTGTTTAGTTTCTTTCACATGATTAGTGTTAGAATTGTAGTGGAGTGAGGGAGTAAACATAACTTTAGGAATTTTAAGTAACAGAGAAAATAAATTCATATTTCTGGGAAAAAAAGTATTTGTGTCTTACTAGTTGGACTGTAGCTTGTTTCTGAGACTTTGCTCTTTGTTGGATCCTGTGCTGTCAGTCCTGAGTAGAAAGAGGAAATGTAAACATTGACATTAAACCAAAACATAAAATTGTTTCTAGTTTCTCCACGTACCAGCTTTCTGAACCTCTGCCAAGATGCTGCCTGTTGCCTCCTGGTCCCTGATGTGAGGAGCAGCAGAGGGATCTTGCAAATACTTCATAAGATCAAGTTATGGCCCTGATTTTCTTTGACAATCTGACCCAGTCGTGAAAACAACTCTGCAAATTTAAAGTTCTTAACTTCTTCCTTCTTCAGTAAAGTTCTTCATCCACATAAATCTATATCTACATTTCCTGATCATTTGTCCTAAGGGTGTTTTCTTTGTGTACGTGACACTTTCTTCTCTGTCTGTGGAGATCAGCACCATTGAATGATCAAATGAGTTTTCACTGAACATCTCTAACACTTTCTGGAGCCTCTGCTGCTGCTGTGAGGTGAAGTCTTCAGGTTGAAGGACCAGCAGGAGCACATGGGGCCCAGGCTCTGAGGCATCTGCAAACTCTTGTATCTTGTTTTTCAGCTCCTCTTCAGTGAAGTCAGGGTGGAGAAGGTCTGGTGTGTTGATGACTGTTAGTTTTTTGTCTCCCACTGGAGCACTGACTTTTGTTGAGAATTGTGACTCTGTTCTAATGTTGAACGTGTCTTTTCTGACTAAGAAACTCTCCACCAAACATCTCTGTCTCCAGCAGTTCCCCAGAAGAGTCACCCTCAGCTCAGACACTGAAATGAAAACAAATATAGTTCAATATAAAGTTATAATAATTAAAATGGGGCTTAAATATAATATAAAGTAATTATTCACATTTGTGCCTTGTCATGTGAAGTTTGTGATCTCTAGTTGCTTTTCTTTTTGGGATAACAGACTGTGGTTGTTTCATATTTTTGCTATAAAAAAATCATTGGTATGTGTGTTCTATAGACTGAAATTGTGCCAATTATTTTTCCTCATTTAAAAAAAGGAAAATACTACATTTTAAAAAAGAACAGTGTAAATTAAAAGTGGATTTAGAAGCACAGGTCTTTGCTATTCTGTTATCCTCATGGAAAGATGTGAATTCGTCCTGGTTAACCTCTGTGCTTGAGTCTCACAGGCAGAGAACAGGGAAGGTACAACTCAACAGTCAGAGCTGAAGATGAGGAGGTGAAGAGGTCTGAGTATGAGATTGTGCTGGATCGTGGACTCTCCCTGGTGAGTACCTGTTCACCTTGTTTGAGCTGCTCAATTCAGTCAAAATGCAGAAAACGCTTCGCCTTGTGCATACGGTTAACATGGGGAATCACATTCAGTCTGAATGTATCTTTACAGGTTATGGACAGAAGTGAAATTTGTAGGGATTGAGAGGAAAGTGTAGATTTTATTCATAAATTTATTATTGTTGTAGACTAAATTGTAGAAGTCTGAGAGTTTTAAGAAGCTCGACACTTGAGTTGTATCACAGAAGTTTATTTACCATCAGTACAAGACCCAGCACCTGGAGACATGAACCCTCAACCTCCTTTTGTCCATTCTAGTCCAGTCCAGCTCTTCTTTCTTAAACGATGCACCACATGGTGTTCTAAAACTCCCTCGACACTGATACAATACTGATATTGAATATCGGCAGCACCGATAAACATGAGCTGGATCGGGTATCAGTTCCATGATATCGGTTCAGCTGATATCCTGGTTGGGTCTTGATAGAATAAGACAGGCTGAATTTGGCCTAGAACGTCTCATAATGTTTGAACTTTTATTCATACAAAGCTGTTCTGTGGTGATTTGAAGGATAAATAACAGTTACATGACACAGTTGGATCATTTGTGTAGTAAGTACAAAATTTCAGTAAATAGGTGCCATTTTCTACAGCAGCCCTGAGAGGCAAGAGAAAAAAAATAGGCAGGTCATTTGGGCTCTATTTTCTAAGTGTTTTTTTTCTTTTCTTTCAACTCAAAAAAAAAAAAAAAAATCTTAAAAAAAAAAAAAATTCCCTGTTTTCCCAGCATATTCCTGTAAATACGAAACTTCAGCATCAGCAAACCAGTTGAAGATTAGCTCATGGTGTTAGACTACGGGTGAGGATGTGGGAGGATGGGGTTTGAAACTCACCTGCTCCCAGTTATGTGTGTATTCATTCTAGATTAAATCAGTTTTCTCATGAGTTTTACTTTTGCGTTCTTTTATGATTAATATGTGAAGTAATCTCGATGCATCACTGATCACACTACAGGCACAAGACACTGTTTTTCTATTGTACTTTAGTCGTGCTGTTGTACTTAGTTGATGTGCTCCTGTTAGTTTATGTTGCAAAGGGCTGCACTATCGCGTAAAAGGGGTCGGAGTTTGAGCTTTAAGGTCGATACTAGTTACTTCTCATATTGCTCATAAAAGAAAACGCAAAAGTAAAACTCATGAAATGACTGAATTCAGCTAGAATGAAAACACACATAGCCGGGAGCAGGTACGTTTCGAAACCCAGCCTCCCACGTCCTAACCTGTAATGCTCTTGGTAAATGGTCATATTTTTCTATAGCACTTTTCCACCTTCAAGGCTCAAAGCACTTTACAACAAAGAACCACTCACCCATTCACACACCAGTGCACACAGACACTGTGGGCATGGTGGGTTAAGTGTCTTGCCCAAGGACACAACGGCAGCATTCATCTGTGGGAGCTGGAATCACACCAGCCAACCTGTGGGTCAGTGGATCTGACCACTCAACCTGAGATGTTTATGTCAAGAACTGGATTCAAACCACCAACCTTCAGATTAATGGGCAAATGCTCCAACTGAGCTACTGTCACCCATCTTATCATCTAATGGTTTGCTGGTGCGTAAATTTGGTATAATATACTGGGAAAACACTTAGGCTCTGGAGCATTAGTTCTTTTGTTTTTTCTCAGCCACATCAATGTGAAAAAAAAAAAAAGAGTTGCTGGTGCAAAATGGAAAAAAAATAAAATAAAAATCACTTAGAAAATAGAGCCTAAATGAACCTGCCTCTTTTTTTTCTCTCTCGCCTCTTTGGGCTTTTGTAATTTTTTGTCCGTTAATATCGTGTATGAGCAGATACTTAAAGTCAAAGTCAATATCGGTACCGTAACTGAAAAAGCTGGATCCCTACTTAAAACAGTCTAACACACTGCTCCTCGTTGTTTAATCCTTTCGTATATTTAGGCCAAAAAAACAAACACTGGGCTGGTAGTGTGTATAACCTTGGGACAGCACAATGTGATATTCTTTAATACATGTGTTCTGATAAAAATAACAAATTATATTATTATTCATATTTAAGTTTTTAGGGGATTGTTGTTTTTATTAATTGATAGGTGAGGTTGAGTAAATAATGAAAAGTATCCATGTGCTGGTAAAAGATGTTCTGTCAGAATCATGACCAGGTTTTGTTTGAGATTGTAAAATGTATTTGAAAAGAGAGTTGGTCCAGTGATGGATGTTTTCAATTATATGTTTGTATTTGTTTGTATTTGGTTTGTGTTTAGTGATTGTGGCGGTGAGAAAAGTGATGGGAGGTAAACTGCAGCTCAGATGTCTGAGTTTTTGTTATATTGTTCCAGAAGCTTTTCACAGGTGTAAGTCCCTGAGTGCATGAAGGTAAAGGTACTAAAGTTTGTGTTACTTATTTTATTGTGTGCATTATGTGGAAGACTATTGAATAAGGTGGAGATTGGTCTTGGATATTTGCAGAAGAGGTTTTACATATTTCTGTTCACAGTTCACGTGAGTGAAGTCGAGGTTTGTGTTTGTCAACTGGTGTTTTTATTGTATTGTTCTGAATTGATGCGTCTCTATTGTGTTCATATGAAAATGTTATATTTTCAAATATTCTAGGAAGGTTCAAGAAGGTAGTGGGGAAAATATTGTGCATCTTTTTTTTTTGCTTTTTATTATATTGTATAATATTGTTTTATTTTAGCAAAATGTGGCCCTTAGTTATGTAACAATGGGCAAGGTACAAACCCGAGCCACACCGACTTTATTATTATATTCAAAGTTCTTTATTGCAAAAGGTGAGATGCCAATGCCCATTTTGAAGTTACTAGGGACACATTTTTCTGTGTCCTTGAACCCTCAAAGAGCCCCTGTCTGCACTTTCATTTACTTATTTATGACCCAGTGAAGCAACTCTTCTCTTCTTAATCTGATTTTGTGTTATCATTTGTCATTCTTCCTTCTTACAGGACTGTGACTTGTCTCTTCTCAGACTTGACAAGTAACTTGGTCTGGTGACTGCCACACCTGTTTCTGTACAGATGTTGGGGCTTTGCCTGGAATATTTCTAAGTGTGGCCTTAACTGTCATGAGTTTAGTGCCCCTCCCTTCTGTGCAATGTGTTTCCCCTCAGAGTTGTTCCTGTGTGTCCATGTCTGTCAAGTTTTTTAAGAGTAAAAACGTATTTAGGAAAAGGAGCTAAAGGACAGACACAAAAATGAGACAAACTAAATCAGATCTGAAGGAGCTGCAAGAAACACAAATGTTCAAATAATTTCAGATTGTCACATAAAACTTTTGTCACTTCAGACTCACTCACAGTGGAAGAGGAAGCACAACTTTTACTCAAGTAAGAGTACTGTTACTTCAATAAAACTCAAGTAGGAGTAAAAGTATGCTGCTGACAAAGTACTCTGAAAAGTACAGTTACTTTAAGTAAATTAAACTGAGAAAATATAACTGAGTACTGCCAACTTATGTGAATTTAATGAACGTTACAAGATCAGACGCTGAGGAGAAGTCGACATAAATGTTTAGTTTAACTCACTCTCTGGTGGAATAAGCTCAAGGCTCCAACTGCGGGTCAAGGGTGAAACACCTGAAAATGAGAGAAATGATTCAGTTTCCAAAAAGCTGTGAAGAATGTGATTGGTTGAAAGACAAAGACAGTGGGCTGTGATTATAGTGACACAAACGATGATGTTCCTGGTTCAATTTTCATTCTTGATTCATTTTGAACAATTTAATGCAGGAGGATTCTTACTATGACCAATATAATTTTTTTTAAATAAATACATCTGTACTGTCAAATGTTAATATGCAGAAAAATAACAGACCACAAAAATATTATGTTTTTATATTTATTTATGTTGTAAAGCCGCTGTAGATCAGGTCGAGTGGCTTTGTGTGTTGTGAGGGACACACAGATGACTTGTATCATCAGAACAGAAATGAATTAAACTCTCTGTTCACCGTATATACAACAGTTTCATCATCAGGCCAAAATAGAAATGTACTTGGTTTTTGTCCTTTATATTTCTTCTGTCACTAGGCAAAGTAAAAAATAAATAATTTTTACTTAGGACAAAAATAGTCTACAAAATATTTCTATGTTATGAATCAAAATGCACTAAAATGATTCTGATCCTTGTACCTTAATTATTGTGGAAATATGCTGGAATCATTATAAAATCAAACATAATTGCCAATGTCCATTTTGAAGTTACTAGGGACACATTGTTCTGTGTCCATGAACCCTCGAAGAGCCACTGTACTGCACTTTCATTTACTTATTTATGACCCAGAGAAGAAAACCCAACGATTTGGGTCAAACACAGTCTTCATCTGTTCAACTTTTATTTTCTGGCTTTTAACACAGTGTGAGTTGTGTGGTCCTCTGTCGTTTCTTTATTTTATTTATTTTATGATTTTATGTTTTTTTTCTTTTATTTGCTTTTACTGGATTTATTGTTTTAAGACTGATATGACCAAATTTAAGCAATCTACCTTTTGTTGTCTTCATTTTCTGATCTCTGTGCAGCACTTTGGAAACTGCTTTGTTTGTAAAATGTGTTGTAGAAATAAAGCAGACTTGGATTTGCCCACAGCTGCACTTACTCACCTCATCTACTGCTGCAGAGAAACAACTGGGTTCGGTCAAGCAGTAACGGAGGGAAACAGGGGTCGATTTTTGACATTCAAATGTCTCTTATTCAGAAACTAGAGGGACTATTGAAATAAGTAAAGTATCAGAATGTAGGAAAGAGTTACACTCCAACAGGGTCAAGTTAAACCTGTGATATTCTTTCAAGTTCAAGACAAAAAAATTAAAATACTCATGTTGGTAACGGAGGGAATGAAATATGCAGCACTTTTTGGTCAATAAATCCAAACAGTGATAACTCTTGGTTCTCACTTTCCATATCCTTAACAAACTGGTTTGAATATTTGCTTCATATAGTTTTTCTACCATATGGTACAAGATTAGGTTGAAAAACCTCTGACTTTTGACTCATGAGATTTTTTATTAAGAAAGGTTCATGGTAACGGAGGGAAAAGTAACGGAGGGAAAATTGTTCAAGCAAGTAGAAGGTGCAGGATTTTACATCATTTGTCACTTTTTTTCTTCCGAATACTTTAACATTACTTCAAAATGAAAGAAACTATTTCTATAAAACATGTCAGTCCTTCCAAGCTAATTTTTATAATTTTAAATACATTTGTTTTGAAAAATCCTGTCCCTTCATCAACAGTTCAAAGATGGAATAACACAAGATATGATGAAATACATCCATTTATTTACATGATTTTTGGGTCTTTGAAATTTGGGGAATAATTTTTGTTCCATGTTTCATACATGGTCTGTTTAAAACAGATGGAACTTTAGAACCAAAAATGGTACAGAAAAAAGGTCAACAGTTTCATAAACTAGAGTACATATGTATCTGTTCAATACATTTTTATATCAGATGTATTAACTTGAATTTTTGGCCTTGTTGTTTACTTCTGCTTGACCAGGCCCAACTGTTAAAGCTTATACATGTTTTATTACTTTATCTTTGTGATTTTATCAAAAACTTTACACAATTTAATCATTTTGTAGGGATGTAACAATAACCGTAATATCGTGATATCGTATCATCACAGTTCTCACAGTAATATCGTGGACCATCACAATTTATCGAATTACAAGTCTCTTTGCTTAAATTAAAAGTTATGGTGCAGCAACAGCTAAAAAAAGACAGAGGAAACTACATAGACCATGATCCTTTGCTCCATTTCAGTGCAGACGACAAGAAGAAATAACAGTTCTAACACTTTTAAGTTTTAGTTCTTTGGATTAAGTCTCGTCAAGGCATTTTAAGAGGAAAAAGAAGAATATTCACAGTTTTGTTTGTTTTGCCTCCACAAAATATCACAATAAATATCGTACCGTGAGACGTATATATCGTGAAAAATATCGTACAGAGAGATTTGAATATTGTTACATCCTCTAATCGTGAGCCTCTCCACCATATCGAGAGCTTTCCCACAATATCGCAATAAATATCGTACCGTGAGGTTCATACCGTGACGATATTGTATCGTGAGACTTGGATATCGTTACACCTCTAGTATTTTGTGCCAGGTAAAGTTACTAAAGAAACATTTGACCCTCTGACTCCTGACAGTGAAGCCTCAACATAACTGTAGTTTATAACTGCAGCTCAACACCATAAAAGTAACTGCTTCATTTTGGATTTTAATGTTTTTTTTAGGAGATATTTGTGTTCAGGTTCACATTTAAACATGTCACATTATTCTCACTGTAAACACACGACCCTCTCTCTGTTCCACTTCACCAAGTTTCAACATGGATAAATGACAAAATAGACCATTGTAATGATCATTTTACTGATGAATAAATAACGCTGCTGTTAATGACGGGTTTTGAATGCAATTATTTATTAAAAATGCTTTTTTTGTTTGTTTGTTTTTTTTATAAATGTTTCTTAAATAGTACTGTGGTGGTCATATAAACATTAACCCATGTTTGTTAAATTTAAATTAAATATTATATGACCCAGAATTAGATTTTTAAAAAAAAAAAAAAAAATGTTGTGTCAGAGTTGTGTTGGTCCAATAGTGACCAAGTGACGAGCAAAGACTGTATATGTAAATAATAAATATATCTTAATACAGTCCATGGAGATAAATGTGGGTTATTTATTTACACAGGTTGGATTATATTACCAACCTGTGGTAATATAATTTTTATTGATACGTGATCAGTTCAAAAGTCACAATGGTTCATCATAAATGCACTCACCTTTTATTGCTGCTGCCATGATGTCGCATTAGATTCAATCTGTATCACACCTAGAAACAAACACGGTTCTTTCAGACATTTTAATCTTGTACAATTTAAAAGTAAAACATGTTCTGAAAACAGACTCCTCAAACATGCAAACTCATAAAAAACCTGCTGGTGCATTATATTTTAAACATGAAAACATAAAGACGTACAGACGTGAAAAGGCGCAGGCTTCAAAACAAAACCGTTGGTAAAAGTAAATCTGTATTTAATTCAGACACAGTTTCTTGGTCGCCTGTGCTCTTTCAGCTTCCTGATAAAGGCAACATTTTAGGGCTCTTCATCATTCAAACAACAGGATATTTTAGTTTTATTTTGGTAATTGCTATGGTAACGGTCCTGAACTATTCTTTTCATAATTCTGAAACTGTATTTACAGGCTACATCAGACAAATGTGATACTTACTGACAGAAATGTTGTCCGCAGTTCGCCGTCGGTCTCTTCCTCCAGTGAAGGTGAGCCGTGAGAAGCACCTGTACTTTGACCACATTTATCATCAAGTACAGCAGCACTCATCGTGGTCCACCACCAGGGGGCGCCAAGCAACTTTCTGTTACAGTTTATTAACCTGCAGGAAAAAAGGCACGTTTAGGAGAGTTTTATCAAGTTAATACATTATAGACATTTTTGTAAGTCCTCAACCAGTGGTGGCTGGTGGTGTAATGTTTTGGGGGCTCTTAATACATATTATATATGTAATACATAAATATATGTATTATTTATAGGCTATACAGTATTATACCAAACCCGTCATTTTGGTCACTATTGGCTGAATTATATCTGAGCACAACGCACAACCAAGTGCAAAGTTTACACAGCAGCACAACCTGATCCACAGCTCATAACAACAATAACACAACATAACACAACACTCACAAGCAGCACCACTATTTAACTATAACACTATTTACCTGTGAGGCTGTGTCACACAGAGCATGCTGTTTGTGCCACAACTGTTTTACAAGGAAAATGATCCCTCAGAGCCAAAAAGTTCTGTCTTCATGACTGTTGTTGTTGTTCACGTTAGCCCTGCTGAAGTGTTGCTGTGTGGTTGGGTGTACAAACAATAAAGCTAAGAAACCTTTGCTGAAATTCATTCCCCAGACATGTCCACAAAAAAATCCTGTCAGAAGAAAATTATGGCTACAAGTCAAACGAAGAGAAGACGGGACGTTGTTCTGCTGCATCTTAATCCAGGAGCAGGTGGCAAATAAATATTAGCCTAGTTTTTAAAATCTTAATTTAATTATATGAAGCCAGGGTTGTAGAGCACACTGTACTTCAAATTTTGAGGTTCTTTATTTCTCTTTTTCTTCACTGGTTCAGAAACAGAACCAACAGGCGTTATTACATCGTTATCACTAAAATAACGGTGCACAAAACATCCTCACAGAACAGCAGTGGCACCTCTGAAAGATGAAAATAAACACATTCCACTATTAATTAAAAGAACACATAAACAATAAACAATATCTCATTGTACAGCCATTTCCTTACCGATAAACACATATTTCTCCAGCAAAACATAGAACTATTCTAATACTTTCTCAACCGCAAGTGCGCGAGACTGTTCCCGTTCAACGTTCATGTAAAGTCACAGCGCCCCCGTGCGGCGAAAACAGGTGTTACAATGAACAAACAGCCAAACAAAAATGAACAGGATTTATATTAAAGTCTACAGTTTTCACATGTACCCCATTTTTCATCTGGTCACATATAATATTGTTCAAGAGTCTTCAAGAGACAAACAACTACATCAAAAATGAATTGGACCAATAAAAACAGAAATGTAAGCTAACAGTTATCGGTTATCACAGAAATTATGCTAGCAGCTAGTTCTAAATTAACTAGCTAATGTACTTTAAATCTGAGCCTGAGTCAACAAAACTATATAAAAATTCAAATAAAAGGCAAAAATACAGGAAAACAACGTCTTACCTGGAGACTCAATGAGATGTGAATAAATGTGCGGGTTTGACACTTGTGGACACTGAGTGGAACGGTCATGTTTTTATATTAATTGAAGCTTTTAGTACGTTTCTTTCACGGTCAACGAGCGCCAAAGTCGTCATGTATTGAGTAGTCGTATTGATTTGGTGTGTTTTCTGTTATTATCTACATCGAGGAGTTCTGTATGAATTACTTTTATTGTTGACCATAATTTGTATTAAAGTTAAAGAGGCTCTCTTATACTGTACACCAGCATTAAACCATATGACTCTGACTCAGTGTATTCAAAAGGCAAACACATGACTCAAATAAAGCGACATAAGCACATTTAACTTTATAAAAATAAATAAATATATATAAAATAAATAAATATTAATAATAATAATAATAAAACTAATAATAATAATAAAATAAAAACAGATACACGTTCAATAAAAAAAAAAAACACATAACACAAAACATAGCCTAATACAAAATAACGACGTTAGATTCAATTTTATTTTATTTATCTCCAGGTCAAGTGAGGGAGTGCGACGCCCTCTACAGCCACTACTGAGTACTCACATATAGCTGAAGACCTGAACTATACATGAATATTCAGTAAAGAGTTTTTACCTGCACTTGAATGGCCGTGGATTTATTTCACTTTTGAGGCATTTTAAAAGGTGGAAAAAGATGCGCAAAGCATCTCTGCCTTCACATATGTTTGAACCTTACAGTTATACATGTTTTATTACTTTATCTTTGTGTTTTTATCTGAAACTTTACACAATTTAATCATTTTGTGATTCAGCAGCCCTCCAAATGTAGCTTATACCCTGTACACCCTAAAACACGCACACCCGTCGATGTGCATTATGACTCAATATTTATTTACACTCAGAATATTAAAACATATTAATGTAACAACAATATGATTATTATTGTTTTGAAGTGAGTAGGGGGTAGCCATAGTTTGTGTTCTCATTCAAGTTTAGAGCAATGTTTTGAAGTTGACATTTCATCAATTTGTGAGGGTTTATGGACTTACAAACTGTAGAAAAATGTGTGTTACATGATGTTGGGAACTGAGTGATTTCTGAGGCTCAGAGGGAAAGGAACATGCAAACAGGACTGATTTAACACTGATTTAACAGTCAATCACACCTTTAAAAAAATTATATTGATGGTATTAGAGCACATTTCATTTTGCTATAAAAAAAAAAATCAGAGGATTCATATTTTTTCCATGTTTTTTTTATTTGCTCAATAAACATTTCAGCGTATGATCAATATTTAAAAAATGTGTATTTTCAAATATTTTTAACCCTTTAACTGCTGATTTTCTTTCATAAAGTCAATGTATTTCATACTCAACAATCACAAAAAGTGAAATAAATTCCACATGCTTGATGCAAACTGGATTTTTTTTTGTTTTTTTGGTTCCACTTTAAGGGCCTGATCTATGTCAAAGTTCATCATTCATAGTTTAAAAAAATATATATTTAAAAATGGGAGGGGCTAGGGCCAGTGTCCCCCAATGCAAAATTAGATGCATTTCAAACACTGAATATATAAGGTCAAAATTACTTTGTCATTCAAAAATGATGTCAGAACACTAATTTGAAGTCAGAGGGATTAGAAAATATATAGAAATGACATGTTGTATGCTTTATACTTATACTTTATATTGTATGAGGGCAGGTTGAAAAAATAGTGATTATAATGGAAGTCAGTGGTGAAATATATTTATTTCCACTGTTGGACATATAAGGTAAAATTACATAATCCTCCAAAAAATATATCAGAAGACTAATGTGAAGACGGATGTTTCAGAAAATTTCTAACCCTCAGATATTGCATGTTTTACACGTTGTACAATGGCAGGTTGGAAAATCGTGATTATAATGGAAGTCAAGGGATAATTTTTGTGCTCAAGGGCACAAAGGCAGTATGTTTCCTAGAACCAATTAGAATAGGCTACGATTGAAAAACTGATGGGAAAATGTTAAAACACTCAAAGATGCATCACTCTGCCCAAAATCATTCCATTTGCATCAAAAATTAATACATCGTGTAAAAAACAAAAGTCAACAAAGCACAAAAATGTGTCTAAGTGTGATTGGTTAAACATGAACAAAGTTAAAATACAAGTCCGGATATGTAACGTGAATGTTTTTTGATGACAACAAATGGTCAACAATTTCAACACAAGACAGATGTGAATGGCAAAAAATGAAAAGCAAACATGGCTGAATGAATCACGTTATAAAATGGAGCAACTTCCTTCTTCAGGTAACATCTTCTTCTTGATGTCACTCATTTCCTGTTGGTGTTTTATCTTCAGCTGCTCTAATTCCGTTGCACTCTCTGCAGCTTTCTTCACCAACTCTTCCATCTCCTGCTGATGTTTCTCCTCTAACTCTTCGATTTGTTTATTCTGCTCTTCTTCATGTTTTCTTAAGAGCTCCTGTGTAAATGTATTCATTTCTTGTGCATGTTTTTGCTTTAGTTCCTCTGTTTTTTCCTCCAGTTCTTGTTTCTTCTGGCTCCACAAGTCAGACTTTAACTGTCTCAGTTGTTCTTCATGTTTACTATACAGCTCCATTTTTCTTTGTTGAAGATCTTCTTTCTTGGTATCTTTCTCTAGATCATTCATCTCTTGTTGCTGTTTTGTTTTTAACTTCTTAATTTCTTCTTTCTCTTCTTGTTTAAACTTCTCATCAATTTCTTTCTGACATGTTTTCAGTTCTTGCTCATGATTTTTCTGGAGTTTTCTGATTTTGTTGCTGTTTTCCTTTTTCTCCTTTAAAACAACAATGGCCAGATCAATCATCTCGCTCTTGTGTTTCTTGAGCTGTTCCTCCATGTCACTTTTCAGACTTACTTCTTTGTGTGAAGAGAGTTTTTGTAAACTTTTATATTCTTCTTGCCCCTGCTGAATCTCTTCCTTGAGACCACAGACTTCTTGCAAGTGTTTTTCAATCAGAGCTGCAAAGTCAATCTCCTTCTTGCGTTTAAAGTCGTTGAACTCTTCGGCCTTCTTGCGAGCCTCTTCCTCGTACGTTTTCTTCAACTCCTCCATTTGTCTCTCATGTCTTTCCTGTAGCTCCTTCCTCTGCTTCTCCTCTTGCTCTCTTCTGTTTTGATCTTCTTCTTCTTTCTTAATTCTGTACATTTCCAGTTTGACCTTGTATTCTTGTTCTAGTTTCTCCAGTCTTGCGTGCTCCTCCTGTCGTCTTATTTCATCCTGGTTGTATCGATTGTCCCACCATTGTGTCCTCTCCTCCTCCCAGGCCTCTCGTTCTTGTTCCATTTTATCTTTGCTCTCTTGCAGTTTTCTATCAAAGTTCTTTTTAGATTCCACCTCTAACTCCTGAATCTTCCGTTCATACTCCTGTCTTATAGCTCTGTCCTGCTCTTTCCTCTGCTGGTCTTCTTCTTCTCTCTGGTTCTGCTCTTCTGTTCTCAGAGTACGTTCCCTTTTTATATTTGCCTTCAGGTCTTTGAGTTCATCGTCTCGTTCTTGAAGTTCTTTTTTAATTTCATTCCTCTGTTCTTCCATTCTTTGTTGGATTTCTTGCATTTCCTGTTCATGTTTTTGCTCCATTTCTTGCATTTCTCTTCTGAGCTCTTGTTCCTGTTCCTGTAATAACCTCTGTGTCTCTTTCTGAATGGCCTCCTCAGCCTCCTGGAGCATCTCACTTGTGTAGCAGCCTCCACCGTTAACTCTCACCACATCATCAATCTTCTTTATCAGGTCCTTCACTTGGGCTGATTGTCTTTCTGCATTTTTTTCCCAATTATTAAATACATGGCACCTGTTCCCACAGTCAGATAACAGCTTCTTACAAGAATCTTCACATTTATTTTTTATGTAATCTTCAAATGAAAGTCCAAATTTTTCCAGATCATCCCCACGTGTGAACAGAACTATGGTGAACTTTTCAGCATCTTTTCCAAATCCTGTCTTGATCAGATTCAGAGTTTCTTTCTCTTCGAGTGTGAATCTTCCGATTTGCAGCACCAACAGAAAGATGTGTGGTCCTGGTGCCAGGAGACTGATGCATTTGAGCATTTCATCATTCACCTCATGATTAGACATGGTGCTGTCGAACAGACCGGGAGTGTCCACCACCTCCACACGACGACCGTCCACCTCCCCATGTGCCTTATGACACAGTTTGGTCACAGATGTTTGGCTCAAGTCATATTTGAACTCTTCTCGTCCCAGGATGGTGTTTCCAGAACTGCTCTTTCCACTGCCCGTCTTTCCAATCAGCACAATCCTCAGAGTCTCTGCACACTGTGTGTCCCCTGCAAATAAAAAAAAAAAAAAAAATAAATACACACATACATACATTCATACATACATACACAGCTAAAGAAATTTAAAGAACACTTTGAAACCACATCAGATCTCAATGTGAAAAAATAAATATATGGATATCTATACAAATATGGACAACCCCTAAAATAGGACTGATTTTGCACATGGAGGTCATTTCATTTCAAGTTTCTCCTTCTTGGTGTTTTTTGGCTGTTTTTTCACTAGTGCTGGTTTTGGCTAGAGTGATTATCACTTCTGGGAGTATGAGGTGATTCTTTAACTCTACAGAAGTTGCACAAATTGTCCAACTTCTCCAGGATGGCTGTTGCAAGAAGATTTAATATGTCTTCCTGCACAATCTTTAGAACATGGAGGAGATTTCAGGAGACAGTCACTCTAGGAGAGCTGTAGCGGGCTGTAGAAGATCCTCAGTCCATCAGCAGGACGCATATCTGCTCCTTTGTGCAGGAGGAACAGGTTGAGCACTGCCCATGTCTTACAGAATGACTTCCAGCAGGCCACTGGTGAGAATGTCTGAGCACAAACAATCAGGAACTGACTTCGTGAGGGGCCACTACATCTTGTAGTGGGCCTGCTGAGAAGCATTTTGAGCTGCAGAAATTTAATTTTGGAAAAATGAACTAGCCTGCCACATCATCGTTTTATTTGACTTAGATTTTCAGGGTGTCTATACAATTAAGCCCTGTGTAAGTTGAAAAATGTTATTTCCATTAAAAGAGGTGGCCTTTCGTTCCTAAGACATTGCACTGTCCATATTTCTATAGATAGCCAATATACTTTTTTTTTCTTCAAATTTTTCACATCTGATGTGTTTTCAAAGTGTTCCTATAATTTTATTTATTTTTTATAATATGGGCACGACTGCAGAACCCACCTAGACCAACCTGTGCATTACTTATATTGATTACATCAAACCTACAGCTCATTACACACATGGATCACTTAGGGCTTGGAGCTATAAAACATCAAGAGGACTTTAAGGGCCTTCATTGCAAACTCAATGAGGTTGTGGAAAACCACCCTTGAAACCAATGGCAATCCAAGTGTCCATCAAATGTGGCATATACAAAGGAGACACACTAAGACACATGCTGTTCTGCATGAGTCTGAACCCCCTCAGCCAAATCATCCACCGCACTGGCTACGGATATCGACTCAGGAACAGGGCCACCATCAGTCACCTCCTCTACATGGATGACATCAAGCTGTACGCTAAGACCGAGCGAGACATCGACTCACTGATCCACACCACCAGGATCTAATACCCAATCTGTGGTTGGGGAGTTAGTGTTAACTCTCCTCTGACCTGGCGTCCTGGCTCCTCTTGCCGTAGCATTTGTGTTGTACCTCGTCAATCTCTAGTTGTGATACCAGTTGCCGTTTGTGGATGTTGGAACACTAGCTTGGACTGTGGGTATCATAATAAACATTTCTCCCACATCCTGTTCATGTAACCCCTCTGACTCAGGTTACTGTAGTAGCAGCATTCCAACAGAGCCTTGTTCTCCTATCTCGCCCATTTCCTCTGTGTTCCAGTAGCCCATTTTTCATCAAGGTGCCCTGATTCCCCAACACCTGACACAGACCTTGTTTGGCCGGGCGAAAATATTTATACACACACACACACATACATACCAGTGACTGCTCTTGTGTCTGTTGAAGAGGAGCTGCTCTGTAGAACTGAGATCTTCTCTATTTGTGTCTGCACAAACATTTGTCTGGTGTAACTTTGAGGAATATTTCTGTCCTTTGTTGAAGTTTGTAGTTCATTTAAGATTTGAGGGACTTGCTTCTGGTCTTTTATGTTGAAGATGAAATATCTTCCACCACAGCTTTGGCACAGCTCCTTCAGGTCTTTGTTCTGACTCACAAAGTCAGAGTAAACTGGAGCTGAAGGATCTGACTCCACAGTGAACAGAACCAGGGTGAAGGCATCAACACGAGGACCCAGAACCTCCTGAAGCATCTTAAACTCAGCCTTGTCTTCATCAGTGAGAGGATTCACAGGTAACACCAGGACAAAGGCGTGGACACCATCAGGGTCACACAGAGAAATACTGTTATAGAACTGCTCCCTCACTGTCTGAGCAGAACTACCACAGAGAGACGGCATCTCCACTATGGACAGCCACAGTCCAGGCAGCTCCCTCTGACGTTTGATGCACTCAGATGAGCTCTTCTCTCCAGATGTTCTCTGTCCTAACATGACATCTGCTGCAGAACTTTTCCCTGCTCCTTTCCTCCCACAAAGAACCACATTTAGTGTCGTTTTTATTTCTGTAGAGAAGCCCTCAGTAATAGTGACAAAAGATCTTCTGTTAGTTTGGACCATGGTCTCAATAACCTTCATCAAACTATGAAGATTGTTGTCTTGCATTTCATAGAATCTTAAGTTACAATACTCAAGAAGTAAATGAAGAGCCACAGTCATTTCCTCTGTGTGTGTTAAGACGAGAATGGAGTGTTTAAAAGCATCTGGACCCAACATTGTCAGGATGAACTTGAGTGTTTGTCTGTCGTTTTCAGTGAAATCAGAGGGCTTCACCAGCAGCAGGAGAACGTTTGGTCCTGGATGACACATGGACACACATTTCTTTATTTCTTCTCTCAACTTTTCCACAGACATTTTGAAGAGGTCTGCAGTTTTCACCACTGTGAGCTGATTTCCTCTCCATTCCCCATGCTCCACTTTTTGGCTGCTCTTCTTATTGGTGATAAACTGACTTAAAACTTTCTTTTGTCATCACTTTTTCCAAACAAGAGAATACGAAGTTCTAAATCTGTGGGAGAAAAACAAAGACTATTAGCAGTGATATGCATATGCATAGTGGTTGGTAGCTGTAGAGACTGAGTAATGTCAGGTGTGTTTTGTTTCTTTCACGTGATTAACATTGTAGTACAGGAAGGCAGAAAACAAACTTTAGGATTTTTAGTAACAATGAATTTTAATGTTGTTGTCATTATATATTACTAATAGTAAATAATATTTTTGTTTAAAAAAAAAGTGTACTTGCATCTTACCAGCTGTAACATGACTTGTTTCTGAGACGTTGCTTTTTGTTGGATCCTGTGCTGTCAGTCCTGAAGAAAAAATACATTTAAATGTTGATATTAAACCAAATAATACAATGATTAGTTTCTCCACGTACCAGCTTTCTGAACCTCTGCCATGATGCTGCCTGTTGCCTCCTGGTCCCTGGTGTGAGGAGCAGCAGAGGGATCTTCAAATCTTCATAGGTCAAGTTATGGCCCTGATTTTCTTTGACAATCTGACTCAGTCGTGAAAACAACTCTGCAAATTTAAAGTCCTTAACCCCTCTTTCTTCTTCTTCTTCAGTACAGTTCTTCATCCACATAAACCTATATCTGCATTTCCTGATCATTTGTCCTAAGGGTGTTTTCTCTGTGTACGTGACACTTTCTTCTCTGTCTGTGGAGATCAGCACCATTGAATGATCAAACGAGTTTTCACTGAACATCTCTAACACTTTCTGGAGCCTCTGCTGCTGCTGTGAGGTGAAGTCTTCAGGTTGAAGGACCAGCAGGAGCACATGGGGCCCAGGCTCTGAGGCATCTGCAAACTCTTCTATCTTGTTTTTCAGCTCCTCTTCAGTGAAGTCAGGGTGGAGAAGGTCTGGTGTGTTGATGACAGTGATTTTTTTGTCCGTCAATGGTCCACTGCTTTTTTTTGATGACTGTGACTCTGCGCTCATGTTGAAAATGTCTTCACTCAGTAAAAGGTTTCCCACCAAGCATCTCTGTGTCCAGCAGTTCCCCAGTAGAACCACCCTCAGCTCAGACACTGAAATGAGAACAAATATTATTAAAGTCACAAGCGGACATTAGAGGCCATCGCCACCCCTTGCAACTGAGGTACATGCCTCTGCAAAGATCCTGCCTCTCGTTCACCACTCCTCCCAAATTCTGCATAAACACTATACTATTCCATTTGTTCCAATTTTCTGACATGGTTGAGGTCAGCGATATGTCCTCAATGGCTTTATGTGCACCAAATTTCAATGGTTTATGGTCAACTTTTCTTTTTTTTTTTCATCGTCAGTGAACCAAAATCTGTCTTTCTATGACAAATGTTGGATGTTCCCATGGCAGCACAGTTGCAAATGGCTTTTTGTTCAATATGGCAATTGAAATCCCCACTCTAGGAGTAAACATTATTGGTAGAGCAGTAAGATGCACTGAGCTGGCGATGCGATTCCAGCTCCCACCTATGAATGTTGTAGTTGTGTCTTTGGGCAAGACACCTTGACCCCAGTGTCTGCGTACACTAGTGCGTGTGAATGGGTGAGTGGTTCCTTGATGTAAAGTGCCTTGAGTGCTTTGAAGGTGGAAAAGCACAATATAAAAATGTGACCATTTACTATTTACAAGCAGCAAAAATTCACATTTAGTCATCCTTCATATGGAGATCATAGAATAGGATGCAGGGTTAGCAAAGTGAGTTGTCACTATGAAACTTCTTTTCATTTTTTAAATAACTGCAAATAATAACAAATTATGATAATAAATAATAAATTGGGTTCCATTTAATGTAAACAAATTATTAACATTTGGGTTTTGTTATGGAAAGTTTGTGCATCTATAAGTGCAGATATTTTGGGACTAACTTGGTTGTTCCATATTTTTGCTATAAAAAATATTTTGGATGTGCATTGTTACAGTAAGAAAGTTTATATTTATATAGAGTTTTTCACAGACATATCGGTAAGACACTATTTATATGCCACAGATGCCCTGGGGCAGACTGACTGAAGCGCGGCTGCCAAACTGCACCATTGGTCCCTCTGACCACGACCAACATTCACGCACACACCACTTTCATACTGGGCAATGTGGGTGAAGTGTCTTGCCTAAGGACTAACGACTGGCACCCCCTGTGGCTCCTGATTTTCCCAGTGTCTCCCACCCAAGTCCTGACCAGGCCCGACCTCCGAGCTTCTGAGATCTGACGAGATCAGACTTTTGACAACAAGTCTATATATTTATTGTGACAGACCTAGTAGTAACGTAGAACTTGGCCTGGTGGTGGCACAACTGCTTCATGATTAAATGGTAGTGTCACCTGGAATATTCTAAAGTTTGGCTTTAACTGTTCCACTTGTTCTTGTGTGTCCATGTTTGTTTGAAGGCGTATGTTAGCACTTACTGCAGTTTTTATCACTCACCACAGTTGCAGCTCTTCTAGACAGTCTATTGACACTCACCAGCTCAAGTATAAAAAGCAGATGCATTCCTCTACTCGTCACCTTGGCTGTTACACACCTTTGGCTCAATTATTCCCTGGTCCCCAAAGGTTTGACCAGGTTTTATATTCACCCTGTGTATTTATGTGTGTCCACCTGCGATAATTTTGCCATTTATGGACTGATCGTCACCAAATTTGGTACATGGGTCAAGCCCCCGTGCCCGATGCCGCAAAAAAAAGTTTGGTGAGGTCATTTGAGGTCACACAGTTCAATTGAAAGGTCACCCCATTATAAAGGATAAAGGCAATTTCGGCAATTTCTGAACCATCTGCGGTCTAAAATATTCACCCAATCATCACACAAGTTGGCACACACATAACCGGGGCACACTGGAAGGTCAAGGTAACCAAGGTCAAATGCACGTTTTTGGTCATAACGGCGCGAAGGATCGAGCTCGAGCAACGGGAGGGTCTCAAAATGTCAGAAAAAGTAAACACAGACATTCTCATGTGTGGCCGATATCACACAAATGTTCATGGGCCTGTACAGACACACACATTGCATTGTGGATATAATGATCATGTCATATGGGCTGGACTCCTCATAAACTGCTTCTGTGCTGATGAACTGACCCACCGATGCCTCACGGGGACCAGGTTGTTATCTCTGTTTATTTTAGACTTACCTATTTCTGATGCCTATCAGTTACTGCTTATCTCTCTTATACCTCGATCTAGATCAAGATGATGGATCCATCCTGTGTTTCTAAAACTAGACCAACTTCTTATCATTTATTAATATATCTTCATGGAGACGAGCAGGTGGAGTGCCGACCACCAGAAAGGAAGAATGCATACTACTACAGTCATATTACTGTAAATAACATTATAATATACTGAAGTCACTTTACTGCTGCACTGTTACTTTATTGTACATAATACTTTTTTTTGGTATTTTATATTTTTGCTCCACCGAAACAGTGTGTTACATTAGAGTCTATTTTTAAGTCTATTTTAAAATTATTTTTAAGCCATTATCTATTATCTTGTTTTATTGCATGTTACCATTTTCCTGCCGTTTTTGAATTGTGCATTGCAACATTGGAATTTCCCCACTGTGGGACTAATAAAGGCAAATCTTATCTTATACACAAAGCGAGAGACAAGTGCAGCAGTTTGTTGCCAGTACTTCTCTGGTAAACCAATGAAACACAACTCAGTCAGTCTATGAGAATTTAACGACTATAGAGACTTTGCACCATCACATGGCCCCATTGCAACGGTAACTACGCCGCCACGACACCGGGCACACTATGTCACTGACTTCAGCAGCATCGGAGAAACATGGGCAGGTTTTGTTGTGTATTTGGTTGTTCTAGACTCTCTGAAAGGGATAAAATGATTTGTTCTTCACTGTTCCTCTGGAAATGACTCATCAGAGGCTCAAACAAGGGAATTATCGAAAAAAAGACGCAGATTATGTCTAGAGAACATAAACCGCAAAGATATTTCCTATGGTACCATCAGGACACACTCACGTCACTTTCATCAAGGTATTTGCTATTTAAATTGTTTCATAGTTTATTTAATGAGAGAAGCACATTTACTGAACTAAAATGTAAAAAGAAAACATTTGCAGTGTGAGTGGCAGAAGAAACTGTATCTTCCAGCGCACATATAAACATGTCACTCGTTGTAGGACCCATGTTTTCTTTATTGTCTTGCTTATCCACAACTATGTCTTCTAGATCTTTCTAACATTCATGAGGATCTTTTCATGGTCGATTCTTTCGAGGTTCGGCTCACAGACTCTTCGACTCGTGCGTCGTGTTGATCACAGGAGCCCAGTGTGGGTTCGTTGAATCATAAACTAGTGCGGGTTTTCCTGGATAAATTAATGAAATTTTAGTTCAGTAAATGTGCTTCTTTCATTAAATAAACTATGAAACAATTTAAATAGCAAATACCTTGATGAAACTTCGGGTGTCTTGATGGTACCGTAGGAAATCTCTTCGCAGTTTATGTTCTCTAGACATAATCTGCCTCTTTTTATCGTTTTATCCCTTTTCAGAGAGTCTAGAACAACCAAATACACAACAAAACCTGCCCATGTTTCTCCGATGCTGCTGAAGTCAATGACAGCGTGCCCGGTGTCATGGCGGCGTAGTTACCGTTGCCATGGGGTCACGTGACGGTGCAAAGTCTCTATTACAAGATCAGATACTGAGAGGAAGGGGTAGATTGAAATGTTTAGTTCAACTCACTGTCTGGTGGAAAAAACTCATAGCTCCATCTGCGGGTCAAGGGTGAGACATCTGCAAAAGAGAGAAATGATTCATTCAATCACATTACATTATTAAAGAGCTGTGAAGAATGTGATTGGTAGAAAGACAAAAACAGTGTGCTGTGATCGGGTGACAGTGACAAGAAAGAAAGAATAATTGTGTTATTGAGAAGAAATGTAGGGGAGTTTATTATAAATCAAACATCCATTCAGCTGTCTAACGGAAACACTTCCATTTAGACTAAAATAAGATAAAATAAGTTTGCTGTCTTGCTGATTTGCTTTCATGAATACTCACCATGTAATGCCATGGTTTCAAATCTGGGATCTAATTATGAGGGAAAAAAATGTACGTGTGTTTTACATAAGCAATGTTACAGTAAATACCAAAAAAAAAAAAAAAAAAAAAAAGAAAAAAAAAAAAAAGGAAATCAGAACTCTTTCACGATTATGTAGACATTAGTCTAAACTGGGAAGAGGAAGTGCAGAAATTCCTTGCACACTTAACTTATTCTCTTGAAAACGAAATTTGGTGCATAGACATATTTCTTGGCTTGTTTTTGTTTTTTGTTTTTTTTCCGTATAGCCTATTTGTAACATTCAAGTGAGAAATAACCGTGCTAACTTAAAAATTGAGGCTGAAGCCTACACAAAAACAAACACTAAAAAGCTTTACAATTTCCGAACTTTACGACAAAAAACAAAACAAAAAAAACTTAACAACAACCGTTTGCTAAATGAGTAAGCTATAATATAAAACACCATAAACATAGAATAAACAACATGTGTCTTAATTTACATTAGATTATGTATAATTACCTGAGAGAAAAATCAAATCTTTGACCGTGGCTTGCATCTTAAAATAATCACGTGAAGTGATGATGAAAATGAAAGGGAGCATCATGCGTTTTGTTTACCACAAGGAGGTGCCAGGTTTTTAGCTCCCGCACGCAAATCCGGAGATATCGCGAGATTAATATCTTTTTGAGTTTTTTTATTTTTATTTTTTTTTAACGTTTCAAAAACACATTTAGCTTTTATATAACGTACTAATATTTCGCATTTTTATATAGACTTTTTAAATTATTATTATTTTAATACGTTTCAAAAACACATTTAGCTTTTATATAACATACTAATATTTTGCATTTTTATATAGACTTTTTTTCCCCCTGAAATACGTTTCAAAAACACATTTAGCTTTTATATAATATACAATTTTTTTGGCATTTTTTCTATATAGAATTTTTAAAATACGCTTTAAAAACACATTTAGCTTTTATATAACATACTAATATTTAGCAATTTTCTATATAGACTTAAAAAAATAAATAAATTAATAAAAAATACATTTCCAAAACACACTTTTCTATGCAGACTTTTAAAAATACGTTTCAAAAACACATTTAGCTTGTTTTTTTTTGTTTTAATTAAATACTAATATTTTATTATTATTATTATATTAATTATTAATTTTTTTTTTTTTGTAGCAATAGACAAGACATTTTGCAAAGAGTAGCCTACATGTTTTGTGTAAATTTTAGGTTCGTATCAAGCTTTCTATTCACAAACAAAAATATATGTCATTCCAAAAGGTTTGTGTGTACGAGCAGGAGACCACTTTTTTTTTTTATTAAAAAATAAAGCAGTGTACAAAGAACTGTGTTTTACATTCAAGAACTGCATCGTACAAAATTTACAAGTAATATAAATAATAAGTAAAGTAATAATAAAAAAGAAAGGGAGGGGGGGTCAGAGTTCAAGTGAAAACATTCAAAGCTGTACAGATTTCTACAGTATCGACGCCTTCTGTTTCTCAGAAAATTTAATTGAAAGAATGTATTGTCTGAAACTATTATAGAAAGCAACAAAGGTTTAGCCTTTTACCAGAAAAGTTACACGACTGGATATGATACTTTTACATTAATAATAAGAGATTAATTAGGTAGAACTTTTTTGTAAATGAGAATCAAACAAGCCAAACAATACATTCCTCCAATGCAAAATAAAGAGTTTATCAATGTAATTATGAATATAGTCACACAATTTCTGCCAAAAAATTACTACAGTTTGACAATTCCAGAACAGATGCACAAGTTTCAGGACATTCTCAGGAGACCGCAGCACGCGCTTCGTCCGGCAGGTGGCGTTACGCGTCCCGTTTATCTCCGTGTCCCCGTGGGCGTGGCTCTCCTCCGGCGGACCAATGAGCGCGCAGACGGGGCTCTGCTGCGGAGCTGTGGGGCGGCGTGCGGCGGCAGAGAGCGCAGGGCACACCGACGGCAGAGGCTCCGGAGACGGGGGGAGGATGTGTCCGAGCGAGCGGTGATCCGGAGCTTCACGCGGAGCCGGGCGTTTGCGTCGATTCCCCCTACACGAAACCGCCCCGTGTCCATCGCGCGCAAGGGACGCTCTGACCGACCATGTCCGGCGGCGGAGGCGAGATCCGCGTCCTCCGCCAGGACCAGGAGCCCGGACAGGAGAGCCCCAGGATGCCGGCCTGGAAGCGAGAGATCTTGGAGAGGAGGAGGGCGAAGGGCGGCGCGGCTGGAGCGACGGGAGCCGGAGAGGCGAGCCCCGGCGCGGCGGGCCACCAGCGGCACAACGGGAGCGCCGCGGTTGTCAATGGCTCCAAACAAGACGGTGGAGGCGGCGGAGGTGGAGGTGGAAACGGGAGAAATTACACCATCACCACGGCCAACCAGCACTTCGGAAACAACAAAGAAACACGACACAGCACCGCGGAGAGGGCGACATCGAAGGAGGAAGATGGAGAGGAGAGTCTGGTGCTTCAGGTACGATCCGCGCCACGATCCTCCCCCCCTCCCTTCCCCCGGGAGAGCTGGGAACACGGGCCACAGTACGGAACATTTCCAGGGAACGCGCAGGGAGGATAAAGAGGGGCGCACGGCGGTGTTCCCGAGGGGTCAGGGATGGCTTCTTGTAGCTGTGGCCTACAGAATGAAACGTGACACTACGAAACTAGTTTAAAATGAGGCAAATGAAGAGGCCCGGAGTTGTGTTTTATTATGATTTTTTATTTTTTTATTCACTCTGCAAAACACAAATCGAACAAGATATTCTAACGTCAGGCTGCTTCAAAGCTATTGTCAGTGTTGGGAAGGTTATTTTAAAATGTAATCCCCTACAGATTACAGATTACATACACCAAAATGTAGTTTGTAACGTAATCCATTAAATTACTTAAAGTGAGTAATGTAATCTGAATACTTTGGATTACTTGATATTTTCATGTTTTTTAAAACGACATGAATGAACCAACCACATCCTGAAAATTCATGTTTGTTTTCTTCAAATTGTCTGTTGAGCCCTGGTTTAGACCTGGTTTAGTCCTGGTTTTAGACCTGGTTTAGTCCTGGTTTAGTCCTGGTTTTAGTCCTGGTTTAGTCCTGGTTTTAGACCTGGTTTTAGTCCTGGTTTAGACCTGGTTTAGTCCTGGTTTTGTCCTGGTTTTAGACCTGGTTTAGTCCTGGTTTATTCCTGGTTTAGACCTGGTTTTAGTCCTGGTTTAGTCCTGGTTTTAGTCCTGGTTTTAGTCCTGGTTTTAGTCCTGGTTTTAGTCCTGGTTTTAGTCCTGGTTTAGACCTGGTTTTAGTGCTGGTTTAGTCCTGGTTTTAGTCCTGGTTTAGTCCTGGTTTTAGACCTAGTTTAGTCCTGGTTTTAGACCTGGTTTAGACCTGTTTTAGACCTGGTTTAGTCCTGGTTTTAGTCCTGGTTTAGTCCTGGTTTAGTCCTGGTTTAGTCCTGGTTTAGTCCTGGTTTTAGACATAGTTTAGTCCTGGTTTAGACCTGGTTTAGACCTGGTTTTGTCCTGGTTTTGTCCTGGTTTTAGACCTGGTTTTAGACCTGGTTTTAGACTTTCCTGGTTTTGGTCCTGGTTTAGACCTGGTTTTAGACCTGGTTTAGACCTGGTTTTAGACTTTGGTTTTGTCCTGGTTTTAGACCTGGTTTTGGTTTAGACCTGGGTGGTTTAGACCTGGTTTAGACCTGGTTTAGACTTGGTTTAGACCTGGTTTAGTCCTGGTTTAGCCCAAAATGTGAAAACAGGAAAATCCCACTGTGTAATCCATTTATTTCAGCAAAGTAACTGTAATCCAATTACCACTCACTGAAACAGTAACTGTAACTGAATACAGTTACTCATCATTTGTACTCTGATTACATAACTCTGGTACTTGTAATCTGTTACTCCCCAACACTGACTATTATAAATGCAGACTTTCCATTTCTGAATTATTCTCACCATTTTCGTCCTGACTTTGTCGGCGTAAAATCTGTTTTGGGAATGAGTTCATGTTGTGTCTCAAATTATTGTGGATTTATTTACTTATTAATACAAAAATTGTGCTTTAATTCTTTAGTTTAAGTGGTTTTCTTTCTTTTCATTCACCAAGAGAATATTTAGTTTTACAAGTCTCCGTGTCAAATGAAATACTTTACAGTGTCTTTTTTATGTCGTGATGTTTTTTTAGGAGAGTCTTGGACCTTTGGAGGAAAACCCCTTCATCAAACTGGAGAAGGAGCGGAGGAGACGTCAGGACCGAGAGAACGCAGCTCGGCCCGTCCAGCACATCCTGGAGCTCTACGGCAGCGTCCCAGGCATACGCACGATCAGGGCCGAGAACATCATCATCATCGAGTCCGACCCGGAGTACATGCCGGACGGAGAGGGCTCCAAGTGGCAGCCGAACGGCGTGAGCACGTACAGCTCTTTGAATGACCTTTTGGACCGGCGCGGGAGTGCTGTGACCGAGATAAGGGCCAAGGAAGTGGTGATTTATGACACCACGTTAAGCAAGAGCGAGGAAAACCTGAGCACCCTGGGCCGGCCCGATCACGAGCTGCAGGCGTACGACACCCAAGTGGAGAGCCAGGGCAGGGTGAGTCGGATGTTGCAGAAGTTCGACAGCAACTACGGAAAGCTGCAGAAGAAGTCCCACAGCACGGAGAACCTGCTGGACTTGGATTGCGGCGCCAGCAGCCGGCCCAGATCTTGGTCCAAGCCAGACGTGGTGCCAAAGCCCAGATTCGAACCAGCAACCCCGGTCTTCCAGAGTCCGGGCGCGTCCAAACCAAAGGCCGAACCGGAAAGCCCCCAGCGGACTCCCAACCACTCGGTGCATTCCTTTCGCCAACGCTTCGAAGACGGCGGTAGTCCCTCGAAAGATGAAACGGACGGCCGGCCGTCGAAGCCCACGAGGGAGCGAGAGTGGGACAGCAGTGCCGACCCCAAACCCAAGGTGCCATGTTCTCCGGAAACCCGCCGTGCCCGTGCCGAGTCCAGCCCGTCCAAAACGCTCCGCGCCACTCCGGACTTCGAGATTCGTCCCTCACCCAAACCGGATCTTGCCGGAATTCCCGACAACGACACGCAAGCTAGAGCCTTGGCCAATTTGCGGCTCCAGTCCAAAAATTCCTTCACGGTTATTCCCAAACGGAGACTTGCGACTTCAAACTCTTCCGCTGCTAGTCCAGTTCCAGCCGGTCCGGTTAAATCTTCACCGTCTCACAGAGTAGCTGCAGGAAGCGCTACCGGAGTGCCAACATCCCCAACGTCCACAGCCACGGCAAACGACTTTACGAAAACCACGCCGCTGCTTAAATCTCCTCTCAAAAGTATATCCAATGAAATTCCCAAAACGCCCGCACAAATTGACCTGGAAACATCTACGGCCATTCCAAAATCTCCACCTTCTCCTACCAAACCGGTGGCAAAACCGGTTTCGATTCCTGTCACTTTCCCCAAAACGCCGCCTCCGAAACGGGACGAACAAAAGCAGGAATCGCCGTCCCACGCCCCGTCCAGCCCGCCCCCCGTCGCCTCCCCTCCCGCGCTGACCTCGCCTCCTCCGTCTCCACGCACGCCGGTGACCCCGCCCCTGTCCCCCAGCATGGCGACGCCGCCCGCGACCGACCACCTGCCCGTCACAAACATCGACGACATCGAGGTGGAGCCGCCCCAGAGAGTGCCGGCCCCTAGCCCGCTGGTGCAGCGGCGGAAGGGGAACACGTTCACGGTGGTGCCCAAGCGGCGGGCGGAGACGGAGCCCGCGTCCGGATCCCCCGAGCCCCAGGCAGACGCGCCGGCCGAGGCTGCGCCGGGCGCCGCTCCTCCTCCCCAGGCCCCCTACTCGCAGCTGGGCACCCTCCTGAAGAAGCGCTACCCGGCGGTGGAGGAGATCGAGGTGATCGGGGGATATCTGTCGCTCGCCAAGTCCTGCCTGGTCAAGACGGGCTCCACGGGTAAAAAGGTAAGAAGCACAACATGTGGTTTTTATATTTAAAGGTTCAGTATTACGCTGTTTTCTGATCTACTCTGTGGCTACGCTCAGACTGCAGGGCTGAACGCTCAGTTTGGATTTTTTTTGTGAAATCCAATGTTTTTGCGAGGCCGTTCACATTTCCAATTAAATGCGACTTGTATGTGATCTCCAGTGTGAACATTAAACTAGGGCCCGACCAATATGGATTTTGTTGTGGCCGATATGAAACCGATATAATGGAAGTTGGAGCTGCCGATATATTTAGTGATGAAAAAATTCGCTGTAAATCTTGAATTGTTTAAAAAATGTAGGTTTGGCTCTAGTGGATTTTAAATTGGGTTTATTTAGGCGATATTTATTGTTCTTATGCCTCTTTACGTCATATTTACAGACAGTAGGTCGACCTAATGGCATTTTTGAATCACATTCTAGCAGCGAGTAAAGAAAATAAACTACTGCTATTAGCCTTTAGCCGTAAATGCTGCGCGCCGCTGTAATTAATTATATGCGCAAATGTCGATAATTCACACCTCTGTTCACAGCTCATTTACATATCAATGCACGTCCAGTAACAAAAATACGGCCAATATAGTCACTTTACAATAGACCAATAGGAAACAGCCTGTTTATGTGTGAGAGCTACAGCAGCTAATCGCTAATAACAAATGACCAAAAGTAGCTTCCAAGTCGACATGTTTCCAACACTCAGAGTCACACAGGCTCCTCTCAGATCACAAGTCTGCACTAATAAATGTCCTTTTAGTCCAGACTCAAACCGATTGTCCGTAAAAAGAAAATAATGTCAGTGTTGCGCACATGGATCTGTCTCTGCAGATGTAAACAAAGGCACGTGACTCTGTGGTGTGTTCAGGGACAGTACGGACACACACACACAAATGACTCCGCAGATAAATACTGACGCGGAGCCACATATTAGGACATTAATCTGACTGTAAATTGGATTAAATGAACATAATGTAGAGAGTCTAAAATTTATAACAAGGTATAACATGTCCACGTGAAATATCGACCCCAATCAGCAAACATATAAGCCGATAGCCGATATGTCTCCAGGTGCTCATATCGGCCGACAATATCGGTTGGGCTCTACTTTAAACGGCCCAAACTGGAGACACGACGACGTCAACCGCAGCGAGCGTGCTCTGTGTTTACGGAAGTTGTCCAAACATGGACGCAGCATCGAGCACCTGGAGATTTTAAAGTTCCTCTCGTACCGGAGCCAGAACATGAACAACTTACTTGTTTTAAGGAGGAGATTGAGAAGGAGAAGGACGAGGTTTTTGGTCGTGGTGTTTTGTGGTTCAGTCCGTTGAAAGGAACGTGTGGATGTGGAGACGGAGCCAAGAGTGGTGAGTGGTGATGTGCTTCGCTTCAGTGAGGCCAAAAACCTCGTCCTTCTCCTTCTCAACCGTTTCAGAACCGTTTTGAGTCTGGATTTAAACAGTGTCAAAGTCTAGTCGCTCTCACATGTTCAGGAAAACTGTTCCAGGTTTTAGCTGTGTGAATCTGAAACGAAAGTGCCACTTATAGTCCGAAAAATACGGTAATAATAAAGAGTTTCTCAAACATACGAAACATGCAAAAAAAAAGAAACAAAAACAGCACTCCAGGTTTGTTTTTGATGAGGCAACAACAGTATATCGCCTTAAAGCTTAAAGCGATCTTGCAGGATACAGGACCTTTTATAGAGTCGGGATAATAAATGTCTAGTTTGGAGACTTTGCGAGTTGTTCCGCTTTGCAGTGAAATGATGTGTGCTCTCCTCTTTCCTCTGTCAGCAATGTTTGTGTGTGCAATTTAAAGCAACCGAGGATGAAAGCGCCTTCATTTCTGTTGGACATATTGTTTGATAAAGGTTTAGAGTTATGAGTCTGGTTAAATCCACAGTGGCTTGTGTATTTGTTGAGGCTGCAGCTGGGAGTTTTGTGTAAAGCTCGAATTAGCAGGAATATTGTTTGTTATTGCATCACCTTCACAAGCTGACGTGTTATTGTTGTATAAGTTTATAGTAGTAGTTTGGTGGATGATGTTTCAGTTTCTCTCAGTATTTTTGAGCCATTAAACCACCTGTAAAAGAATAAACATAAGGCAGAGAGTGGTGCACAAATTTAGGTTTTCTGTACAGTTGTTCCAGAGCTTTACCACTTTAACAGATTTACAAAATGTCCTAATGTTTGTTCTGATTTTCTTTTTGATGAACCGTACCTCTGAGCTCATATCGGCTATTTCAGATTTTCTGTAATGAGAGATTGTTGTTTACTTTGAACATGATTTTCGAAGTGTAAAGGTCGACAAAATCATAAAATTTCAGAGTTTAAAGGTTTATAAATGACACATTGCTTGGTTATGTCGGTCACTTTATTTATTTAGCTTCTGTTGTGATGAAAAGACTGAGAAGTGTTTGTGTTTTGGAAGCATGTGCGCTCAACTTTATGTTGAAGTAACTGTGTTTGCATGCACCATGACGAAACCAGGATACGCCAAAAACCCGATCATACCCGGGACACTGATATGAGAGGTACAGTGTCTATAAAGGAGCCAGAGCCCAAACGTGGGACTGTGAGGCCGAGACTCCAGACTCAGCCTCCTCTCTTCAGGTGATGCACAGCAACCTATATTTGGTTTGTCGATTAAAAATGAACGTGATTGACAATGCATTTTTAACCTGGGTTGAAGTGGTGGGTTTTTTGTTTTTCTTCATACAAATTTACTAAAATCACTGTGATATCAGCAGCGGTGAAACGCCGGAGACACGCCCGTGTAGACTGTCAGGTGACCGTGGGCGAAAGAACCGGCGCAGAACTCCACGCTCCACGGGGCAAACCGGAGCTGACGCCCGATCGCACCTTGCAGACACCCTGACTAAGGTCTAGTCCAAGATTAGTCCTGGTTTAGTCCTGGTTTAGACCTGGTTTAGTCCTGGTTCAGCTCTGGTTTAGTCCTGGTTTAGACCTGGTTTAGACCTGGTTTAGTCCTGGTTCAGCTCTGGTTTAGTCTTGGTTTAGTCCTGGTTTAGACCTAGTTTAGACCTAGTTTAGTCTTGGTTTAGTAGTTCAGTCTGGTTTAGACTTAGTTTGGTCCTGGTTCAGTCCTGGTTTAGACCTAGTTTAGTCTTGGTTTAGTCCTGGTTCAGTCCTGGTTTAGACCTAGTTTAGTCTTGGTTTAGTCCTGGTTTAGTCCTGGTTCAGCTCTGGTTTAGTCCTGGTTTAGACCTGGTTTAGTCCTGGTTCAGCTCTGGTTTAGTCTTGGTTTAGTCCTGGTTTAGACCTAGTTTAGACCTAGTTTAGTCTTGGTTTAGTCCTCAGTTCAGTCATGGTTTAGACTTAGTTTGGTCCTGGTTCTGTCCTGGTTCAGCTCTGGTTCAGTCCTGGTTCAGTCCATATACGGCGCAAAAGTTCAGCATCTTCGCAATTAATTTGTTGAGAGTAACTTTAAGTGCTGCAATAGTCGTGTAATAGTCGTGTTTTACATTTTAAACACAGTAATATTGTAATGTAACTAATTACTTTTAAATGACAGTAACAAGTCATAAATAAATAACACATTACAGTTTTAAAGTCTCTTGTCCAACAGTGGTACGGATGTAATAATAACCGAAATATCGTGATATCGTATCGTCAAAGTTCTCACAATAATATCGTGGACCATCACAATATATCGAATTACAAGTGTCTTTGCTTAAATGAAGAGTTATGGTGCAGCAACAGCTAAAAAAAAGAGGAACTACATAGACCATGATCCTTTGCTTCATTTCAGTGCAGACGACAAGAAGAAATAACAGTTCTAACACTTTTAAGTCTTAGTTCTTTGGATTAAGTCTCGTCAAGACATTTTAAGAGGAAAAAGAAGCGTATTGTCAGTTTTGTTGTTTGTTGTTATGAACATCCCACACTGATTTAGTTCTAGTTCAGTCCTGACCTGCCCGTGTGTCGTTTCAGCGACTATTTTCCCGTATTCGCCGAGTCCGCGCAGGTACCCGACCCGGTGCAGGACTCTGCTACAGCCGCGTAACTTCTCTCTTCCTTCAGCGTGTCCAGAAGTCCAACTTTTTGTGCGACAGTTACATCTTCCTCGGCCTTTTGGGTGCGAGCGCAGGAGTCTTTGTCGATGCAGAACGTTTCGTCGACATTGTGGGTTTTGACGAGGAGAAAACTCACAAACATACAGCACTTCAGAATCACACTGATACAGATCCAATATTTATGTACATTTGTCAAACTACACTGTCAAGGAAAATGGTACGATATATTGTGATAAATATCGTACTGTGAGATGTAAATCGTGAAAATATCGTACCGAGAGATTTGGATATCGTTACATCCCTAGTTATCAGTTTTCGATGAGTCGACTAATCACGCCCATCCGTAATATCAATAGAGAAAAACATTTGACGGAGCCTCCACCAGAAAAGTTACACAATGCACCTTTAAAGAATATGCATGAAGCTTTATTTCAGCATTTTAATTCAAAGACGACAGTGCACAAAATGCGACTACACTTCTTTCTTACCCAGTCTTTAGTAAAACAAGGCTGTAAAAAGAATCAAAATTATAATATCTGTACAAAAATATCAGCAGAGATTATCAGCCGTCAGTTTCTCTGGATTCCAAACACTCAGTATCGGGGAAAAATCTATCTGTACATGGCTCTGAAACCGTCTCACTGCCCAGAAAGCTTCCATTTGGTTTGTTTTGCGTTTCTCTCTTGGACGCTCGAACGCCGCGATGTCCGGCTCATGCTGTAAAAATAACTCCAGGTTTCACAGTAACACAAAACCCGCCTCTCCCGTTCTGTGCCCCGCTCGCAATCACAGCGGCGAAGCAAAAGCGCCGCCGTTTATCAGCGTTTTGACCTCTGATAAATCCTTCACGTGTGCTGTCGGAGCTCGGATGCCAAACATTCCTCGGACTTACCCTTATAGTTTTCCGTTTTCCCCGCTAATCTGTTAAAATCTGCGAGCGGAGCCG